TGTACTACTTCGAAGTACTATCTACCACACTCGAGATCACCCAAAGAATAAAGCGATTGAATTCAAAATCAAAAAAATTGTTGGGGATCGTCTGAAGCATATTCAAGCGAGGTACAGTCGGGCTTGATGACTGATCAAAGCCCTCGGGCTGGTCCCTTCAGTGGGCTTTGATCAGCCATCAATCCCTGTGTACCTCGCTTGATTATCTACTTGATACCATTGTAGTTGCAAACAAGTAACTACAACAATTGCAGTACAATAGCAAGAGTCCACTCTTGCCAATAGTCATGTAGTTTTTTGAATTAGTTATTTGAAAATGGTGAGCATCTTCATCTTCTTCCCGGTGCGCATGTACACATATTTTTTGAATCTGTACGTGCTCCAAGCCAACTCACCTTCTGCTCAAATCGACGGCGATTTATTTCGCGATTTTAGGTCGATCGCCACGGAAAACCACACCAAACGTTGACAAAACTCCACGTTTTTCACTGAAGACGCATTGGATGTCCTGATAAAACGGATGGAAAACCTCGTAATGGCTGATGAAGAAGAAGAAATTTGTCGAACTTCCAAGGCGCACTGTAAAAGGAGTGCAAGAGTTTCGCCAGGGAAAGTAGGCAGGTTGGATTCAGTGATGCTTTTGCTGTCGATTGATGTCAGTTCCAGGTGTTCGATTTGTAAGTGCAACAGGGGACTCACTTTGGCACCACTGGCTGATGGACTATTGACCTCGTCTACTCTCCGTACCGTATGCACCACAGTCTCATTTTCCGCCAAAGTAGGAGTTGTGCCCTGTTTGTATGTGTGACCACACACACTTGGTTTCGCTGGAGCGACACCAGGCTCGCTGCCGCCGAACCTCGTCGCCGAAGCGAATCCCAGTGCATGTGTGACCGGGCCCTTACACAAGGCGAGGACGCGTAGTGCTCCTGACTACATACATTATAGCAATAAAAACTGCTTTATGGCAGTTTTCTAAAAAACGTTATTGTGTTCTAGTTCATGGACCCCGTCTAAAAAGTAAGAAATTAACGAAATGTGATAGCCGAAAATTCAAATTTCACACAAAACCTCACAATAATCACAACACTTGAAATGCTGCTTTCAACACTAAACTTGTACTGCACCAACAATTGGCAACATGCATGTCAGCATGCATAGGAAAGAGGATCACGAGCGGAAAAGGTCTTCTACATGTAGCTTTTCATTCTGCGTGTGATTATTGTGAGGTTTTGTGTGAAATTTTAATTTTCGGCTATCACATTTCGTTAATTTCTTACTTTTTAGACGGGGTCCATGAACTAGAACACAATAACGTTTTTTAGAAAACTGCCATAAAGCAGTTTTTATTGCTATAATTTCTTTTGTTTTTTCTGTCACCAATCAATGGAATGCCCTATACCAATATGTAAATTTAAACTAAATTATGGCCTTCACATCATATCAAGAGATCAATACCGTATTATACGCATTGATGTGCAAGCCTTCTCTTGCAGAAAATGGCAAAATGCATGTTCTTCTGCGGGGAAACATGTGAGTACGAAGTGGTGGACCGTGGTGATACTTTTTTATACGGAGGTCATTCTGTGCATGTTGCTGTAGCAGAATTTCATTACTCTGTCATAAAATTGTCTTGCCTTTCAGATTTTTCAGATCTCCCCACCCTCGATCAGATTTATTTGAGAAATGTAACCAGGTGCGTGTCGCAGATGTTTTTGTTGATTCTGTGTTTATAATGGTTTATAATCATGGGTTTTCGTGATAAGGTCATCCTGCATCATATTGCACTGAAATCGTAATCATGTTGATGTCGATACAACTTTTGGAAGTAGTTCAATGACTTCAAACTGTTAGTCCACGATTTTCTAAAACAACACAGCAAAAGAGGAACAATAAACATGTATTAAAATGTAAAAAAATACATTGCTGAGTCCGACACCTCCTTCCAACAACTACACTGATCCTGAGGATAAAAGGGGCAAGGCTATGGTTGGAGGTACTGAGAGATAAACAAGGCACTCCATAATAATAAAATCTTACACATCTTTTGGTGAGTATGAATGATATTCAGTCGAACCTCTTTTGGACGAACACCAAGGGACCGATGGTATTTATTCTGTGAGTTTGTCTTAACCTATTTATAACCATTGAATCATACTTTGTTTGATCATCCATCTGATGATCCGTTGCTTGAATGGTGAAACACTGTGTAATGGAATTTGATCTCTGACGGTTTTTCCGCTTGTGTGTAACCAGTGAATACAATTATTTCTCCAATAGACATACGAATAGATTCCCTCTACAGCGAAAGATGATTCTAAGTCACACCAACTCATTGACTCGTCTCATATGAAACAAATGAGTCACTAGAGAGGTTCTGCAAAACAAAAATGCGTACAAACTTTCGTTCTACATCATGAAGTGCGAAACTTCGCACGAACTTGCGCAACTTTGGACGCGAAACTTGCAGGGAACGCGAAATGAACTGTCGTAGGAAAATTCGTGAGATCGGGTCATGGTGTACGTGCACTTGGCCCGCGCAAACTACGAAAATGTGCAGAACGCAAAATTCGTGCGAAAATTCGAACACACTTTCGCAAGGACTGTCGCGAAACTTCGTTTTGCAGAACCTCTCTACTGAACCTTAGAAACATGACGGCAACTGAAACAGCAACAGAGAAAGTACGATACATGTACAGCACATTCTTGCAGGTATATGTACTACAAACAGATTGCAGATCGTAATTCTTGCTTTGGCGGCACGAAACTTTGTTTGGGGCAGTGCAATCTCGGCGGTACTCACAAATAATAAATCAAACAGCCCAGACTCGAGTAAACAAATCCAATCATACAAGTACAAGATCTTAACGAGACGAGACTGCACCCATTGGCTTGTTTCGTATGAAGCAAACAAGTTACTGATCCTCTCCACAATGGAGATTTTCCCTGATATGCGAATATATTTTGCAAACTCGGTCAATGGGTCCTTGAACCTTTCCCTCCAGATTGGGAACTGCCAACGATAGTATGCCACTGACCAGTGCCTTACTTGTAACGTACCAATGTACAATGAATATGAGTATTTCCACAACACATCTAACATAAGCCTTACCGTCAAGAAGGCGAACTCGCGTTCTTCGCACACTGTAGACAAGGGCAAAGAGATAAAAATGGATCTAAATCCGAATAAAATCAGCACACGTTTCCGTAAATGAAAGGGTGAGCATAAGCAAATGAATCGAAGGAAACAAAGAGATCCTGTCAGCTTTTCCATTATTAATTTTTATTGCATTCCGCCCAAAATCAGCACACTTTTCGTAAATGAAAGAGTCAACACAAGCAAATGAATCAAAGGGAACTGGTCAACTCACCTGTCATTGAGTAATATTCCGCGAAAGGAGGTCTCAGCAGCGCCGAAACGAAATAAGCCAGGAGACGAAATATCCGAAACAGCTTATACAAGAAGCAGTTCTAAAGAAGGAAGTTCCTCGCGCATGCACATCCGAACGTTCGAACACGGACTGCACTGCAACACAATGTCTGCCGTGCACGTGCACCGCACGCGGCTACCACCCGTTGGTAGATCTAATACCGAGCACCTTACGTAGAGACTTACGTAGCCTAAGTGAAATACCGAGCACCTTACGTAGAAACTTACGTAGCATAGCGGTGTCGTTTTTCTTGCCATGTGAACACAATAATAGAAAAGCTGACAGGATCGCTTTTCTAAATGTACAACCATAAACCTTATATACCATGTAAATAGCTCAGTGTATAAAAAAAAAGTAGTACGAGGTGAATAGCAATTTCTGGACATGAAAATAAAATAGAGGCCCACTGGCTGTGTGTTTTACATTTTTCATATCTTTTTGTATCTATTGTATGGCCTAATCCTTCATCTTTCCAAATATGTGACAATTGCTCATGCTGTGATCCCAGAGACTTTATAACAGGATGTTTTCGACAGGCCAATTTTTTGGCCTAAATTTCAGTGTATCGAATTCTGGACATGAAAGTAAAATAGCGTCAATAGGCATCCTATACTGCACCATTTTTGTTATATTTTCTATTGGTGGACTGCAGTTGGCCTCTTCACACTTCCAGCTAACAGGTCCAAGACTATACAGCGTCTGAAGTGAAGCGCACATGGGGAAGCCAACAATTCGTCCATTACTTCTTATTTTACTCAAAATTCAAAATTCTCATGCGACATAGTACCACAAACCTCGTTGAAATGCCTCCCAAGAAAAGGCTATCAACAAGGCACCGACACGAGGAGAAACTACAACAGCCCAGCTGTCAACTACAACAAGAAAAAACTTCATCAACCTGACTGACTTGACTCTACACGCGACGAAAAATTATTTTACTCGAAATGTCCAGAAATGTACAATGTCCAGAAATAGCAATTCACCTCGTACTCCCTGCTTTGTGTGGACGAGTCACGCTCGTACTGTCACCATGGGCACACACACACACACACACACACAATCCGGCGAATTTCGAATCCCTTATTTGTTATCTTGCGTGCATTTTTGAGTAGCCAAAATGGCTGGTACTGTGGATCATGATCATGATGCATGATGATAGCAAGAGTAAATAAAAATTAATGAAAACATGTACTAGTATAGTAGTACTCTTGCTGATAGATACATGTGTGAAGGTTTGCGCATGGATGCCGCGTACTGACCAGGGAGTCGTAAAAATACCACTCCCTGGTACATGTACTGTAGTACAGTACTCGTACTGACTGTCTGGCTGTCCTTGTTCACGTGCATCTTCAGCATCATCAATTCATCACTCATCACTGTCATCAGTGACCTGGTGACTGTGTGCATGTGTGTTGTAGAGTCTACATGACTGTATTGTACAGCTCAGGCTGCATCATTCATATCAGTGCATTTTTTTGCTGGTCGAGTCCGTCATGCTTGTTGGTGACTGTACTCGTACCACTTTTTCCTTGCTGCATCCACGTCCACATCAACCAGTCAACTCGTCTTTCACACAAACTCACAGAACTGATCTACGTTCACGGATGTCGGCTCAGAGAACCAGACTCCCATACCACATCCAACAAACAGGCACAGACTGCGTGCAGCGTTCACCCTGGCCTGTTCACTGGCAGACCTCAGGCTCAAGCTCAGAGTCGATCTGCATAGCTCTCATCACTGGCAGTTCACTGGGCCTGCATGGCCTGGCCAGCAACGTTTCTTTGCAATTTTTGGCATTCGATAATTTTCTGCCAGCGAAGCAAAAGTAACATTGTTGTCTTGAGTGGTCATATTGCCCTTGTTCCTGTTGACGCTGAGTGTATCTGCGGATTGGAACGTCTTCTGTGGAATGGCGGAGTGTCCGCATTTGGAAGACTCTGTGCTCGTCGACGTGGCTAAACTCAAAGCCCATTCTGGAGCTCTATACTGCAACGGTACGGTTTTGCAGTAGAATTTCGCTGCTGTTTTTTACTGCCGAGCTGCTTGACAGGCTTCTAGTTCTAGCTGACCCAACTAGCTGATCCATCTCGCTTTGTCTTCTCTCTTTTTTGTCATCTATCCAGCCTGTCGTACCCACAAAAGCCCATGGCTCTGTCTCTCCTGCGGACTTGTCCACTGCGGAAGGTAAACCCCCTGTCGTGTTGTGCCGAAGGCAACGTTTGCATTTCCACGAAAGTGCACCTGTTTGATCTTGTATTTTGTTATTTAGGTATGTGAACGGCCATGCGAAAAGCCACCAGGAAGCCCAAACAAGCCACCGTGTCTGTATGGATTCTGGGCTCGTAGCTTTCTGGTAAGTGCAGATCGAAATGGACTATGTATCTGATGAGTGACCTCTGCTGGACAATACTGGACTTAGTTGATTGAGTGTTTTCTGGATCTTTATTGTTTTTGGTCGTTTGTGTGCAGCTATGAATGCGATGACAGCGTAATCAACGATACTCCTGACGGCCGCATTCAGGCCGTTCGCAACTTCATGCTGGAAAGAGAGTGAGTTCTGCTAGGCCTGTAACTCTTGTCGTGTAGTTCTGAGTTGTACGATAGGCTCTCGGATTCAGTGCGCGATGTGCTCAGCCTCGGAATTAGAACTACTTTACTGACCTGTCGTCTTGGATCTTGCAGACTTTCCATGCCATGCGGACCGCATTCGTTCGTGCTGTTCTTTCGTCCTTCTTGTTCAAAATGAGGAAAATAGGTTTTGCGCTGTGCATGTGGCACGATTCTTTTTTTTCGGCGTAAATAATGACGTCATCAAGAAGTGACAGACTGACAGGGTCCACAGAAGGAGTCGTCTCTGGCTAGTTTGCTTTTGATTGGTAGTTGTGAAGCCCTAATGCTCTGCCAGGATTTTCACTGGAGTGCTAGTTGTGGCAGTGTGCAATTATTTCAATGCAGCTGGGCCACGCGCCAAGTGTTAAAAGAGCCCTCTTGTGTTTTGCATTGCAACTCTGGGGTGGGTATGGTAGTGAGTGTGGCTGTGTGCCAGTGATCATTCTTGGAGGTTGCTGATCTCATACTCTACTAGTTCTAGCAGTACTAATATTATTATTATGTACTACCCTGTCCACCCTGGCATTGATGCCTGCATCAGTGCTTTGTCAACCATGTGACCATAGCATAGCCTAGGCATAGTGACCCGCTTATCGGCTGCCATACAACACGGTGTGATAGGTAGTATGGCATGGTGCCATGCATGGGCGTCTTATGCACTGCACTGCATGCAGCAGCTAGAGGCAGTGCCTGCATGCAGGCATTCACGCCCTTGCCTTGCAGGGCCAGCGCCGGCCAGTGATCAGGGCATAGATGATGACTCACACAAGGAACTGTGAGCTGTCATGTGCAGGCTGTGCATGTGTCCTAGGCCCATCACTAAACACTGTATCAATGCGGGGTTATAAAGCCATTGAGCAATCATTGGCTAGTGCTCAATGCAGCTACTACAGTGCCATAACTTGCATTGGATTTTAATACTGCAAATGTGCAGCCGATCCATGTAGGTCCCAGGTAGATTTTGAGCTTGAATCGGGGGTCCTGGGTGCAGTATGCTAAGGTGAAATACTAGGACTACAGTCCATTTCAAAACTATAGACGCGTACCTAGGCAAAAACCGTTATGCCAGCATCTATACCGCATAAAATCTGTGATCACTTTGTGCATAATTTTTTCCAAATTGGGCGTCTGTTATCCAATCGCTTAGAAGCTATATGAGAGTAATTGTGGAGCGGACCTGAGCAATATTCCGAAAACTATTCTCAAAAAGTTCCAGCCAAATTTGAAATATTTCAAAAACACTGCGCGTCTATAGTTTTCAAATGGACTGTAGATGCTCCTCTGACAAGATCTAATAGATGGAAGCAGCTGGCTGTCCAGAGATTGAGAGTAATCTTGATACTTACTACGGTGAAACCTGTGACTAACGACCACAACTTGGGGCCAGAGAAAGCGGTCTCTAGTGCCAGGTGGTCCTTAGTTAGAGGTTTGCAACGCACAATCGTATGTGAATGTGAGACCGTCCGTGCCTGGCGAAGTGGTCTTTAGTAACAGGCTGGTCGCTAGTCACAGTGGTCTTTAGTTACAGGTTTTACCAAGAGTAGATAAACAAGAGTGTGCAACTCGCGGATGGGTTGGCCCACAGCGGAATTTTTTGTTGACGTAATCTTTTCGACGACGCACGCACTGAGAGCCTTTTGGAGAGGTTTCCCTCGTGCACTTGGCCGGGCTTTACACTACAAGGTCGGTGCCCAGCACGTGCTCTCACACTGCTCTGCGCGGCAAAGTCCGCGTTTCTGAAAAAAGGTGACGTCAACAAAAAATTCCGCCGTGGGCGGGGGTATGTGCAGATTGTGCAGGAGAGATCCGGAGTTGCACACTCTTGTTTATCTACTCTTGATTTTACTGTATATTATTCTGCTGTTGTTTTCGGTGGTGTGCAGGCGTGCGCTGGACCCGTCAATGAGCGGCTTAGAACCGCCCAGCAAGTCCATGAAGACATCGACTGCAAGTGAGCACAACTCCAGTTCTTCGGCAGCAGCGGCAACACCGCTGCACAAACTGGCTGGTCTTCGCAACCTGGGCAACACCTGCTTCATGAACTCTGTTCTGCAGTCGCTAAGGTAGGCTGCGGCATTGCATCTACATGTACCACTCTACCTGGAGCAGAGATATAGAGACTGTGCGTGTGTGTGTGTGTGTGTGTGTGTGTGTGTGTGTGTAGGGGGTAGTGAAGTGGTTCTACGCCACCCCGTGGTCTGTGCATCCAGTGCTGTACACATTTTCAATATTGGCCAAATGTTCCTACAAGTTTTCTTTCCTCTTCGATGATTATTAACAAAGTAGTGGTCTGACTGCTTGTGAGGACCAACATTTTCACCGGTTATGAGAAGAGAGAAATCCCTTTTTTCCCTAGTCTTGAAGCAATATGCAATTCTGGACGGCAACATCTTTTGCAGATTTGCGTGCTGCTCTTTCGATGGGCTTATACATGCTAAATGGTATTTGTGCGTGCATGCATGCATTTATTCCTTCTGGGAAAGGACTGCACGGAACGAATAGTGAAATTTGTTTTGTTGTTTACAGTGTTCCTTTGAGTTATGTCTTGGTTCGAAATGGTGTGTTGGGATCGAATGACCTACATTGTGTGTGTGTGTGTGTGTGTGTGTGTGTGTGTGTGTGTGTTGGTAACAGTAACATCCAGGATTTCTGTTTCTACTTTCGTCGATTGCCGGCCATTGCACCACCGTGCAATGGCCGCCGCCCCAACCAGTACCATACGCGTCAAAGTAAACCGGAAGAAGTGTGAGTTTGAACTATGTGTGTGTGTGTGTCTATCTCTCTCTCTCGCTCTCTCTCTCTCTCTCTCTCTCTCTCTCTCTCTCTCTCTCTCTCTCTCTCTCTCTCTCTCTCTCTCTCTCTCTCTCTCTCTCTCTCTTGCTTTGTGTATGTTCTCCAGTTGTCCTGGATCTCTCCAACCTCTCTGTCTACCTGTCTCTAGGGTCATTGCTAATACTTGGTACTTTCTTCGATGATTATGCACAAAAGTAGTGGTCTGACTGCTAGTGAGGACCAAATTTTTCACCGGTTATGAGAAGAAAGGCCACTTTACTTGCCTTGTTTGCTGCGAGCTGGGTGTCAGTGTTCTTGCTTCTAAGACGGCTCTCTGTTCTTTGTTTGCCAACAGGTGTCTTGTTGAAGAATTCAGGAAGATCATCTCGGATCTGACGGAAGCAAAGAAGGCTACAGCAATATCGCCGGATGCCCTTTTCTCGGCGTTGTGGAAAGTTGCTCCCTCTTTCCGGTAAGCGATGGTCATTTTGGCACGTGCTCCTCTCTCCTAGTGTTTGCTGTGCACGTTTTTCCTTGCCCCATGGCATGTCATCTGCAAGGTCGTGCCAGAAAATTGCCACATACAGTAGGCATTGGTTATAGTGTGGGTGTTTGACAAACGACTTTCTATTCTTATTCCCGATATTTCTTACCCGTGCTTGCGTGTCTTCTCTTCGATGATTATTCACAAAGTAGTGGTCTGACTGTTAGTGAGGACCAACATTTTTCACCGGTTATGAGAAGAGAGACATGGCAGCACTGCGTGTACAGTTGTGCCCTGTGAAATCAGACCCAAAGTGAACACCAGTGCAGGACGCCCAGTCCTTTCTATGCTGGAAAGTGGGTATGGCTGCTACTCTGCGTACACGTGTGCAAACAGTGTGACGTATTGAGAAGGCCAGGGTCCGGTTGTTTTGCACTTTGGGCCGTGCTCCACCGGGTGCAATTGTAGTAGTAGTTCGATCTACTGTATTTGGTGCATGACAATTTGTCCGGTGCACCCCGGATTCCGCTTGGTACAGGGTCCGGCTAACGCATGTCTTACTGTAGTAGTGAAGGCTGTGTTACTGCAGCTTCCCCGTGAGGTGTGTGAGTGCAGATACGTGCAGCGTGTGGGCCGTGAACACAGGGGCGGCCGTTTGTGTATTCCACACGTTTGCTGCGTGACCGTGCACGCTTACTTGTCTGAATATGATTCTTATTGAATAAACGGAATAACTCAAAGGCGATGGTACCTAAATCAAGTGGTGGCTCCGGCCCAAACATATGAATGCATTGTGTACCGTTATGTTTCCTGTGCGTGTGCTGGCAGTGGGTATCAACAACAGGATGCGCACGAGTTCATGCGCTACCTTCTCGATCGGCTGCATTACGAACTAGTCACCCTCGTCGACCATAAAACCGGCGACTCGACGACCATCGTCAATCGCATGTTTGGTGGTGTGTTGCGGAACGAGGTGAGCTGCCCGGGTGTCCATTGGCATCATTGTGCTCAGTTGAACCCAACTGTTTGTATGTACTATTATGCTATGCGTGCCGGACGTGCAACACCCAATACCATTCCCCCCCCCCCCACACACACGATTTGGAGGTGCTTTTTAGCTGTCTTTTCGCGGTTCACACACATAACAGGTGATCACTAAACAGCATTGGGGAATCTCTTGTGCGGCGTGTCTATTACTCTGCACCCTGTTGCATTGAGCACTCTATTATTGTAATTATGATCTTCCTCAACAGCCCCTGATTGTGTGTCTATTGCATAACAGGTATGCCCGTTAGTACAGGTGTCCTTTCTTTTATGGACAGTTTTCAGCCCATCTTCCATAGATGGCGGTTATGATAATTATGTTGCCTGCTTGTAATCCTGTTGAACGTCTGAACCCATACTTATCTGATCGGGAGAGGGGACGTGATGATAGAATGGGCTTCACCGATACTGCCTATTGGCCAAGTACTTGCTGATATGGATGTGTGCTTTAAAGTTGATTGGCTTTTTGTTTTGGTTTTGCCAGGTTGATTGCTTGGAATGCCGGCAGAAGTCAATAAAACATGACCCATTTCTAGGTACGCACGTCTCTCTTTCTGTCTCTTTTCTGCCTGTCTCTGTCTGTCTATCTCTTGTTCACACACACACGCACACCAATCATCATGAGTGTACAACATGTTCTGTTTGGTTGGCTGCAACAAACTCTGCTTTTTGGTTTGTTGCTGGCCTTCTGAACTGTTGGTGTGTTGCACGCAGGGAGTCGTACTCAAACTAGGGAGGTGACACGGCACAGAAATCCGTGTCACAGGGGTTGACTCGCACCCGTGACCCCTCGTTGTTATTTTTGGAATAGTTCAGTCCAGTCCGGTCCGAAAGGTCATACTCGGATCGACTCGCCTTCTGTACTTCACCTCCAAGCGTGCAACGCAAGACCCACAAAGTATGATTTTTCTGTGGGGAACGATTTTGCCATTGATCAAGTTTTTATTGGAGTGCTCAGGCATACTACGATTGCTGAGACGTCCGGAGCACGCTTGTTCAGGTTCTCTATTTTTGACGAGCCGGTCCTACAGCCCCCTACATTGTATCTAGCGACATAGCTGACAATGTAAGAGGATTTCCCTGGAAATAATGATGATGGTGGTGTGACTGCTGCAGGAAAAATGCTGGCTGTTTATGACAGCATGACTAGATGTACAATGTAGCTCTCTTGTATGGTACTTAACCCCTGCTATAAATGTGTTATTTAGGAAGACTGGTGTATTGTGCAAGTCATAAAGAAGAAATGGGGCAGATACACGACTTACAATTTTCAAAAACCAGCTTCGTGTTATGTGTAATTTGTGTCAAAATTGTAGTATTTAGACATGACAATATCATTGGCTGTACTTCTCTAATATGGTACATAACCCCTGCTATAAATTAATGTGTTATTTAGGCAGACTGGACCATTGTGCAAGTCATAAAGAAGAAATGGGGCAGATACACGACTTACAATTTTCAAAACCTGGCTTCGTGTTATGTGTAATTTGTGTCAAAATTGTAGTATTTCAACATGACAATATCACTGGCTGTACTTCTCTTATATGGTACTTAACCCCTGCTATAAATGTGTTGTTTAGGAAGACCGGTGTATTGTGCAAGTCATAAAGAAGAAATGGGGCAGATACACGACTTACAATTTTCAAAAACCAGCTTCGTGTTATGTGCAATTTGGGTCAATATTTAGTATTCGGACTAAGGCCACCCTTTCTTTTTTCGTTGTTTAACGTCCGCGCCCGCGTACCTTTTTGCCTCCGACCGGAAAAAAAAACAAGAAAGTAGTAGTACCAATAATATGCGAAGTTGTAAATACATGATTGTGTAGTTCACAGTGTGCCGATCATGACCTTAAACTTATAATCTTGCCTCCCGGGCATGCCTTTGTCTTGTGTTCTTTTTCTTTTTTTTGTTGGCTTTTAAATATCGTACGGTGTGTGTCCTAGTAAAAATCCAGATGTAATGAATTCATGACATGCTAACTCCATGCTATGTACCTGTTTTGTTGGATTCATCAGGCATGTGCTCCAATGTACCATCAAAGAGTGTTGTTCTATGCCTGCAAGTGCCGTTAGACCCAGAAATATTGTATATATCACATGCTTTACTGGTCAAAATGTTTGATTGGGGTTTCCAGTTTTTGGAATGGGCTTTTGTTTTTTTTCCGCCCTCCCGCGTGCCTTTTCGCGAAAAAAAGGACGTTAAACAATGAATTAACAAAGGGTGGCCTAACCTAGGATACGACTCGGAACAGTTCTGAACAGTTACCGCAACACTACACGCCGTTTCATAACTGCTGCTGTTGCCATCACTGCTATCAAGTAGTTCGGTCATGGCAGGAGCTAAACAAATTGCTGGTAGTCTTTCAAAGAATACTGACGAGTGATGGGCTGTAAACGAAATGTGCTGCCTCAATAATTTCAAAAAATAGACACCCATGCGGCACGCTTGGAGGTGAAGTACAGAAGGCGAGTCGATCCGAGTATGACCTTTCGGACTGGACTGAACTATTCCAAAAATAACAACGAGGGGTCACGGGTGCGAGTCAACCCCTGTGACACGGATTTCTGTGACGTGTCACCTCCCTAGTTTGAGTACGACTCCCTGGTTGCACGGAAGGATTCTTTCTTACCTAATGTTAATTAAAGATTTTTTGTTGTACCTGTATTTTCCTTAGATCTATCGCTGGGTATTCCAGAACGCTTTGCTCAACGGAAAGGAAGGGGGAAAGAAAAGGAGCTCGGAGTCTGCCATCTGAAAGGTGAGGCTGGCGCCTGCTGTTGTGTTACCACGCCATGGATTTATGGGTGTCCTTGTGGCCCGGGTACTGATCCCGTATAGGAGAGTTGAGTGTGGTAGCGAGTGTGTGTGCAGGCTGCCTTTCAAACTGTTGATTTGAGTAGCGAGTGTGCAGGAGTTGCTGTGCGGGGTAGCTCTCAAAGCATGGAGGTGTTCTCTAGTAGTAGTGGTCTTCTCTTCGATGATTATTCACAAAAGTAGTGGTCTGACTGGTAGTGAGGACCAAATTTTTCACCGGTTATGAGAAGAAAGACCATCATATTACATACCGGTATCTCTATTTGATCACAACGAACTTGCATCACTTTCTCACAGGCAGCAAACTCGTAACCCTCGTTCTTCATTGTTACATTTGCACAAAAGCTGCTGCTGTTGTTGTTGTTGTTGTTGTGGTTTGCATTGCTTGACCGCTGTGTGTGTGTGCATGTGTTTGCGTTATGATTGTTGCTGGCGATACCACGCAGACTGCATATCTCACTTCTGTGACATGGAGGAGCTCTCTGACACTGAACAGTACCTCTGCGAGAAGTGTCGTCAGCGGCAGCGCAGTACTAAAAAGTTTTATCTACGAGACCTGCCACCCGTTCTCTGCTTGCACCTGAAGCGCTTTCGCTACGCGCTGTCCGCGCGCTCCAAGCTAGATCTGTTCGTTGAGTTCCCGCTAGAAGGACTCGACCTCAAGGATTTCATGTCTCCCAATGCGGAAGTAAGTTCGACATTCCGTGCATATTGGTTTGGGACATGCGCATGTGCCCGTGAAACGCAGAGAAATAGGGGGGGGGGGGGGGGGGGGAGGAGGAGGTAAGTTGTTTTGCACCTCCTGCGGTCTGTGGATCCAGTACCGTACACATGTATATGTTGGCCAAATGTTCCTACAAGTTTTCTTTCCTCTTCGATGATTATCCACAAAAGTAGTGGTCTGACTGCTTGTGAGGACCAAATTTTTCACCGGTTATGAGAAGAGAGGAATCCTATTTGTCCCCTAGTCTTGAAGCAATGTGCAATTCTGGACAGGGAAATCCAGCCTCCTGACACTTCTTCCTGAGGTCAAACTTGACGGTCACTGCTCTATCTCTGTATTTGTTTCCACCATCGTGTGACTTGCCTGGCCGTGCGGAGAGTCTTGTTTCGGCTGATTGGACTATGTACTTCTGGGTGTGGATATGTGTACTGGTGTGTGTGTGTGTGTGTGTGTGTGTGTGTGTGTGTGTGTGTGTGTGTGTGTGTGTGTGTATGTTGGCGTGGCTGTGGATTGTTGGTGTCTTGTGGCAGATGTCAAAGTCGACACTTTACGACCTTTCAGCAGTCGTCGTCCACCATGGCTCTGGGTGAGTGGTGTTCATGGCACACTCCTGTCCGTTTATTTCCTCGTTTTGTATGGAATCATTTTTCTCTTTTTTTGTTACTGCTCTGACCTGCTCTCTGTTGTGTATGCATGTGTGTGTACTTGTTGCTGCAGTGTTGGATCAGGCCATTACACAGCATATGGGCACAGTGCTAAAGCAGGTAAGATGCCACGGTCGTCGTGTCTTCTTGAATAGACCTCCCCTTCAAACGGTGCTCTTCTTCGTGCTGTGCATGTGTGTCTGTGTGTGAGCGTGCACGTGTGTGTGTGTATATGTGTGCCTGCCTTGGCAACAGCAGTACAATAGTGATTGTGTTCTTCGATGATTATCCACAAAAGTAGTGGTCTGACTGCTAGTGAGGACCAACATTTTCACCGGTTATGAGAAGACACAGTTCTGTGTCTCTCTCTCTCTCTCTCTCTCTCTCTCTCTCTCTCTCTCTCTCTCTCTCTCTCTCTCTCTCTCTCTCTCTCTCTCTCTCTCTCTCTCTCTCTCTCTCCTCTCTCTCTCTCTCTCTCTCCCTCTCCCTCTCTCACACACTCTTACTCTTACTCTCTCTCACACTCTCTCCACTTTTATCAAGCATCCTATGCTGTCTGGTGCGGAATCCGTTGCCTGGCGCGACGTTCTAACCCTTTATTACATGTGTGTGTTTGTGTGTGGGTATGTGTGCCTGTGGGTGTTGTGGTGTTGGCCATGCTACATGACTGTACATGTACAGGTGGCTGGTTCCACTTTAACGACAGCACGGTGACATGCAGCACAGCAGATGCCGTGTCCAACTGCAAGGCATACCTTCTTTTCTACTTGCAACGTCCACTAGGCAGCTGTTCGACTGGTGTCAGCCGCAGCAGCAGCAATAGCACCAGTCGCAGTGCCACTGTCAAGAGCTGATGCTGTGTTGTCATTGTAGGTTTTTTTGCCATGTCCTGACGAAATACTGTTTTATTTCAGTTGATCACTTGCTAGGAAATAGTGTCCATACTCTACGTTCTCTATCGACCTCTCTTTGCACACACATACACACGCACGCACACCCTGTTTTTTGTTTTATCAATGGGCTGTGCCCATTTGCCACTTAGGTATGGTTGATGCTGGATTCATTTAGGACTTAATCCGTAGGTAGTTGTCACTTTCTCTCCGCCGGTCTTTCCTCTGTATACTTAGCTCGGTCGCATATAGGCCAGTTTCTCTCTCTCTCTCTCTCTCTCTCTCTCTCTCTCTCTCTCTCTCTCTCTCTCTCTCTCCTCCCTTCATTGCTGGCACTGCCGTTGTCAATCCGTTCTCATGATGGCCGCTGATGCTCTCTCTCTCCCGTTTTCTTTGTTTGGGTGTTTTATCGTGAACATCTCTTTCGTTTGCATTGTAACTTATTTTCTAGCCCAGTGCTATGCTGACCAAGTGTGTCTATCAACTATGACGTCAAACGTCCTGACAACTGCTTCTTTAATAGTGTTCGAAGTCTCCCTCGTTTTACCGTACGAGTCTACAATATAGGCCCTAAGGGGAACGTTTGATTGGTCGGATCCGGAACAGGATTGTTTAGATCAGGCGTTTGATTTACCTACACTGGCCTCCACTGATTTTGGAGTGTTCGGAATATGTTCTGTGCGGAACCCCTGGATCCGCCCCTATAATACTTTCAAAAGTGCTAAATACGGAATACAGTACCGCGAGGGCAGAGCCGAATGACCCGACCCGGTCAGCAATGGAACAAAGCCAACCTTACATGTTACTCCGCGTTTTATGGTTATGTTGCCAATGTTTGCTGTTCTGCATGTATAACTTTAATCGGGGCTGTCCGGGGCCGGGCATTGCCCGTAACTTTGAGATGTTCGTAACTCCGGGGCACATACATGTCATTACTACAGGCGATACACTTTGTACTAATCTGGCATGTTTCGCTACACAAAGTCCATTCTTAGGACCGACATATTCTACTATGGGATAAAATTGCTTGTAAGAATAAATGTGCACTTGAAATCCAAGTTATGATTATGAAAACATGAGGGTTCATTCTTGTAGGCAGTATTATTCTTTTACACGACCACGCTATAACCGATACGCACTGTATATCCATGTACTGAAACTCACCCGAAGGCTGTAGAGTGTAGACCGAAGCACCCTTGACTTCGGGGTCCGCATAATTGAGGTATGCTGAGTATATAGCATGATAGGGCCTAGGGCTAAGGCCTCGGAGTAACAGCAAAAAAAGAAAGCTTTGTTTCATTGCTGACTATTTTCACAGTAAAGATACTCTCTGTGAATACTTCCTGGTGCATGCAAGCACTGCACACACAATACCTTCCCTGTGCATACATGCAGTGCGCATGCATGTCAACAATACACATGCCCAGATCTCCCCCCCCCCCCTTTTATCAGTACTGCACTGCCAGGCGCAACGCAGCACACACATCATGGCATGGCACAACGTTACGTTACCGGTCAAGCACATTGCACATGCTATACAGTTGCTCTACTCTCAAATACAGTCGAACCTTGCTTTAAAAGTTAATTTACCGCACATATCCGTTTAGGCGAGGGAACCGGATAATCCGACACACACATACTGCATGTATGCATGACATACGCTGTAAATCGGTAACCAACGATTATCTTCCGGATGGCATGGGATCCGGATAAAAGAGGACTGGCTGAGGTCTGGCTGTATTTCATTCCCATGTTTTGGGAGCTGCATCTGCGCCTTGATCTTTGAGGGTGGTGGCGTTCTTACGGATGCGAAAAACTTGGCCTCTAGCTGAGTCTCACGCATAAATCGCCGCTCGCCACACGCGTTTATTCATTGGTTTGAGGGAAAGATGCAAACACGAGTTTCTACTCGTACATCTCGAGATGTGACACGCTAGTACAGTGAGGGTCACAAGGCGCAAGGCACAGCTGACATTACTGATTTCTCTCTTCCAGTGTATTGTTATTACAGTCAGACCTCGCTTATCCCGTCCTCTTTTATCCGGTCCTCTTTTATCCGGTCCTCTTTTATCCGGTCCTCTTTTATCCCGTCCTCTTTTATCCGGTCCTCTTTTATCCGGTCCTCTTTTATCCGGTCCTCTTTTATCCGGATCCCTCGCCATCCGGAAGAAAAAAGCTGGTTAAAGATGTACAGCATACGTGATGCATCTAACATAACCGGTGTTCGGTTATCCGGTTCCCTCGCCTATCCGGATATTTTTTGGTGGAAAACGGATGTGTGCGGATAAGCGAGGTCTGACTGTATTACAAATAACGCAGAGTAATTACACGATGTATATTAAAAAGCAGCATTTGCTTCCGGGAAGGCCTGATTCACAAAAACAAACAAACGCCATGGCTCAATGTAATTGCACATATGGAAAGCTGCTTCTATTGTCAAGTGCGAGTGGCAATGTCAGAAAGACTCCAGTGTATGTCTGATATAATATCAATTATCAGGATTGGTCATCACTAAAGTTGTGAACGGCACCATTCGGCTGTTCAATACTGCAACAATCTCTCTTTCTCTCTTGAAGTATCTGCAACCCCTTCGTTGAATTATTGCCGGGTGTGTGTGTGTGTGTGTGTGTGTGTGTGTGTGTGTGTGCGTGCATGCGTGTGTGGTGTGGTGTGTGTGTATGTGTGTGTGGTGTGTGTGTGTGTGCGTGTGTGTGTGTGCGCGCACGCATGTGTGTGTGTGTGTGTATGTGTGTTAAGGGTGAAACGGTTTGGGTAAGGAACCGGTTTTGGAACCGCCAGCTGAAAAGAATCGGGTACCCGTTCTGTGAAATTTCGGACCGAACCTCGAAAAATCTCGTGCTCTTCTTCCCACATGGACTCTCCAATGTCTCATTCTTACTTGTAAACATGTTTTCTAAAAAATAATTGTCACAAACACATTTTGCCGGTGTGGAGAAGAGAGTGCATGGAACCGATACCCGAGCCGTGGGAAACTATGCTGGCATTAGGGTACCCGAATATGAAAAAACATGGAACCGTTTCACCCCTAGTGTGTGTGTGCGTGCGTGTGTGCATGCGTGTGTGTGTGTGTGTGTTTGTAAAATGGTTACTAAGGGTAGTCGGGTGAGAGTGCATGGAGGAGAAGTGGAGGAGAGATTGCTGCAGGATTGGTCATGCATTCACAAATAAGACAGTATCACTCTTGCTGCTCTAGATGAATGTTCAACAGCAGCAGAGCTGCCCCTGTACGAGTACATGCGTGGAGCCTAAAAGCTCATCCAGCTGATCAACTCCAATCTCATGCAGACGTGTTTTCCGTATGGCCAGTACATGACCAGCTCAGACCATACGAGTGTACACATACAAGGCAGTAAGGAAAGTCAGAATAAATGATTGTGTCCGTTCCGGAAGGGAACTCACGATGGCCGCTAACACCCGTTAACCCCTAGGCCCTAGGCCCTGGCGGCATGCCGGCAAGGCAGTAGAATGCAGAAAGTGCCAGAAACACATACAGTCATGTATGACACTTGCTTAGCCACTACAGCAGGTACACGTTGAGATGCCACGGATAGCTGGAACACGTGACAAACCGAGACGACTCCAAATGCCGCCTTTCGTACTGGTACATCACCATTGCTGCATCTGGTAGCTATGACCGGTGCCATGGGAAACATCAGCAGTCTCTACATCATGTAGCAGAATGGGCGGTGTTAGCTTGTCCACTTTCCGGCAAGCAACTGCAGCCACTGTGCTTCACTTCATAATACGCCAAATAGTGGACAGGTGCATACCTGAAGAGTAGCCGTCACATTGCCTCCAACTTCTAGCAACATGCAGCAAGATAGCACACGGAGAGAGGGGGGGGGGGGGGGGGGGGGGGAGAGAGAGAGAGAGAGAGAGAGAGAGAGAGAGAGGGAGGGAGAGAGAGAGAGAGAGAGAGAGACAGAGAGAGTTAGCAGCCAGCCGTGGCCGACAATATCTTTGGTAAGTGATCCAGCCGTGCCCACGCACATACCTGCACCCCCCCCCCCCACCCACACACACACGCACATCTATCGCTAAAGTGCACTGGCTAAATTCAATAGATTGGAAAGCATTGCAATGGAAAGGCTACGTAGCACGCAAGCACACACACAAGCGACTGTACTGAGTTTCGTCCAGTGCTGGGCCTGGAATCGTTCTGCGCCGTGTTCCCGGTGAGAATTCAGGCTTCGTACCGTATTCACGCGCATAAAGGGGCACGCACTTATCATCGGATACAGGGCACCTCCGCATATAAAAAAGGTACGACAAAACACAAGACCCAAGAGTGTATTTTGAAGACTTGAATACTCGTATTGAAAGACATGCCCTTGTATCCGGAACATTTGTTTCCTGGCGAGATGAAAAAAACCCGCATTTTTCACATATATAAGGGCATGATGCACTTGTATGTGGGTGAATAGCACAAGTGGGATGACATAACAATAAGCCCATTGCGCAATGACGTAATTTGTACCATAAACACCCCACACAGCCACCTGGGTATGGTCTTCTGGGGTGTTGAACAGTGCATTGCTGATCCCAGTGTACTCACATAACACCCCACACAGCCACCTGGGTATGGTCTTCTGGGGTGTTGAACAGTGCATTGCTGATCCCAGTGTACTCACATAACACCCCACACAGCCACCTGGGCATGGTCGTCTGGGGTGTTGAACAGTGCATTGCTGATCCCAGTGTACTCACATAACACCCCACACAGCCACCTGGGTATGGTCCTCTGGGGTGTTGAACAGTGCATTGCTGATCCCAGTGTACTCACATAACACCCCACACAGCCACCTGGGCATGGTCGTCTGGGGTGTTGAACAGTGCATTGCTGATCCCAGTGTACTCACATAACACCCCACACAGCCACCTGGGTATGGTCGTCTGGGGTGTTGAACAGTGCATTGCTGATCCCAGTGTACTCACATAACACCCCACACAGCCACCTGGGTATGGTCCTCTGGGGTGTTGAACAGTGCATTGCTGATCCCAGTGTACTCACATAACACCCCACACAGCCACCTGGGTATGGTCGTCTGGGGTGTTGAACAGTGCATTGCTGATCCCAGTGTACTCACATAACACCCCACACAGCCACCTGGGCATGGTCGTCTGGGGTGTTGAACAGTGCATTGCTGATCCCAGTGTACTCACATGCATTACTCATACCTTCCATATTGGCAATGCGCAATGGGCTTCTAACAAGACCAAAACAGTTCCAGGCTGGCCTACAGCATGTTGAGTGGGATTCTGTAGAATTTCGCTGACGTTGGGACACACCCCAACCCGACAGCAGAGTCCAGCAAGCATTTCGTACAGGAAATGATCCCAACAATACAAGTGTGCGCACATACATGCACACACACACACACACACACACACACACGCACACACACACACATACGCATGCACACACACACACACACACACGCACACACACACACACCTTTGACCTTTGACGCCCATCGCCGGAGGCGATGATAGCAATGCTACGGCAGAAGCCATAGCAACTTGTGCTGGGATTACACCATTCAACAGCTTGCAAGGCTGAAGAATTGACCGTCACTATTCAGCCTGGTCTACACCATACAGCTATTTGGAGTGACATTTTCTGGCCAGTGAATCCCTATTTTTGGTCTTTTTAATTTTTTTTCCCGCACACACATCACACCACATACTCCGGCATGCACTGGCTGTTGGTAACCACCCAAGAGAATGAAAGATAAGTCAGGAAGAGTCTGAGAAAGAGAAGAAAGACGCGTGTGACCATAATCGTCGGGAATCGAACCCGCAATCTATCGATTGGAAATCGCTGCACATACCACTGCACCATATGGGACACACACACACACACACACACACACACCGCACACACACACCGCATACCGCAGACCTGCCCATCGCGGAAGCGATGATAGCGAACAGCTATGTTAGACATAGCAACTTGTGCTGGGATTACACCATTCAACAGCTTGCAAGGCTGATGAATTGACCGCCACTATTTTTAGCCTGGTATCCACCACACAGCTGTTTGAAGTGACTTTTTCTGGCCAGTGAATCCCTATTTTTCATTTTTCCATTTTTTCTTTTTCTTTTTTTTCTACACACACACACACCACACCACATACTCCGGCATACACTGGCTGTTGGTAACCACCCAGGAGAATGAAAGAAAAGTCAGGAAGAGACCGAGAAAGAGAAGAAAGACGTGTGCGACCATAATCGTCGGGAATTGAACCCGCAACCTCTCGATTGGAAATCGACTGCACATACCACTGCACCATATGGGACACACATACACATGTACACGCACGCACGCACCCAAACACACACACAAACACACACACACACACACACACACACACACACACACATACATACGCACGCATGCACGCATGCATACATGCACACATGACACATGTGCCATGTGGTCCTATGCTTGGAACATTGGCGCATCGAACGATCTCTTACGCATGTGACGCTGGTACTGCATTGTGAAAGTCTTCTTCTTGAGACGCAAGGCGGCTGACACAGACGGTGGCATGGTGCTGTTGTGAAACACGTTCAACCATCGGGTAATTACATGCCTCTTTCTCTGTCTCTCTCTCCTTCTTTCTCTCCTTTTTCTATCGCTTGCTGAAGTCAGCAGTGAAGGGTACAAGAAGAAGACACGACCACAGAACAAAAAAAATTGACATTCTTATTCTATTGCAGAGCAAACAGCAGGGAACGCACTGTGAAATCTAGTAGGGTGTTATGTGTCGGCAGATGGAGGGGGTTGTGGTGTGGACATAAGGCTTGGGGTGTGAAGATGGGGAATGGGGTGTGGAGATGCAGTGTGGATCAGGGCAGGGGTCCAGGTTTGAACTGCGGGCACGTTGCAGGTACGGCTGAAACAATTATACCGATAACTCGCATATCGATCGTTAAGAGTGCAATCGATAATTGTTAGCGTTCAAAACGAGTGCTAACGATTTATTATGCATGCATATCAGTGACAGTATTCTATCCCTTTCACTCCATCCGATAGTGAATAAGAGTACAATCATGTACTTTCAAGCGCGGTAAAATTGATTTTGTGGCTTTGAAAGAGATCAGGAGAGAAGACTTTTGTCTGCTTGGTTCATTTGTGTGAGAGGCCGGAGATAGGAGCAGTTGCCAGAGGGTGATGACAAGATTCTTTGCTCTAGAAACAACATGAAATTCTCTAGTTCATGTTGATAAAACCAGCCAGATTTCCACAGATGTCAACAGTGCAGTGCCACAAATTTCTAATGTAGCAAAGGTATCATGGAATTTCTTCATGAACTGGTGTACGAGGTACACGAGTAGAGCCGACAAGAATCGATAAAACCAATATATCGATCGTTAAAATGATATTGGTTGATCGTTAGGAGTTATTGAATGATCTTTTCAGCCCTAGACTGCAACGTACTACTCCGACACTGTGGACACGTGGGGGTGGGGATTACTCCCCCCCCCCCCCCCCCCCTGTGGGCATGGGATGGGGGGTGGGGGTGGGGGTGGGGATTACTCCCTGTGGGCATGGGATGGGATTACTCCCTTTGATCCAACCGACAACAAGCTCACACAACTCAGTTTGGGATATTTACAGGATACAGGAACAATATGATACAGGTGAAACAAGAGAGAAAGAAAGCTATCCGTCCATCACGGAAGGAACAACAACTAACTAGAAAAGGAAAATATCGAAGAAACAAGTAGCGCAAGCGAAAGCCAAAACGCTCTCCTCAGCAGAACGTGCACATACACGTGCGCCTACAAAGCACCCACAGCAGCGCAAACGACGCCAACGTACTACACTAATCTACACTAATTTACATGCATCAAATAAGGATTCCAAAAGCAACCGAAAAAGTAGCCAGCTCTGCAGAAGGATCCGCGACTGGAGTACAGTCCGCGTAGCCATGGGACCTCATGACGTCAACCAAACAAAAGACACAGAAAAGACGTGTCAAATAAACAATTAATAAACCAAACGCAGATTCAAACAGCAAACTAGTAAGCTAACGATAAACTAGTAACACTGAGACAATTCGACTGTCACAAACTGTACAACAAATCACATGCAAGAAGTCCTTTCACTTTGTCCACCGCTCGTTGCGTGACATCACTCCCCACCAAAGGACTTCCTGGGGATCACAATCCTAAACAAACGAATGCACGAACACCACAATCGACTCTGGTATTCCGGACGCCACGATCAATACGACTGCGTGCAAGACACCGCTGATCATCGTCGCTGTACTCTTCCCTGAGCACGTTACCCAGGCACTGCATCCTGCGACTGACATTCCATCTTTTCATCAACTTGATGGCTTCCGGCACATCACTTTCTGGCGGTTGTTGGTTAGCCTTCCTCCGTGAAACAACTGGGCACTGCGTTTCAAACCGCTTCGCTGGGTTCTCACGCGTATTGTTCGCTACACGTGGTGGCTCCTCCATCTGCCACCGCCGTTCCATTTTCGCCTCGATACAGGCCACCGACACAGTGCATCCGGCTTTTGTGTCCACTGCGCTGTTACCATTGACGACCTTCATTTCCGTCTCCACCTCAGCCGTATCCATGGCTGACACTCCAAAGCACTGTCCACTGTGCTGGGTTGTTGGAGCGACCGACTGATTCTCCACTGACGCTCGTCGTCCACGCGCCTCTTGGTCAAACACAACCGTTGTTTCCTTGTACATTGGAAACGTAATCGTGGTACATGTACTTGGGACTGTCATTACCCCCACAGCACTGCTGTCCACTAGTCCACAAGTAGACGCAGCCTCCGCCGCAGAGCGCTCCCCTCGCAACTCCGCTTCGGCCGCTCGGAACGCATGCTCCCGTTGAGCACGCGTCTCCTCCCATTGGATAGCCTGCTCCCTTCGAGCGTTGACCTCCTTCACCTTTTTCTCCACGTACTGCGCGAGTCGGCTCCCCTCGAAACCCAGGGCCTTACCAACTCGCAGCAACCGCTCCTCCAACAGCAGTCCCCCCGCGGACTCTGCCGAGTATCCTGCGCCCTCACTGGTTCTCTCCTCGAGCATCGTGGCCACTTCCTGTCAGCGCCACTGGATCCAAACAGCGTATCTATCCTGGCGTGGTCGCCATAATTTGATCCAACCGACAACAAGCTCACACAACTCAGTTTGGGATATTTACAGGATACAGGAACAATATGATACAGGTGAAACAAGAGAGAAAGAAAGCTATCCGTCCATCACGGAAGGAACAACAACTAACTAGAAAAGGAAAATATCGAAGAAACAAGTAGCGCAAGCGAAAGCCAAAACGCTCTCCTCAGCAGAACGTGCACATACACGTGCGCCTACAAAGCACCCACAGCAGCGCAAACGACGCCAACGTACTACACTAATCTACACTAATTTACATGCATCAAATAAGGATTCCAAAAGCAACCGAAAAAGTAGCCAGCTCTGCAGAAGGATCCGCGACTGGAGTACAGTCCGCGTAGCCATGGGACCTCATGACGTCAACCAAACAAAAGACACAGAAAAGACGTGTCAAATAAACAATTAATAAACCAAACGCAGATTCAAACAGCAAACTAGTAAGCTAACGATAAACTAGTAACACTGAGACAATTCGACTGTCACAAACTGTACAACAAATCACATGCAAGAAGTCCTTTCACTTTGTCCACCGCTCGTTGCGTGACACTCCCTGTGGGCATGGGATGGGGGGGGGGGGGGGATTACTCCCTGTGGGCATGGGAGGGGGGGGGGGGATTATTACTCCCCCCCCCCCCCCCCCCTGTGGGCATGGGATGGGGGGGGGGGGGGGGCATTACTCACATGCTCGCGTGGTATCTTATCATGTGGAAAGCAGTATTCATGTTTACATTGTCCCCTGAGCTTTGCGCATAAAAGATTACTGATGTTGTAATAGGGCTTGAAAGTGCTACGTCACAGCATAGCAACAATTTCAAAAATTCAAAAACTGGATCCACTTGGATCCAGTTTTTGTATGGATCCAAGCACATTTCAAGTGGTCTTACTCACAGGCTTCACAGCATGGTGATGTAGCCAGTGAAACTGACTGATTTGGCTACTGGGGGTGGGGTTACAACTGGTGGCGAAATAAAAGTCACACCTGCATGCGACATGAGTGGGTTGCTATGCACCCACATACGTAGGCAATAGCAAAGTCACACCTTAGTGGATCCAAAAATAGAAATCTGATGTCAACTTACTACTCCATGGCCGTTTTGACGTCATCACTTTCAAGCCCTATTGCAGCTGTTTGGTGATAGTCGCCATGAGTGTGTGAAAAACACCACAGGCCTATCATTTAGTGTGTTCTACCAAAACTTCTGCTCTGAGTATACATATACAGAGTCCTGATTTCACTTGAACCCCTAATACTAATACTAATAGGCACAGTTGGCTCACTGAAGGACAGCTGCAATACAATTGCACGGGTTCCCATAGCAACATGAAGGCAGCACGCCTTCTCGCCAATACCGTTCGTTTTCAGGAATCTTTGCAGCAGCCATGGGTTCTTTTGGTCATAAGGATACACCAAATAAAGAAATTATTGACATTGGATGAAGTGTGTATCGCCATAGCAACCCTCATGGCAACGAACTCCGAGACGAAACGATAATCGGATTTGCGACAGCCTACAACACATTTTAGCTGTTTCTGATCAGTTTTAGTGGTTTTCGGGATCTCTGAGGCTGTTTGCTCCATTTTTAAGTACCAGAAGCACTGAAGAAAGAAAAAGTTGAAAGCAAAACACCCTGGAAGGTAAAGGTTATCGCTTCTCGGCCTTTTGGCTAAGATCAAGTGTAGTATCTGTTCTTATCAGTTTGATCGCTGATATGTTGACTATATGTCAACATTCGATCAAATGTATTTTTGCGCCTTGGAGAGCGGCTCGAAGCTTGCTTCACCCTCTCCACGGATCACCCTGGTATCGCAGTTCTTCCAGGTGTGGTCCACATCCCTTACGGGGATCATCATAAAAATGAAGAAATAAATGGATTGAAGCAGGTGTCTACACTGCACGCATGCGAGTTGTGTAGCGGTACACCTGGTATACATCACTCACCTTTTCATTGCATCCTTCCGGCCACACCAGTGGCAGTAGTCCTGTGGAGTTCCTGCTGCTCATGATACCGGCATGTGGTCTACGGCCACGTCCACACAGAATTCTACATTTTGTAGTATAACAACCACGCCATTACATCTTTAGTGGCAAAGAGTTGATAGGACAGGATGTAGGAGGATCGAATGAAGTATCAATGCACAGCGCAGAGACATTTCAAACAAGAATTATTTTGCAGAGAGAAGCTGCCCTTGTCTTCTCGTTTTGGTTCTTGGCACTCTTTCAAAGTACGACTCCTACTACGAGTAGATTTCTACCTCGTAGAATCTACGGCTCGTACTGAGTCGTACTCGTAGATCTACACTACAGACGTCGCGACGACTCGCAACGCCGACGATCGATCATCGATTTGTGCATCGCGATCCATCGACCGAGTTCATGATAACACACACACACACGGGCAACGCGTGGCCCGAGATACTCGTCATCCTCAGGGAGTCGTAAAATACTGGTATTTTTACGACTCCCTGGTCATCCTTGCCCTGGAGTGGGGATTTCCCCAATCCAAGTTTCGAACCAGGGAGTAGTACAATACCATATATGTACTACTCCCTGTTTCGAACTGCCAGTCGAGTCGTCAGCAGGAGTCAGGTTGTTGTTTATGAATTTTTCCTCCATCAGCACGAGTAAGACGACATGCTCTTCTTCGTTCTCCTTGGGAGTATTTGAAGAACATCTGCACGAGCAAAGTCGCATGTGTAAAGTAAAGGACAGTAATAGTAATACGCTGGTCGCAATCTTTCTCTGGCTTTCAGCTGTCAGGAAACAGTGGCCGAATAATTTATTGACAGAGTTTGAATGATCTGAGAGACTTTACTGGACTGTGCAAGTGGAAACGTAAAACATTAAATTTTGTTTGACAACTACTACGCATTGTAGGAGAGCTAGAGTGGTACTTTTTCCTGGTCTCGTTTTCGTCATTCTAAAATCTTCCGGATTTGCGCAGAGTGCTGTGATAGTGATACTCTTGAAAGTGTGCCCTGTCCTACTTGCATGCCACATTGCGTGGTTCAACACTCGCGATGGCCGAGGACAAGCCAGAGAGGTCGAGAGCAGCGAATGGTGAGAGTGATTCTCTGGTGACATGGCTGCACGTGTATTTTGTGTGGACGTTATCATCCATGCAGGGCGAGAGTAAACTAAAAGTTGAGGAGGTTTGCAAATTGAGGTCCACTTGGCCATGCCCTGTGTCACAAATATTCTAAACATTCATCAGTTCTGATGTCGTGATGATGCCTTTGGTCAGTCCCAATGGAAATAGAATTAAAAAAAAGGCGACGTGGAGACAATAATCTTAATAATGCAATGAATAAAACCAAGAGTACATAAACCAGAGTGTGCAACTCGGGATGGTTCCTGTGGGAGCGTAATTCGTGCAGTACGTCATTTCTGACGGCATGGTAAGCCACAGGTACGGTGAAAAGTTGCATAACCAGTCGCGGTGGTGCAGGTCGCTGAGTTTGTCCTGATTTCGGTTTTTTGAAACGGATTGCCTGACTTAACTTGTCGGTGGATACACAGTCACACAAAACACCGAAATCCTGAAACAGGACGTCTAAAATCAAGCAAATTTGACTGATTTCCGGGCTATGAAACAAGAAATTTTGAGCTGTACGCAAGTCGCGGCTTGGCTGACCTCATCAGGGTGACGTAGTGCACGAACTGCGCTGTTTCAGATCTGACATGCACAGTTGCACACTCTGGTTTATGTACTCTTGATAAAACTACATGTACCGTATTATCTCTAATATAAGCACAGTCTCCAATAATAGCACGTCTCCAATAATAGAACACCTTGGGGCGGCATTCAAAAAATAAAGTGCTCAGTCTCCATTATAAGCACACTGTGTAAATTCATTATCTGTACCGGCGAAAAAAACCTGAAATGTGTGTATCTGACATGAATTTGGCATGGGAACATGCCTCTGAAATGAGGTTGAAATAATAATGGAACAGTCTCCAATAAAGGAACGTCTCCATTAATAGCACTGGTCGGAGGTACATTGAAAAAATAAAAGACCGTGCTTATATTAGAGATAATACGGTATATGCACACAGGGAATTTTCTAGAACCGCCCCAACCGGTTTTCGACCGGTTGAAATTGTTGGCGACCGGTTGAAAAGTTACAAATCAGTTCCAACCGCCCGTACTTTTCTGTGGGTGAATGGAGCTGCTTATATCTTTGCTACACTCCAGCACCAAGAAATCTGTTAAATTGCTGTCGAGTGCCATATTTGGGTTGTATTTTGAAAAAAAATTCCGCGGGGGGGGGGCCCGACCCCCCAACTCTTCATTGGACCGTAACCGGTTGGAAATTCGTCCTAGAATATACCCTGCGCACACTCATATCACAATCACAACCATAGCGACGAATAAAGTGTTCCAGATCGTTTTCTCGTCACGATTATCAATGGAATTCGTGACTGAAGGGAATAATGAAACTACAATAGGATTTATACACTTGAATTCGTGATCCCAATCTTTTGTAAACAAAAAGAAAATGTCACCGCACTTACACTCTTCCAGTAAATTCGCACTCGCACACACTTGCACATACATGTACATTGTCACATTGCACTTGCTGAATTTCTTATCATTTCTCACCTGTTTAGTTTTTATTACCAGTGCAATGCTTTTTTCCAAAGTTTGGAGGAGGGGCTTGAATATGTCCTGTTTGTTCAATGGTACACCAGATGACATAACATAAACGTCTCAACAACTTTCACCTGGAAAACTTGCTGATCAGCAGGAAGAATCTCCCCCGGTGAAACAAATGGGTTGACGCATTGTACACCTGGCTGCAAGCTGGCGGCAATGTTCTTCTGGCGAACTTTCAGCTTAGGCAATTGAGCTTTCCTCTCCTTGTGCTCCGTTGAATTGACGTGCATGTGAATCACATTCCTCTTCAGCCCTACATTGTACTTCCTCTCGGCCACCATTGCAGAACAGGCGGCCCGACGAAATACAAAGACACTCCTCACTACACCCGCGAACTCTCTGGGTTGGAGTCACAAATTCAAATGGCTTTGCAGGCTTCAGCTTGTCCAGCAGAGAAACGACCTTCTTGCTTTCCTCATGTTTTTCACTTTCAGCTGTACAGTCAGACCTCGCTTATCCGGTCCTCGTTTATCCCGGGATCCCTCGCCATCCGGTAGAAAAACGGTGGTTACCAATTTACAGCATATGCCATGCACACATACAGTATGTGTGTTCGATTATCCGGTTCCCTCGCCTATCCGGATATTTTTCTGGAAAACGGATGTGTGCGGTTATGCGTGGTCTGACTGTACTAAGTTATGATCACTATCCACTTGACAAACGTCAAGTACTTCACTTTCCGCATCCGCCATAGTCGTCAACCAAAAGAACTCTGGTGGAGAATTTGAAAAATTAGTTTACGTAAAAAAAAGAAGAAAAAAATTGAGAAAGAATTTCCCCATCACGTCCCGCCCATTATTCCCGCGAAATCGCTGATAATGCTGATGTGATTTTCGCACCCTAAAATGCTTGATTTAGTGCCGGCATATTTGCCGGGTCCCTAGCTGGGTCCTGATTGGCCCATGGTACACAGCTAGCTGGATCCTGATTGGCCCATGGCACACAGCTAGCTGGATCCTGGTTGGCCCATGTCACACAGCTAGCTGGATCCTGATTGGCCCATGGCACACAGCAGCTGGATCCTGATTGGCCCATGGCACACAGCTAGCTGGATCCTGGTTGGCCCATGGCACACAGCTAGCTGGATCCTGATTGGCCCATGGCACATAGCTAGCTGGGTCCTGATTGGCCCATGGCACATACCGTATATTCTCTATTATAAGCACAGGTCTCCATTACTAGCACAGTCTCTAATACTAGCACACTGTGAGCACCTTTCGAAACATTATAAGCACAGTCTCTATTACTAGCACGGTCTTGGTGGAAATCAATGCTGCATGCATGATATCTAGCATGTATTTCTTCTCGCTCTGTATGAATGCATTGGTTGAAAAAATATAAGCACGGTCTTCAATATAAGCGCGGTCTCCAATATAAGCACGGTCTTCAATATAAGCGCGGTCTCCAATATAAGCACGGGGTAGAGGGGTGTTGAAAAATATAAGCACGGCGCTTATAATAGAGAATATACGGTAGCTAGCTGGGTCCTGATTGGCCCATGGCACATAGCTAGCTGGGTCCTGATTGGCCCATGGCACATAGCTAGCTGGGTCCTGATTGGCCCATGGCACATAGCTAGGTGGGTCCTGATTGGCCCATGGCACATTGTCATGGTCAGATATGCAGAACCAACCGGCAATGGCGAGTTGGAAACAACAGCTTTGTCCAAACTCTCCGCTCGACCTGGGGCCAAAATCGAGCCGTTGCGGATTTACCAGGTACTTATTTATACGTCGTCCTTGCGGAAAGAACACACCACATTTGATTTTGGCTTCACAAAGGACACCGAACATTTCAACCTCTGCGCCATATGGCACAAACATACACATACTGACCCAAGGCAAAAAATTAGGGGATGCACACATCCGCTTTTTGTCTCCGAATTTTCTGGTCATCACGTTGTTCTCTTTCCACTGTACTGTGCCGTTTCCAGTTGTCGATGGCAAAGGGAGTGAAGGCGAAGACAGCAGTAGCAGCGGTGTCCTTCTCGACATGTCATTGTTGAAGCAGACAGAGAACTGGGACTGTGGAATTGCATGCTGTGCCATGGCTCTCCGGTAAGGATGTCATCATTGACTGGCACCTCTGCCTGTATGTGTGTGTGTGTGTGTGTGTGTGTGTGTGTGTGTGTGTGTGTGTGTGTGTGTGAAAGACGGTTCTCAAGGCCACAGGACTTGCAACGCCATGCCAAATATTGTTGACTTTGCGATTTCTCTCTCTTCTCTTCTCTCTTCTTGTCGTTGTCTCCCGCTTCTGGGAGCGGCGTGGCCCGATAGGGTAGCTGTACATAGTAGTAGTAGTAGTAGTGTGTGTGTGTGTGTGTGTGTGTGTGTGTGTGTGTGTGTGTGTGTGTGTGTCTGTGCGTGTGTGTGTGTGCGTGGGCGCGTGTGTGTGTGTGTCTGTGTGTGTGTGTGGGGGGGGGGCGTGCGTGCGTGTGTGTCTGTGTGCGTGGAGTGAGGTAGGTGGGATTGTAACCAAACTATTTGGTTCACAGGATTGATCCATAATTATAATAATTATGAGATGGGTGGAAGCAACCCCATGCCTAAAGCTTGGGCTAAGCGCATCTCCAAGCTGTACAAGACGACAGAGCAAAGAGTCCCACTAAAATATAATCACCCCTACATGTGCTGCTGGGCATACAACCCTTTTGTATGGGTATGCCCTGAGGAAAGTACATCACAAAGTACTAATCTCAACTCCTGTTGTCAGTCGAGTAGACACGCAGTAGTGGCAGTAGTGGCGGTAGTGGCGGTAGTGGCGGTAGTGGCGGTAGTGGCGGTAGTGGCGGTAGTGGCAGTAGTGGCGGTAGTGTGTCGTGTGACGATCTTTCCAGCTAGCGTGGTATACATGCAGCATTCAAGTGCATAGTCCTATAGCATTCAAGTGCATAGTCCTATAGCATTCAAGTGCATAGTCCTATAGCATTCAAGTGCATAGTCCTATAGCATTCAAGTGCATAGTCCTATAGCATTCAAGTGCGTAGTCCTGCAGCATTCAAGTGCACGGTGCTGTAACATTCAAGTGCACGGTGCTGCAGCATTCAAGTGCACGGTGCTGCAGCATTCAAGTGCACGGTGCTGTAACATTGCAACAGCAAATGCACAGGTATAAGCTTAGTACTACAATGGGTATGAGATTCACGCTGCCAGCCCCCAACATGAACAACATCACCTAGGGATATCGACTTACTGGTGTGGTGCGTTTCCAGCGCGACAAACACCTCCTCGTGAGCACCAGGGGCAGCAGTGCGAGTCAGTATCGCCGATTATCGTTAGCGCCAAGCATCATCACGTACCTGCTTTCCTTTGCGGTACAAGTAGGCTTGTGACATTATTTGCTTCTTTCTGTTGCATTCTCAGAGCATGTCCAATTGTCCATGCTGGCAGAATTTCTATGGGCACTCCAGTGATGGAATGGAGAGAAGTGGCAAAGTGGTGTATTCTAAACAGTTCTAGTATTTTCTACTATTTTGCTCAGTGCATGTACTGAATGCAGTACTGTCGTGGCCTCTGGCTTCCCCTGGATAGCTCGTGTTGGTTTCTCTGCGTCTCTCATTTTCCTTGTGTGCGTGTGTGCATGTGTATGAGTGTGTGTGTGTGTGTGTGTGTGTGTGTGTGTGTTTGGTTGTGTTTGTGTGTGTGTTTGGTTGTGTTTGTGTGTGTGTTTGGTTGTGTTTGTGTGTGAGTTTGGTTGTGTTTGTGTGTGTGTGTGTGTGTGTGTTTGGTTGTGTTTGTGTGTGAGTGTGTATGTGTGTGCATGTGTATGTGTGTATGTGTGTGTGTGTGTGTGTGTGTGTGCATGTGCATGTGCATGCTCAGTTACTACGGTCAGGATGTTAGCCTGAAGACGCTGAAGGTGCAGAGTTTCGACATTGGCATGACCAAGAGGTAGGCTATGGGTAGGCTATGGGTAGGCTATGGGTAGGCTATGGGTAGGCTATGGGTAGGCTATGGGTAGGCTATGGGTAGGCTATGGGTAGGCTATGGGTAGGCTATGGGTAGGCTATGGGTAGGCTATGGGTAGGCTATGGGTAGGCTATGGGTAGGCTATGGGTAGGCTATGGGTAGGCTATGGGTAGGCTAACAGGTAGGCTATGGGTAGGCTATGGGTAGGCTATGGGTAGGCTATGGGTAGGCTATGGGTAGGCTATGGGTAGGCTATGGGTAGGCTATGGGTAGGCTATGGGTAGGCTATGGGTAGGCTATGGGTAGGCTATGGGTAGGCTATGATGGCGTACTGTAAGTCTACAAATATTTGGCGCATGATATTGATTATTTTCGGCTATATTCGGCCTGGTCAAGTTTGGCCGAAAATTTGTTGCAGCCAAAATTTTGTTTTGCAAGGTTCAATGTGACAGTGCATACAGGCGGCAGCAAAACAGGCTGAAAATTTGAAGCGGCCGAAATGGGTTTTAGCCCTGGGAGGCCGAAATTTGAATGGGCCGAAAATTTGTCGACTTACAGTAATGATGCCTTGATGAACTCTGCAGTGTGCACTGCTTGTGCTGGTCTCCAAGCAGATGTGTACAGAGTTCCTGTGCTCCGTATGACCAAGAGTACATGAAAACAAGAGTGTGCAGCTCGGATGGGCTGCTGTCACGGCGGAATTCCGTGATTACATCATTTTCACGGGCGTAGGAACCGGTCCGGCAGGCCCGGCGGTCGCCGGACCAATAATTTTCGAATTCTTTATTTAATTTTTTTACATTTCAACCTTGTTGATGGCTTGTCGACTCTTGTACAGGTACCATGTTTTACATCGACAATGCGGTGTATCATCAGCATGCATATTATATTATTCCCGTAGCTATGCAGAAGACGTTACTTCAGTAACGTCTGGCGCTAGCCAGGGTCCACACAGCTTTAATTTGGTATTTGTTTGTGTGTTTGTTTGTTTGTGTCACGCCTGGTGCTATCCCGTATCTGACGGCAAAAAATCATAGGGATGTTATAAATTTTTCAATTCTCCTATTTTTTCAGGCATATCCTGGGATTCGAACCCGCACTATCGCCCGACATGCATTCCCCCATACACTTCGCATTCATACCCATTCTTCCAAGTTGCTTCACGTTATGATCTTGCGTTTGAAAGCCCTCTTTGAATATTGCGGGCAGCTGTATGTGGCCAGCTGTGTTTGATGGTACGGTACGGGAGACGGTGTCGTATTACCCTCGATCGTACCTGTCCCGTACCTATCCCTACCGTACCGTACCATCAAAGATGGCTGGCCACAATGCATATTCAAATCGGGCTTTCAAATGCAAGATCATAATGTGAAGCAACTTGGAAGAATTAGTATGTATGCGAAGTGTATCGGGGGATGCATGCAGGGCGCGATAGTGCGGGTTCGAATCCCAGGTTATGTCTTAAAAAAAAGGAATTTTTTAAAGAATTTATAACATCCCTATGCTTTTTTTTGTCTAGATCATCAAGGCAAAAAAGCATAGCGTAGGGCCCTGAGCTTCCAATCTCTCTCGTTATAGGCTTTTCCGCGTTGGCATCGCCAAGCAAGCTTGGCTAGCCTTCGCATAAGCTGCTCCATGATGATGAGACGAAACAATGAATGCATGTATATACGATCTAGGACAGAACCAAGATCGTTCATGCATATTCTTATTTCTCATATTATTCTGTAGCATTAAAATATGGCCTTTTAGGCCCAATTTTAAAAAAATTCCCGGGGGAGGACCCCCTCACCCCACTCTTATAATTTCGCCGCACCAATATTTAACTGCTTCCTACGCCCCTGATTTTAGTGATGTAGTGTATACAAGCAGGATTCAAGCAGGTCTCTTTCTGCACAACTGCAGCTCAGTTGTACACACTACGCCACATCCCCGCCTCAAATCTGCGCCATATATGATGTAATCACGGAATTCCGCCGTGACAGACACCCATAGTAGAAAATGCCCCAAGCTGCACACTCTGGTTTTCATGTACTCTTGGTATGACCAATGCTTATGCAGTGAAGCAGTGCAGTATAAGGTATCCTTGACAACAACAAAAATATATTGGATGATTCGCGTGCCGAACAGGTCAAGAACCACCTTTCCGCTTCTGTGGGACACCACCACCCCATGATGAGGCATCAGATGCGGCTCCTAAACGGTGGGGGAGGATAGATCAGATCGACCAACCACAGGCCAAAGGTCAAAATCCCATTTAATTTGCCACATCCATGTTTTCCTCGTGCCAGGCCACGTGTTCCCAATTCACTGTGGGTAGCAGCACGGCTGGAAAAAATTCTTCCGCTTCCAAGCAGGACTTGAACCTGGTACATGTACCTCTTGTTTCTCAATCATGGTCTTGGACCAACCCACTTTGCCTGCCTGCATCGTTGACAAATCATACTTTAAAACTATGAGATACACAATAGGGTTATGCACAAGTGCGTCTACCGATAAAATTAAAAAAAAATCGATTTGTGTTCCGCGCTATACTCAGGTTGCGTTTGTTCGGTGTCATTCTGGCGCCATTCCAAAGTCATTCTGCCGTGTTTTGGTTCCGGTGCGTTTGTTTGATGCACACGCCAGCGTTTATTCGGTGCAATTTCGATTCCGGCCGCGGAATGTATGGGGCAGAATCGATTTCGGCGATTCCAAAGAAAAAGTGGAATGACTGCTCATTCCGAGCGGAATGAAAATGCACGGCGGCCACTGGGGGCCTTGTCATGCGCACATATGTGTGCATGCCTGCATGTGCGTTTATGCGAATGTGCACATATGTTAATGTGTGCGCGTGCATGTGTGTATATGCAGGGGCGTCACCCGTGATGGGCACGGGGGCACGTGCACCCCCCCCCCCCCCCCCCGTAAAAATTCGACTCTTTTTTTGCGAACTCCTGGTTATGAAAAGTGTAGTGCTGGTAGAATCTACTAATAAACTGCATGCACTAAAACTAGTTGTACTTGCCTGCCGCGATCGCGTGTGTGCAGGTAGCGAGTGCATGTAGCGAGTGCATGTACACGACCGATTGTAGTGCTACTAATTTAGTACTTACCTACTACGCGCGTGCACGTGTGCGCAGCGCTGCATCCTTTGGCCTTGTACAGGTGGAATCCTGATAGAGTCTTTGGAGCTGTTTCCTCTCACAATGTCGTCTTCTCGAAAAAGGAAAGCGTCTGGCCAGCTCACTATCAGCGAACTTTTTCGTGTGTTCCTGTGCAAAATTCCTGTGCACCCCCTGTGAAGGGGTCCGGTGACGCCCCTGATATGTGTGTACATGCGTACATATGTACATATGTGTGCATGCCTGCATGTGCGCTTATGTATACGTGTACGTGTATGTGTATGTGTGTGAATGTGTGCCTCCCTATGCAGTACATGGACTGTTGAGCTATGCTATCTACTGCACCTGAATAGTGTGAGAAATCGCTATCACACCAGCAGCATTTGTGTCAACCCGGAGCTCGGAAAGGAGGTGTGTGTGTGTGTGTGTGCACGTGTGTGTGTGTATGTGCATGTGTCTGCCTGTCTGCATGCCCGTCTGTTTCTTTATGTGCATCTCCATGTCGTTCTTCTTTTTATTCTACATCTCTGTCTGTCTGTCTGTCTCTCTCTCTCTCTCTCTATATATATACATAATGACATGGTTACACATGATCAGCCATTCTCTCTCAGTCACCCTATTAGAGAGGTTCCGGGGTACGATTTTCCGTGCCAAAATCCGTACGGCGCTACGGATTTTTTCGAGGCGTGCTCCATACGATTTTTCGGCACGGAGAATCCATGTGGACTGGCTTTCATACGAACCATGTTTCGTATGGAGATTTTGCATCATCGGGTGCAGAAAGATTTTTCGCGTACAAAGTTCATACGAGAAACATCGATTTTCCGCGGGAAGTTTTGATTTAGGGGTCGTCGCAAAAGTTTTTTGTCGTCCCTGAAACGAACATGATTCATTTGGGGGGGGGGGGGGGGGGGAGGGGTGCGAGCCAAAATCGCAAGTCGACCGATACTGTACATACGACATGCACATGCATGCGATTTTCGTCGTCCAGCATAGCAAGCTGTGTTCGTTTCAGAGGGAGGGGAGGGGGTCCGAGTACGAAATGAACGATGTTCGTTTCAGGGACGACAGAAAACTTTTGCGACGACCCCTTAGGTACAACTTTTCAAAATAACAATTCTGCATGCACATGCTATGTGTGTTCTTTCCCAGGACTACTACGCAAAGAGCTTTGTGGATGACACTGCCCGAATCAACAAGCTGTTTGATCGGGTGAACGAGCTCGGCCTGCAAGTATCACAAAGGTAGGGTTCAGTTTTCTCCCTGGTGTTTTTATTACAGTCTATTCATAACAAAAATATGGGTTCTGGGTGTGGAATGCTCCCGTTTTGAGAGAAAGTAACTGCCGTAACATTTCGTAAATAAGCAAGTACTCAGATGGTGAGCCAAGGAAAAATTGTAACATGGAAAAATATGGGCACAATTTATGCGATCGAGTCCACCAACTAAACCAGATTTTCTGACTTCTGACTTTTATGCCGCGGAATGTCTCAGTACTCCTCTTTGTCAGTTTTGTGCTAGATTGTGCACGTCTGACTGTTCAAAATCTGGTTCAGTTGGTGGACTCGATCGCATAACTTGTACCCACATTTTTCCATGTTACAAATAAGTAAGTCCCTACTTACGAATTTAGTGGTCACACCCGTACTAACTTTCGGGCGGGTTACTAACTTTCGGGCGGGGTACTAACTGTCTGGCGGGGTACTAATTATCAGGGGAGAACTAACTTTCGAACCTGACTTGTGTGTAGTGGAGAAGTCCTTTTTCATAATGATGTACACGCTAAGCGCTGCATGTGCGAACTGTACTCATTTCGGGCAGTATGTTTATCGGGTTTGACTTGATTTGACTTCAACAAACAGGGTCAGAAAGATGAAAGGGGTATTTATTTCGGGCAGGTACTTATGTACGGACTTTTACGGTATTCCAGTATGCAAATAACACTCTTTGCTTCCAAGTGATTCGCATGGAGAGTTGTGATTGGCCAATTGTCTGGATCTACGAGTAGGCACATGGCTCAAGGAACACTGAGGTTGCATTTGTTCGGTCATTCCCGAATGGGCATGGAATGACGTCGGTACCCATCGTGGAATCGGAATGAGCGTAGCCAAGAGTAGATAAACAAGAGTGTGCAACTCCGGATCTCTCCTGCACAATCTGCAGATACCCCGCGCCCACGGCGGAATTTTTTGTTTACGTCACCTTTTTTCAGAGAAACGCGGCTTTGCCGCAGAGCAGTGTGAGAGCACGTGCTGGGCACCGACCTTGTAGTGTAAAGCCCAGCCAAGTGCACGAGGGAAAACTCTCCAAAAGGCTCGCAGCGCGTGCGTCGTCGAAAAGATTACGTCAACAAAAAATTCCGCCGTGGGCCAACCCATCCGCGAGTTGCACACTCTTGTTTATCTACTCTTGGAGTAGCAAACAAACGCGCTGGCATGGATTCGAGAACCTGGCAAAAGTTTTGCGCCACTCTGGAAACGTATTGCCTGTTGTTTGCACAAATTGCAGCCTTGCGAAGACTACTACATGCCAGTCCTGGTAGTTGCTATATGCTTCCGTAAGTTTCTGCATGTCCCTACGACAGTCATGATGAATGAGCGGCCAAACACGGCGTAGATCAACGAGCGATCGTAACTAGGGTGCCTGCAGGCGGCGTTTGGCCGCTACTTCATCATGCTATACGACCTCGTACCAGTCACAGAAACGTCTCTAGCTCTCGTGTTTATTTGACAGAGACGAGGCACTGTTGTAAGACGAAGTGAAGTGGCAGGCTCGGTGCCTCTTTGGGTCAATTTGTTCTGGCCCGCCTCTTTGTGATTCTAGAGGCCCTGCTCGACGACGATGAAGAGCTGAGGTGCGAGGGCATATTTCCAGTTCATCAACGATCCCGGGCGAACACTTTCTCAGGCAGCGAAGGGTCAAAATACCACGAACAAGTTACTATGCCGTCCCCGAGGTTACAGTACCAGCCTATACCCTGGACGATGTCCGCCAATATTTCTGTATACCGATAATCGCGTTTGAAGTTTTGTTGGGGAGGTATGCAGCAACGACGAACTTCACGAAGCCCCTCCGCACATTTTCATTCCGCTCGGAATGAGAACTCATTCCACTTTTTCTTAGGAATCGCCAGAATCGATTATGCCCTCTTCATTCCGCGACCGGAATCGGAATTGCACCGAACAAACGCTGTCCATTGCATCAAACAAACGCTCCGGAATCGAAACACGGCAGAATGACTTTGGAATGGTGGCGGAATGGCACCGAACAAATGCAACCTGAGTCACTCGTGCTCATGCACCAGACATTATAACGACACCAGAATCTTGCCAAACAGCACAGCGAATGACTGTTAGGGGCAGCATCAGTGTACACCTATCAACATGTTAACTCCAGCTGCTGTATGTCATATTGGATGACCCATGTGAACATGGCGTGCTAGCTTCTCACGTAAAACTTGTGCAAGTAGCCTGTGTTTCAATGCCAAACACATCTCCAGGACCTGGCTCGTAGTCAGCATCACTGATACTCCATGCATCGCCTCCTGTCAAATCCCATGCTTCACCGAAGTTGTGCAAGGCACAGCAGGAGAGGGCGACGTCAGCAGCCAACACAGGAATACGCCGATCGCATCCATCCAGAATGCGGGAACGTCCCTTCAGACGACCGAAGGCTTGCTCGACCACTCTTGTCGTGTGTTTCGAGCGGACATTGAAGGTACGCTTGTGTGGCTCCAATGGTCCATGTCAGTCGTCGAAGCATTTCATCATTTTGTTCGAAAAAGGGAAGGCAGCATTACGAACTATAAACGCACTAATGTACGTGCCTGATATTGCGTTGTTGGTTGGGCCTCGTTCCTTGATGGTCAGCCATGTTCTGCTGGCGATGTTTCTTGAAAGGTGGCTGGCATGGAAGGTGGCTGCATCGCCAACGGAGCCAACCCGACCAACTTTGAGGTACGTAAAATGGCCACGGTGGTCCACAGGACCACAGCAGCAAGTCTTGTTCTTGCAGGATATCGTTGGTAGCACCAGTACGCATTGCCGTGTATCAAGCGCTTCCCGCGGATGCGCATGGATGTTCCATCATTTGCGCCAGGACAACGAGGAAGGCCACATAGTCCCCGGAGCCCTTTCATGACCTTCCCCAATTTCTTGCCTGTGGGAAATTTGATTACCTCCAGAAGCGGGGCAGTCTTTTTAAAGACTTTTCTGTGCTAGAATTCAGTGACATGGTAGGGTATCACGGATGATGGAACCCTTTCATGGCCTTGCGCAATTTCTTGCCAGTGGGAAATTTGATTACCTTCGGAAGCAGAACAGTCGTTTTAAGGGCTGTTCTGTATTAAAAAAAATACATCAACGGTATCTTGGGTGATGGAACCCTTTCATCGCTGTGTACAATTTCTTGCCGGTGGGAAATTTCATTACTTTCAGGAAGTAGAAACAGTCTTTAATACGTTAACGGTATCATGCGTGATGGCTGCAGCGGCTGACTTTCCGACGCTGAACATCAGGACGAGTTGTGCCATTGCTGTGTTGTGAGATAACCAGTGCAGAGTGCTTGCTAGCCGCATTGCAGAATATACTGGGCGACGGTAGTTTGTGATTTCTCTCTCCAGATGCCCACCAATATCGGCATGCAGGGCCCAAGAGGATGCTTTGCTCATTCTCAGATGAAGCTTGTATTGATCGTTTTCCCAGTCAGCTACATCCCACGCGACTCCCATCGTGTTCCTGTGCATGATGGCTGTCCTCATTCCGCGGACCTGGCCTGCGAAGAGCACGCCAAAAACGCCTCTTTCGATTACCGAATCCTGGAACATTGGACAAAATTACCAGAATAGCATTGTCACCATTCTCCTCGTCATCATGCTTCCGTTTGCGCATTGGACTCGGGACAGCAATTGGCGGAGCAGAAAGCTCAACATCAGGAAACAAAACCCGAAGCATGGCGTCCATGCACAACAAACAAGAAAAAGAGCTCGACGTCGGAATTCAGGATCTATGGCTTCCTTTGCTTCTAGTTGCCCTTGCCTGGGTCTTGGGGAAGAGGAGGCGATTTTGCAGTGCAGAGAGGCGAAGATAGTTCTTGTAGAAGGCACACGTGTGTGTGTGGGGGGGGGGGCAGGGCTAGATACACAGGCCTTGTCCTGCTCTGAAATTGTACTTTTTGTGGTGTGTGTGTGTGTGTGTGTGTGTGTGTGTGTGTGTGTGTGTGTGTGTGTGAGTGTGTGTGTGTGTGTGTGTGTGTGAGAGAGTGTGTGTGCGTGTGCGTGTGTGTATTCAGGGAGCCCCCGCTGGAGGACTTGGTAGCCCACCTGGACCAGTGCAGACCTCTTATTGTGCTGGTCAATGCCATGCTTCTTACCTGCAAACACTGTGCGGCATCTGAGTGTGCACACTCTGCCGATAGCAGATCAACAGCTCCGTATCTCGGTGAGTAGGTCACGGTGAATCGTAATTACTAATTACAGTAAAACATGTCAAGGCGACCGTTCGGATTAGACGACCACCTGTCCTAGAAGACCACTGAAACCAGGACCAAGGGATGCTATTTCCTGTCAAATGACCCTGGATAGGAGACCACCTGGTAGCAGAGACCATGTTTTGAAGGTCTCTTGAGCGGTCGTCTTAGACAGGTTTCACTGTAATGGTACAGTCAGACATCGCTTAACCGCACACGTCCGTTTTCCACAAAAATATCCGGATAGGCGAGGGAACTGGATAATCAAACACACATACTGTATGTATGCATGGCATATGCTGTAAATCGGTAACCAACGATTTCTTCCGGATGGTGAGGGATCCGGATAAATGAGGACCGGATAAGCCAGGTCACTGTATGTTCAACTGTGCTGGCCTAGAACAGGGTCGAGTATTACTGTATTAGGCGAACGACTTGAACAACTGCGAGAGAATCGAACGATGATGACCATTCCAGTCGCAATGCGATATAAGCCACAAATTAACGCTTGGCCGAAGTTCCTGTCTAGGGACTTCCCCTTCCCCCTTCCAACCTGCCAGCTGTGCGCTTTTGTACTTCTCAACAATTCTGCCCCGGTGCATGTACCTGAGATGTTCTAATGGTATAGTTGAGTTGCTCATGTGCAGCCATTGTCATGGCAGCCGACCGATCGACCAATCGCTGCGCACCTTGCATGTATACTTGTGCCCTGTGTGACCTGTGCCTGCAATCCAACAGCCCGCTCATCATATTTGCGTTTACGCGCGAGATTTGTGCGGCTACTTGGTTGCGTTAGATTTTTTGGTTGCGTTAATGGGTTTTTCCATGTTTGTGAGAGTTTAGAAGTACCGTAAAGTACCGCCAGAGCGCCCCATGAACTCGTCCTTTTGTAGTCGTGCTGTGGAGGTGGTGTCCTGTCTGAAGGTCATACGATACGTACCTTGTACACTTACTCGCTCGTTTCAAATTTTCGAGCGAGTGCTCGAGTATTCAATATACTGTACTCGTTTCACCCCTATTGTACACACATTGCACGCTGTACAGTCAATCCGTACTCAGTTTACCTTTGAGCTCCAGACAAAAACATGCTAAGCGTGACCTCAGGACACTAAGGGCGTGCTCGATTGGTAGGATCGGGATCCAGATCCAGATCTCAGACCCGTCGGATCCTTCCAGGGTCAACTGAACACTTTCTTTTGGGCCTTGGCTGTTGCCATGTTGACGAAGTAATAAATGACGCTCACGGGCCACCCAAAAGGGTGAAAGTCGTACTCATCGCGCGCGCAGGTAGTACTGTAGCGGGCCTGGAGGCAAAACAACCTAACAACTCGAAACTAACTAACGTGTTACTTTATTCTACAATTCTCACTCTCTCTCTCTAGACGGCAAAACTGTCTCTAGCAGTAAAACTCTGAACTCATTGTGAAAAGATAAAATAAACACAATTTATGGAAAATAATCACCGCCAGCAACGTACTGTCATGCGACCGTTGTATGGTAGAACGAACGTCGTAATGAACAGTACGCTGAGCGTATACGCAAATGCTGAGCTTGTAGCGTGACCAACGTGTGACCAACGCTACAGTACGACAATTCGCAAAGTCAACAAGATCTATCTCGACCCACGTGTGTGCGGACCACATTAGAGAGGTTGTGCATAACGAAAATTCGTAAAGATCTTTCGGAATCTGAGCCGTCTGGAAGTGATGAAAATTCATAAAGAAAATCTGTTGTGCTCAACGAAAAACGTAGCGTGACCATGGTGACCCTTTCGAGTACTTTTTCCGCTGTTTGCGCGCGTGGTGAACAATTTTTTGAATCAAGTGTGTACTCCGGCCCACGTGTAGGCACACATGTAGGCTAGAGGAAGAAGTTTTTATCAATTCTAGTTGCAGTGTTGACTATTCTAATCTTCATGGACTTGGAAGAGTACGATAGCCTTATAGCTATCCTGCTTCTCGCCCACTCTGAGGGCGATGTTGATGATGAGGAACTTCTTTTATTGCTTATGGCAGCAGAAGAGGACCGGCAGCTTTCGCAACGCCATGTTCTCGGCCCTCGAATTTGCCTGGGATCGTTGGATGACGAAACATGTGAGCTGAGGTTCCGCTTCTCTAGTGCGGAAATAAGGGAGTTGAATCAAGCTCTCCACCTGCCGCAGAAGTTTGTAGGACCATCACGTACGGCATGGACAGGGCTGGAAGGTTTGATGGTAGTCTTGCGTCGCCTGGCCTATCCTTGTCGCCTTTGTGAGCTGTCCGATGAGTTTGGCAGAAGCTCTCCTGATCTCAGCAGAATTTTCAACACAACCTTGATGTGGATTTGGCAAAATTGGGGGGGGGGGGGGGGGGCTTCTTGAGGACCCTTTCACCAAGCCGCACTTCACAGCAGCACTCCTAGAGTCGTACCATACGGCCGTCCGCAACAAGTTCGAGGTCGACTTACGGATTTGGGGCTTCATCGACGGTACAGTCAGACCAATCTGCCGACCAGGCGAGGAGCAACGGATGTATTACAATGGACACAAACGTGTCCATGCACTTAAATTTCAAGCAGTTACAACGCCCGACGGCTTGATTGCGCCTTTGTATGGGCCCGTTGTCGGCAGTCGTCACGATCCTGGAGTACTAGGTGAAAGTGGATTACTGGCGCAGCTCCAGCAGCATATGCAGCTGCCGCATGGCCCGCCATACGCACTCTATGGTGACCCAGCTTATCCGCTAAGCCCCTATAACGTTATCGAGAAGGGATATGTCGGTGCAGCTGCCGCTCCCCAGCAACAATTGTTCAATGGCCGAATGAGCTCAGTGCGGCAGTGTGTGGAATGGTCATTTGGAGAAGGTTCACTGTACTGGGCCTTTGTGGACTTCAAGAAGAACTTGAAAGTTCGCCTCCAGCCTGTGGGCATCTACTACCGAGTAACAGCTCTACTGACTAATTGCCGAACCATAATCAGAGGTGGGAACAAGACGTCCAGATATTTCGGATTGCAGCCACCTACCCTTCTTCACTACTTGCAGTGAACATGGAAGCATGACCTGATCCCTGTGAGTGTGCCTTTTACTTGCAGTCTGGCACTGTTAAACAAGATGCGGACACGGCAACGCACTCAGTAAAATAAATATGCATCGATTTGTATTCACATCATAAGTTCAAAACAGCTGAAGTATTGCATGTGTATGCGTTGACAAGCGCTATGATAGCTTATGGGCCAGTGCTTTCATGACGTCCATGAACGCTCTTCTCTCTCCCGCCATGTCTTCCTCACGCTTGTCGCCCCTTGCTCTGTCTGCCCGCTCCATCACTCTGCCGTGCTCTCTTTCTCTTTCATCTGCAGCCAATTTCTCCCGCTCCAGCTCCATTTTCTCCTGCTCCAATTTCAACTTCTCATCTTCTTGCTGCTGCTGTGCTTTTGCTTTTTCCTTTTCAAACTCGAGCTCCTGGCGGCGCATTGTGATATCATCCTTGTGCTTTGATTCAAGATAATCCAGGACAACCTCCATCCCTTGCAGCTTTCGCTTGGCTTTAGGCTCAGCATGGCCAGCTTTGGCAGCGTCTGACTTTTCTCCGAGCGTCAGGCATGCGTCATCGCGCGCTTCAGCAGCTAGGTGGTGCTTGGCTTGCGTAGCCCCCTCACGTCGCTGCATGGGCGTATCTTCCTCAGCGTAGATATCTTGCAGCTCTTGCAGCAGTTGCTCTTTCTCTGTTATATCTTCGTTCGTACCAGACCTATGCAACACATACAGCAAGCGGAGAGGGAGAAGCGCGCGCGCGTGGGTGCGCGCACACACAGTGACACACACACACACACACACACGTGCACGTGCATGGGCGAGCGCAGACACATACGCACAGGAAGAGAGGCTTGGTAACTACTACTTCAGTACATAGTTATAGTACATGGAATTGGTAACATGGACAAAGTGAAGCTTGAAAATTGCTTGCATGTGAATCAGACATAGCAGTAATCAGATCGACATGCATGTACATGTACATGCATACGGAGCAAACAGAGTTGGGCTGCATGCAAAGCCAGTTCGTATAGGAACTTACATCCTTCTCTTCCAGTCGTCGCCTTTGGCGAACAGCTCCAGCAGCTTCATCACTCTGTCGCGAATAGCTTTCTTCGTCACACCACCGAACTGAGTTGGGCTCAAGTTTTCCAGCTCACAGGCAACGATCTCCATGGCTGGAGACCCAGAACTCAGAACTCAGATAGTACTGTAAGACGTGTTATTATAACGAGTCGCAAATTTAACGATTGTCCAAAATTCATAGGTTAACGAGAAGATATGTTAACGATCCGGCAGTATTCCGCCATATCCGAACACAACATATATGAAGCCATACGGCCTAAATGGATCTTATTATAACGAAGAAATGTCATCCGTTAAAACGTTAGATTTGCTTCCTCGTTGAATAGTCATGTCTTACAGTACGTACCCTTGTAAGACGTACAGACGGTTAGTGCGGTGGTTTTTCGTCGCACGGATTTTCCTGTATCCTTTGCACCGTGTGAAGACTCTCATACTTGCCAACCATACCGGTTTTCCCGGTATTATACCGGGAAACTACGGTCACTACCGGCATACCGGGGCTTTTTGACTTTGATCGAAAAACTACCGGTATTGGCACTGAACCATGAGTGTTCAAACTACCGGTATTGGCACTGAACCATGAGTGTTCATAAAGAAGGTTGTTTTGTGGTGTGACAAGGGCACATGCGGCCCTGCATTTCACAGAATCACACATGTAGGGGCGATCTGGCAATAAAGAAACTCAGGTTTTGGTCCCCCGATTAGCAATGGGTTAGGAATGAATCAAAAAATTGCGGAAAATGAGCAAAAATAATCAAAAATTGCCCCCAAAAAAGAGAAAATGGCCGAAATTGGCGAAAACCAGGAAAACAAGGGAAATAGAGAAAATTAAGGGAAACTGGGTGTGTGACTAAGGGATTTGCTTTGGCTGGGTTAGCAAGTATGGACTCCTCTGTAGTCATCCAGTATAATTATACTTATTACACCATTTTATATATAGCAGGTAGCGTCTTGGTGTACATGTACGTGTTGCTGCATTTCTTTTGGTGGGTGGGTGGGGGATTTGAGGAAATATGTCATGAGATGAACCAGTAAAAAAACAAAAAAACAAATGCACACTCAGCGCAACACCATCGGTTGCCACTGCTGTTGTACACACTGGTGGGGTGTGTGATGCATGTGTGTGTGTGTGTGTGCGTGTGTGTGCGTGCGCGTGCGTGTGTGTGGTGGATACCAGGCTAAAATTAGTGGTGGTCAATTCATCAGCCTTGCAAGCTGTTGAATGGTGTAATCCCAGCACATGTTGCTATGTCTAACATAACTGTTCGCTATCATCGCTTCGCAATGGGCGTGTCTAAGTGTGTGTGTGTGTGTGTGCCTGCATGCGTTCGCGCGTGTGTGTGTGTGTTTGTGTGTGTGTGTGTGTGTGTGTGTGTGTTGTGTGTGTGTGTGTGTGTGTGTGTGTGTGTGTGTGTGTGTGTGTGTGTGTGCATGCGTGCACGTGTGTGTGTGTTTCAGGTCACTACATAGTGGTCATTGGATGTGACCAGTCAAACGATGTCATACACTATCTTGATCCATCGCCACGCAGATGCAGTAAGTCATGTGCTGGCCTGTAGCTGCCCGATTTCTGCGTTTTCTGTGCTGATTTATGTGCGTGTGCGTGTGTGATGGTGGTTGTGGTGTTGGTGCGGGTGCTGGTGGTGGGATGGGATGTACTCGAGCACTTCTAGGGCCTATGATGTTGTTTTGCCACTTCTGTGGCAACACCAGCTCCTCTCGCCTCTCCAGGCTCGTGGCTCGTGTATAGTCAGTGTAATCCTGTCCCCACACCCGAACATGGCCGTCATAGGTCAAAATAGGCAAAATGGTAACTATGAGGTTGTCGGTGATGCATGGTCACTACACCACTGGTGTGCTGGGATGCATGGTCACCACACCGTCGATGTGCGAGCTACGCCCCTGCTCACTGTGGCTCTCTCTCTCTCTTTCTTGTTTCTTCTCTCCGTTTTCTCTCTGTTCTCTCTCTCTCTCTCTCACTCTCACTCCTATCAATAATGTCACTTGTCTGTTTAGATCACCCTTGCTCCATCACGGTCAAGATCTTCGAAGAAGCGAGAGCAGCATTCGGGACCGATCTTGACACAATCTTTCTCGACGGTTGCTTGGCATCGGTGCCCTGACAAACCATCTGCACTCGGCAAACACAAACGACATCTGCCTTGCACTGGACTCACCCAATCGTCAAAAGAGCGACAACTAGGGTTAGTGGTTGTCTGACCTCGCTTTGTTTTGATAAATTCGTCGGCATCCTCTGCTGCTATGTGCCTATGTAGCTAGCTGTACCCTCAACGTCTTGCTGGTCACAGTTCACCTGGAGCTCTGATATTATCCACAGCATGTGCGCAGCTATGATGTCATCCATAGTATGCAGCTGTGATATCACCCACACCCTGTGTGCACCTTTGACATCAGCCACAGCATGCATGCAGCTATGACATCATCCACAGCATACGTGCAGCTATCACATTGCCCACAGCTTGTGTGTGCAGCTATGACGTCAGCCACAGCATGCGTGCAGCTATGATATCAGCCACAGCATGCGTGCAGCTATGATATCGGCAAATGCATGCCGGGAGCACGGCCCTTGGTACACCAGACTCCAGACAGTTTGCGCCCGTCATGCTTGGCAACTTCTTAGCTCAGTGTACACTGGACAAGATCTCTAAAAGCACTTGCCATCGTCCTCCCAATGGCCATTGCGACTTGCACTGTTCGTTGTGAAATGGCAGCGTTGATATCGGACTAGAACCCTGGTTCTGTGCTTGCCTGTGAGCTTGTTTCCACCTTTGCAGCAGCGGACGTGCACAGCTCTGCATTGAATTTGTTGTGCTTTGCTATGTCTCCTTGACTGAACGTCTCTCAATTTGGCTGGCCGTTTACGGCGTCGTAGTCAAGTTGTGTTTGGTGCGCAGCCCCATCCAGTCTGAGTCAAAAACAGTTCGGGTCAATGCCGTCGGGTGTGGACTCGCCTCGTACCATCATTCCATCAAACCTATGATGCCATTGGCCCACCTGATGATGTCACTGGCCCAACCGATGATGTCACTGGCCCAGCCGATGATGTCACTGGCCCAAATGATGATGTCATCCGTATGAGTGGCTGGAACATGTTTGCAGTGTGGATGACAGCAGCAGCAGCACTGCTACATGGATGCACACCACGTCCACCACCGCCTCAAGCAAACACTGTGTAGAGAGTATTACTACACCAATTACCATTACAATCAGCACAACCATACAGTTTAGTTAGCGGTGTATGATGCCGATACGCTCATACATCGGTTGTCCGGACACCGACGTTACGGGGACACTTCGGTCTACCGAACACCCTTTGGGCGAATTTCAGTGGAAATATGACCAATCTTTTGTCACTTTTTGTGGAAATAGTGACGCCGCATGCTATATCTATGGCCTATCCCCATCAAAATGTGCGTGATTCGGAGTTCCATCACTTTGACTCCATACCCAGTTTGCATTTATGGTTAACATGATTGTGCTTGGCTGTTTCTGCTGTTGGCATGAGAGGATTGCAAATTCGTGTGCTGATGCCGATGGCGATTAGCCTGCACCCGTGGAGTTTGCCTGGAGTGGTGTGTGCGCCCTCCTTGTCTTTGACTCCTTGTCCAGTTTCGATTGCAGTAAATGTGTTTGTGTTGCTAACTACGTGTACTTCTGTTGCTGGTGGCGGGTGCAACGGCTAGATGGATGGTGCCAAGAGTAGATAAACAAGAGTGTGCAACTCCCCATCTCTTCTGCACAATCTGCAGATACCCTGGGCCGGCCACTGCGGAATTTTTTGTTGTCACCTTTTTTCTGAAAACCTGACGCATGTCGTACAGCGCACGGGCATTTTGCCTCAGAGCAGTGTGAGAGCACGTGCTGGGCGCTGGCCTTGTAATATAAAGCCCGGCCAAGTGCACGAGGCGAAACTTGCCAAAAGACTCGCAACGCGTGCGTCGTAGAAAAGATTACGCCAACAACATTTCCACGGTGGGCCAGCCAATCCGGGAGTTGCACACTCTTGTTTATCTACCCTTGATGGCGTGTATGATGTGATGCGAATGCTCAAGTAGCTCACCTACATGTATGTGTGTATTTGTACTGCTGTGTGTTGCGGTGTGTTGCAGTGTGTTGCTGTGTGTGTTGCAGTGTGCTGCAGTGTGCTGCAGTGTGCTGCAGTGTGTTGCAGTGTTTGGAAGTCTTGGATGTGTGTGTGTGTGTGTGCGTGCGTGCGTGCATGTGTGTGGGTGCGGGGGTGGGTGGGTGCTCGTGCGCGTACATGTGTGTGTGTGTGTGTATGTGTATGTGTGTGTGTGTGTGTGTGTGTGTGTGTGTGTGTGTGTGTGTGTGTGTGTCCCATATGGTGCAGTGGTATGTGCAGTCGATTTTCAATCGAGAGGTTGCTGGTTCGATTCCCGACGATTTTGTCGTACACGTCTCTCTTCGCTTACTCGGCTTCCTGACTTTTCTTTCATTCTCCTGGGTACCAACAGCCAGTGCATGCCGCGCCACAGTATGTGGTGTGATGTGTGTGTGGGAAAAAATGAAAAAAACCCAAAAATAGGCATTCACTAATTAATGTGAGCAATCCCAGCACAAGCCGAAGTTGCCGCAGTATGGTGTCTGCTGTAGCATTGCTAGCATCACCACCTGCCGATGGGTGTCAAAATGTGTGTGTGTGTGTGTGTGTGCGCGCACGCACGTGTGTGTCTAGAGTTAAAATAAAAGCTGTCGATCGCGTACTGCAGAACGAAAGTTCATTTTGAAGTTTGAGGGTGTTTGCACATCAGTCTACATTGTAGTAGTCCCCGTTTTGGTCCCCGGGGCCGGGGGTACGCTAGAAGCCAAAGGACAATGTAGTCTTGCTGGAAGTCAACCTGAGGACGGCGCAGATTTCCTTCCAGGCCCATGTGTCCTTGACATGTACAGTCATCATGGTGTCCAGGATGAACTGCACAACCGTTGACCATAGTTTCGTCAGTCACACATGCGCAGACTATTCCTCTCTCCCTCTACTCCATGCGAGGCTCTTCAGTCGACATGTAGAGAACTACATTCCGGAGGCTCGTGTTGGTATGCAGGGCTCAAGCATGCACACTACAGGTCACCTGGAGTCATGGGTTTGTGCAACTCCCAGGGTGGCATTTGGTGATCTGGTCGGCATAAACTAAACCGTTGGCAACTGAAATCCGACCACCTGAGCGGTGTGTTCACTTGTAGCTGAGCCTCTATTTCGTAGTGTTACAATCCCATGCCGGGTCTTTGCGATGTGAGCGCACCGCTCCGGGGGTCGGATTTCAGTTGCCAGCACTGTGTATGTACATACAACAATTATTTGGAGGATACAATGTAGTCTACATGATTGTAGTAAAAATAGCCTGCGGTACTTAGCGTGGATCCTACCCGCGGCTTGTCACCCTTGATGTCATGAACTGATGAAAGATCGATGCATGAACATGGTAGATCTACATGTATTATTATAATCCTTCAGATGTGGTGTGGGGTCTGTAGTCTGTGGAGACCAGGGAGTCGTACCCAAACGAGGACTCCCCTGGTGCCAGTGGTGGAGAGGAAAGAGGAATCGCCCGTCCTGCACAAAATATGCACATGCATGAGCATGCACGCAACACTGCAACCATCACTGCGCTGCACTGTCATACATGGTCATAATCATATCAGGTAACCGGGCCTTTGGCCTTGGCCTTACAAGGCTTACGCACATCGTAATCTCTTTTTTTTTCTTCATTTATTGCAAGCCAGGATCGATCAGGAGCCCCGAAAAGTTACTTCCTGCCTTTGCTTGCAGTTGCACAGGCCAGGGGAGATCTACTAGGGTTCAAAGGTCACTGTCGCAAATGGAACTGACCTGATCTGCAACAATCGTGTCCAGACTCCACACTGGACCATAGTGAAGACGTAGATCTACGCGGGGCAGGGCGCTTGGAGTTGGACACCGGCCGATTAGTTTGCTATGCTAGCGCGATGTACTGTGTAGCACGCGCTATCAGTAGCGAGTCGCCATTGCTAGTTTTGGCAAGGTTTGACTTTTACGGAAGGGGGCAACAAAAGACTCCTCACACTGTGTTTTCAAGTACGACGAGTTTGTTTAGCAGGAAGATCTAAGCTTGTTGAAGTACCGTATTAGTTGTTGTGATGTCTACGGCCAGCTAGCACAGTCGATGCGCCAAGCCAGCTGAGTGGGTCTTTTTATTTTTTTCGCGCGAAAGTTTATGTGGTGAACTGTGTTGGTAAAGATGAAGATGTCAGTCAATGAAATTTGCTATATTTCTTGTGTCTAACCAACCCTGTACGGATCGAACTGACGATTCCCGAGTGCGACAAATGTCCTGAAGTCTGCTCCTATTAGCTAGGTATCTAGAAATTTCAACTTGAGTGTCAAGTGAAGACTTTGCCAGTTGCAGACGAGGGAATTCTCGCTTCACGATTTTCCTGGTGTGTGGAGATACGTCGGAATGCCGACCCACCACACCCGACATGATGCTTCGGCCGGAATGCAGGTTGGTGCAGATAATTGCCTAATAATATATGTCTAAGCGTGTATACCTTTCCTTTCGTTGCATGCTTGGTTAATCCGACGGCACGAAATTATAGACATTTCGAAATTAACTTGAATATTATTTGGTCGTTGTATGTCTTAGTATTCCCTGTCAGTTTGTGCCTTTTTGTCGCGCTCGCCGACTGTATATGATCTAGCGACATTGGTACATGGTGGACAGTTAGTCATAACTCGTAACCTTTTGTCCTTATTCTTTTTATCCATGATTACATTGGCTCACCATCCGAGTTTATTTATATATTTTTGATAGGGCAATATGTAATGTACACACACACACACACACACACACACACACACACACACACACACACACACACACACACACACACACACACACACACACACACACACACACACACACACACACACACACACACACACACACACACACACACACACACACAGACACACACACACCACACACACACACCACCACACACACAGTGACACACACACCACACGCACACACGCACACACCATCACATTACGACAAAATCAAGGCAATGCTGGCGAAGCTCTATAATTTTCTTGTGCCGCGTGCTAGGAGCATAATGGCATTGTCCGATAATAGCACTTGGTGTAAATGGGTTCCCATATTTGTGAAGTACATGTATTATTCGGTTGCTGGCTATCAATTGTGCTGTGAGCATGGCAGAGTGAGGTCTTCCAGCTTTGTTGGTGTTTGCTCTATCTTGTGTTTACGCTCTGCAGAAAGGAGAGTATGTATATATGTAGTGCCTTCTCAGCATTACATTACATCCATTGCGTAGCAGCAATGTGCCATCCTTCCGCGACTTAGGTGGAATGACGTGCAAGTGGTGCTCCAGGGTCAACTTCAATTTGCCGAGCACGTATGCCGCTGGCTTGGGGTCAGCAGCTGGGTGCAAAGTCTCTGTATACAAATCGTGCACTGTCGTCAACAATATGGCATCCTTGTCCAGCAATTCCCGTCCTGTAGCGGCAATGACTATAATATTGGGGAAATCACTCTCGGCACCTTCCGTGCTGTACTGAGAGATGATGCTTCGCAATTGGTGGTCTGTGCTTGGTGCATTGTCGGCAGGGAGCATGTCAATTTGCTTTTGGTAGCAGCGTCTACAAAATCGACTCTCGTCTGAAATCCTGACATGGTGCATGCTACGCAACACATGCTCTGCAAGCTGAAAGTTTGGTGACTTCCACCTGTGTTCTGGTGTGAGTCTCGACTTACACCAAGCACATGTTGCATGGCCCACACACTGCTGGTAATGGGTTGGGCACAGAAGCGGTTCGCACTGTTCTTTCAGACTGTGCACGCGCAGTTTGTCTGCAGGACAGTGTACGGATGCCGCTCCGCTGCAATCATGTACACTGCATGTGCTTTGGCTGACTGGTGGCTTATTTTCTTTCCCTGCTGTGCATGCTTGGCGTCGTAGTGCTTTGACGCACTTCCAATAAATGCATTGGCCTGACGTGATGGATGTGCATGTGTGTAGCTTTTGCCAATTTTGCCAATCTGACAGCATTGAGTCATGTGTAAATCGCTTGTCAGATGGCACTTTGGAGCAAATGCTTCATTCTGGGCCACATGGTCGTCAAGTATGTATGCTTGTGCCAGTTGTGGCATTGCTGGGTCTTCCTGCCGCTGACATCTGTGCACACATGCATGGAAAATATACGTAAAAACACTAGTTAGAAATCACGTCACCAGAGGCATGCCCTTTTTTCGGCCAGAACATAACTTCCGCTCCAATGTCACAAAGACTTACTCTTTCGATACGTCCAGCATAGAAGCAGCGAAATGCCTGGTTAATTCGGTGGCACGAAATTATAGGTCGGGCGACGAAATTTCGACGAAAAAAGGAAAAGAGACAAACCGACGTGTAGCGACACCAAACTACAGAATTTCGTCGTTCTTGAAGAACTCCTAACAGAAAAAGGTGAAAGGCGACTACTGAATCCTCGAGTGTGACGAATAACTCCGAGAAAGCGTGAGACTGGCCAGCACGTACATACATGAAAACGATCGTATGTTGAGAATGCCTTGAGAAAAGTGCCCAAAAAGGGTGCATCTGAAAAATAGAACTCTGTGTTCCGACGTGATTTTTCAAATCTGGCGCATCGACTGAGCATAGTTTTCCACACAAGAAACTTATTCAGAACTAATAATTGTTATTGCTTGAGGCGAAGTGCTACTTCTAGTTGCAGAATTCTCGATGCGGGGTAGGACTATCTCGCCTGCTTCTTTTCGCCATAGCGTTGTGAAACACCTTCGGAATATTAGTACGCTAGGGCTGACTCTCATTGTATTTTTCAGTCGGTGACAATAGGATGCTCAGGCTTGTTCTGTTTGACTGCGTTTTGACCAGTTGCAACGAAATATTCGTAGTCAGTAGTTCCTAGTAAGGTCACACACCAATAGAATAATTATCTTGGCAAGGAAGAACCGTGCAGAAGCGCCATCTGTGGTGACACACGCAGACAGCGGCTTCGTAGCTTCCTGTTCTCCGTCATAATGGTGAGTGGTTCTGGCTGCAGTTGGTCGGCGGTGAGTGCGTGTCCGCGTGTGGCGTGTGTGCGTGTGTGTGTGTGGGGGGGGGGGGCGTGCGGGTATGTGCGTGTGTACGTGCGTGTGCGTGCGTGTGGTGGTGCGCGTGTATTAACATGGTGTATGTGTGTGTGTGTATGTGTGTGTGTGTGTGTGTGTGTGTGTGTGTGTGTGTGTGTGTGTGTGTGTACGTAGGGTTGTGGGACTCTGTGTTACGCTGTGGCATGGCAGCTTAGTGAAGTACCTAGTGTTGTTTTGCCTCACCTTTCCTTTGTCCTCATTCCTCACGGTGGTCGGTCTCAGCCTGATTTATGAGACATCCACCCAGTGCCGATTTTGGCGTGCATGCACCCACACTCACAGAAGCACGCACACATGCACGCTCTTGCACGTGCACAGGTATACTTACTCCATGACGCTAGCAATCAGGGGCGGATCCAGAGATCTCTACAGGGGGGTTCCGGTTGAACCAAAATTGAACATCCAAAATATTATGGAATCAGATTGTTTTGAAGTTGTGCGGTTGACACTTGTATTAGAGAGGTTTCGTTTCACGTTGTTCTGCACTACACCGTGAAATTTCACGTCGTTGTGGCAAATTTTGGCGTTGAAACTCCCATTCATGACGTGAGATGAGGTCAACTCCCGTTCGACGTGAACGCGAGTTTTTGCAAATTTAGCCTTGCTATCAGGTTGGGATTATTGACTCGATTTTGTCGATTTTTGCCTAAACTAGCTATAAAAAATATTTGTGCGACTTTGGCCTCACCAAAAAGCACTTTTTTCACTTTTTGAAGTTTTTGCTCCCAGTTTTCGCTCCTGTCGTCAGCAAAACGACGTGCTTCACAAGCAACGTGAAGCGAAAGCTCTTTCTGAGCTCGCGTCAACGCAAAAAAATGACGTTCACGTAAGAGCACAAATCACGCGGGTCGAAACCTCTCTAATAACGACAATCCGATTGTGTTAGTGGGAATCGCATGCTTTTAAAACACACTACGGACATACCGGTATATTTTTCCATCATCGACCACACCCCAACTGCGCTCTCCAGCCGGCCTCGACACGTTGCCACAGCACACCAACATCGCTGGAGAGCGCAGTTGTGGTGTGGTGGACGATGGAAAACCTGGTTGTACAGGGCCAGATGCCGCTGCTTACCCTACATTGTATAATTATTATTTAGTACGGACACATAATCATATTCATGTATGCAATCGACTGCCACACAGGTTCAGTGAGGGCTTGAAGACCCTTTCAACTTCTTGTAAAGATCGAATTTACAAGCCATGGGTACATTGAGAGCCAGGAATGCCGAAATGATATAACTAACTACTAAGTTAATTTCCCTGTCCATTTGTACTTTCGGAAAATTTTGGCATTTTTACGATGCGAAATGCTCTATAGTCACAGGACAAGAACATCGTCTTCACTTCAGTGACAGAAACAACAACAGCGAAACAGTGTCGACAACTGTACAATCCTTCCAATGTCATCTAAAACACATCGCTGGCGCAGCACTTCGTTCCTGCGGAGGAACAACTAGTCACTACTGCATGCTGCAGCAGGTAGAGAGACTTTGCTTGGATGTCGGAGCCCTCATCTTCTGAGGAGCTTGAACTCCGCTACGTGTACGATTCGAAGTTTGTTGAAGAGTGTCTTTACTCGGAACATCCTTTCTCTTCTGCAAAAACTTGTCCAAGGAAAACTGACCACACCACACCCGTCCTGAGCAGCAGTGAATGACAGCGCCGATGGAGGTAAGTTAGTTTGGATCGTTTCGAAAGATCAAAAAGGAAACAACCACCCAATGATTATGATTGTTGTCTACAGTGTCCGTTTGTAAATCACGGACGTGAACACCACTACAGACTACTACGGGTATACGTGCAGTATCGATCTACCGAACGCGCATGCAGTGCACTGTACTCCTTGACTCAGTGACTGCACTGGCTGTGATCGGACGGACGCCCTTTTGTGCACACATGATATTTTTCGATATTTCTCAGCAGCACACTTTGCAAAATTTAGGGGGTTCCATGGAACCCCCGGAACCCCCCCCCCCCCCCCTGGATCCACCACTGAATTGCGTAATGCAGTTATGACGAGTGTGTGTAAAGTTGACAGACATACTGTGTCTCCTTTCAGTTTGGTGCGCCAAAGTCTATAGAGCTCCAGGATGAGCAGACTTTAGTCGTCGCTGCTTGAACTGTCTTTGGTGGTCTCTGCAGTAGCATCATTATTAGTATTCCCAATCCATTTTTTTTAACTTAAAGGGGAAGTTAAGGCAAAAATTAAAATTTCACCAGTTGTAGTCTTCGGGGTGCTGAGTCGAATGGTCTTGGTCCGAGAAAGCTGAGACGCTCCCTTCCTACTTGAATCCCAATCGAACTCGCGCACTTCCACCGAAACTGGGTGACTGCGCCCTACTAGATGGGGATTTGTATGCAAAATGTCACTAAAAGCGCCGTTTCGTTCTTATAAAAGCACGGATGACCGCGATTGGCCCATATGTTGCAGTCTTTTGGACGCTGAGTCGACTGGTTTTGGTCCGAAAAGGCTGCGATGCAGCGTTCCTCCTTTATTCCCAATCGAACATGGTTGAACAAGTGGTCACGTGCTCCTGCGTACACCAGTCAGCTGGTCACCGTGCCTGCAGGGTACAACTTACTAGCCTGTTTGACCTTTTTTGGGTGCACTCCTGTCACTCGAGTTGAACTCGAGTTGAACCTTGGTGTGAAAGTTGTGTGTGTGTGTGTGTGTGTGTGTGTGTGTGTGCGTGCGTGTGCGTGTGCGCGTGCGCGTGTGCGTGTGTGTGTGTGGGGGGGGGGTGTACGCTTGTGTACTTGATGTCCAGGTGCGTATTGGTGTTCGAGTGCCTCTGGGCATTTTATGGTTGCTCACTCTCTCCACCGGGCTGACTGAAGCTACAGGTAAGGGATTACTGTTGTGCATGTCATTTCGTGCACTCGTCCAGGGGCGTCGGAAGGCAGTTCTGGGTGCTACGGTCAACAATCTACTGGAATGTCCTTGGGAGCACCCTGAAATGTTTGTAGCCAAACAGACAAAGTACAAAGTGCTTGCATTACTGTAATTCACAGGGTGCCAGGTATGAAGAGTAAGAGGACCCTCTTAATTTCGGACACGGCAAAAGGACCAGGCACATCTAGGCCACACATGGAGGCGTCCTGCAGAAATGGGTGTGGCAAAAGATGCCCAGCCGGCTGACAGCTTCTACCTACTCTTTCTATGCATAGCAAAATAGTATCATTATGGCCGGGGCAATGTATGCAGCCTGAAGCTGGTGATCAGAGCGGTGGATGGATTCCAGGGCATGATAGGTGATGCTTTGCAGTGTTGTGTCCTGGATGACTCTGAGGTGCGCTGCAGCTCGACTATTTCAGTTTATGCGAAGCATTACCTGCAGTCAACGGTCACGTAACACCCTCTCAGCTTGCTCTCTTGCACATGGGTCCACATTGAGCGTGTTACTTACCAGCCCCACAGCTGATCAGCTAGGCCTATTTTTAAATACAATCATGCAAATAAGCGTCGAGGCGAAAATGTTTTTAGAATTGCGGTTAGCAGACCAAGCTGAACCGGCATTCACAAAGGCTTTTATAATAGCTACCTATTCTTGTTTTGTGTTGTTATCAGCTGGCCCTGTTCTTTCATCACCAAATGGAATCAATGGACTGGTTATTAGTGAAGCTGATGACACAATGCAGGCAGTTCTGCGCGTGTGTATCAACGCCACCATCAAACCAGCACCTCAGCAAGCCAATATTGTATGGAGTCGGGAACAGGGAAATCTGCTTGATATACCAAATTGGGATCATACATCATTGAGAGAGGTCGACGGCTGTTTCTGGTCCAGTCTGACCATAATGTTCCAACTTGTTGAACCGGCTATTGGAAATTACACCATTACCGTTACTACAACTGCTGGTTCTTCAAAACTGACAATTCCACTTCGTTTCACCAGTAAGTAGAACTACTGTAAAACCTGTGTTTACCGGTTGCCTTGATCAACTGGAATCCTATCTAGACTGGACAAACTCTTAGGAAAGTTCACACTACGTTTCTCACTTCATGACCTAGATCAATGGCCAAAGTTTTGTACATTTTCGTTTTGCACACCCTCCGCCGCATTGACTTGGTTAGAAGCAAAGATGATGTGGTCCCGATCAATTTGATATGCATGTTGTGGGTCACACATGTCTCCCTCTATGAAGAGGAATACTGCAGTAGCAGGATAGATTGTGCTGCACCAGTAGTATTGGGTAAAGGCAGGTTTTTGCTGTACTCTTGGAGGTACTATCCCAGGTGATGCAAACAATGATTATGCAAAGACCGGGTACTGTGAACTTCAGTTATGCGAACAGTGATTATACAAAGACCGGGTACTGAACTTCAGTTATGCGAACAATGACTATGAACACCGGGTACTGTGAACCTCGGTTATGTGAACAGCGATTATACAAACACCGGACATACAAACCTCGGTTATGTGAACAGCGATTTCTGTATAGCAGGAAATTTTCGGACGGAATTTATTTTCGTAAGATTTCGTACATGGCCTTTTTTGTACTAAAATTAATTCTGTACTAAAATTTGTTCATGTGATATGATGTACACTATACATGTGTGCTGCTTGCGAACAAGTGCATTTAGCATGCAGCATTGTACGAAAATAAAATCCGTCCGAAAGGTCGAAATTCGGCCTAGTCCGAAAATATTTCCGTCGAAAATTTCCTGCTATACAGTATATGGACACTGGGTATGTGAACCTCGGTTATGTGAACAGCGATTATACACACCACGGGGTATGTGAAGACATTTTGCTTTTGCATGTACAGTAGGTATCGGTTATAGCGTGGGTGTTTGAAAAACGACTTTCTATTCTTATGTCCGATATTTCTTACACACGATAAATCAAGTGTGGCATATCACATGCATGTGCGCAGGGGCAGGAAGATCATCGTACATGCAACGCAGTACTTCTGTGCATGTGGCTGGTCATAGTCCCATAGGCTTACCATGTGGCTATGCAAAATGAGTTACATGACCACAACAGTTGAATCTGCAGCACTACGACGCAACGAGAGTCAGATCAGAACGGAATTGGACATATGTTACTACTACAGGTGATACACTTTGTACTAATCTGGCATGTTTCGCTACACAAAGTCCATTCTTAGGACGGATATATTCTACTATGGGATAAAATAATAATTGCTTGTAAGAATAAATGTGCACTTGAAATCCATGTTATGATTATGAAAACATGAGAGTTCATTCTTGTAGGCAGTATATTCTTTTACACGGCCACGCTATAACCGATACGCACTGTATCTGTTTTTGTGTTTGTATTCGAATACCTCAATCGTCTGAACGCATAGATTGAATTTTGATATCATGCTGTACATTTTTGTCCTTTTATCAGGTGGAGTTGTGAATTTTGTTTTACATTTTGAGTGTCTGTTGCAGGTGCGTGCATTTCATTCTCATTTCTGTGTGCGTGTGTCCATGTGTGCGTGTGTGCATGGGTGTGTGTGTATGTTTGTGTATAATTATATGTATGTGTTTGTGTGTGTGTGTGTGTGTGTGTGTGTGTGTGTTTGTGTTCAACATTTGATGTGTCTAGTTCCTTTGTGTGAAATACCAACAATCCACCATGGTCACGCATATGTAGCAGGTGTTTATGGAGACGTAAATGAAAAGACTTCTTCAGACTATGGGGTAGAATGTCCTACTGGTTTTAAACTGTCCACTTTGTCCCATAGTAAATGTGAAAGATCACCTGATGGAAAAGCTGTTTACAAGAATATACCAGAGTGTCAGGGTCAGTATACCTACTTTAAAATCATTAATTGTTCACTTTGCTTCTGTGCACATGCATGTATGTGTATGTGTATGTGTGTGTGTGTGTGTGTGTGTGTGTGTGTGTGTGTGTGTGTGTATGTGTATGTGTGTGTGTGTGTGTGTGTGTGTGTGTGTATGTGTATGTGTGTTTACATGTGTGTTTGTGTAACGATAAGTGTTCCTATTCCAATGGTCAAGTTGTAGCCAGTTGGGCTAGAGAGTGCAGTCACGTTGTAGGCGTGTGTTTCTGTAGGTGGGTGGCAAAGTAGACGTGTTGTGTGAGGCCGCAAGTCGCGTAACAGCCAATACAGGTCCTCACCTAAGGCACGTATCGCTGGAGTGCCGCAAGCAATTCTTGGCGTTGAACTTGACCAGGAGAAGTATCTCATCCTGGGGTTTTTCAACTACCTCTTTGGCCCTCTCCAGTTCCACCAGGAACTCTGCTGGGTCGGACCGTGAAGGGATGGTAGATATTCCTTAGCTTTTTGTGAACTTACCTGAACTCATGCATGTCACATGATCGATGTTGAAGAGATCATTGTATTGTTTTAATCCTATATTTCCAATTGGTTGATTTCCGAGCGGCAGAGAGTGCTCAATGTCAGAGACAGAGCTTAGTACATAGCAGACTCAGCGGAGGACTTTCATGCCACTTGTTCTCAGTTGTCTGATGATTGCCTAGCGGCATGAAACTCAGAGTTACAACTAACGTGAACGTCCTCCACTGAGTCTGCTATGTCCTATGTTTACTATGTTTCTATCTTACTATTGGTTGTTGGTGTCATTGCTTCGTTTTTGTTGTTGTTATCCAGCTGGTCCCATTCTGACATCTCCTATTGGAAGCAGTGGACTGGTTGTGAGTGAGGATGATGGCACAAAGTCAGCAGTTCTGTCCTTGTGCATCAACTCTACCATCAAGCCAGCACCGTCATCAGCCAACTCTGTAGTTTGGAGTACAGAGGCCAGTGGAGGGATGTCTGTGTTCAGCCGTGTGCAGACCTCACTGAGTAGCAGCAGCAATGGCTGCTACTGGTCCAATCTGACAGTGAACATCAGTAGTGTTTCTGGTGCAGCGGGTTATTACACTGTCAAAGTTTCCACTGGTGCTGGATCGGCTACAAAGAGATTTCGACTAGAAATCAGCGGTACGTATAGCAGTAGTAATCTTGGATAGTCACACACAGCTTTGCTAGTTTGCATTGGCATGCATGCATTGGCATTGGCATGCAGGATCCATGGCCATATTGGAAAGAAATGGCACGGGAGGCATCACTAGAGTCGGCAGTGGCATTATTGCTGCTCCATTTACATGCTGTAGAGAAGTATCATTAATTTTCATGATCGTCAGAAGCTGTTCTTGCTAACATAGTAAGCAGGGATTTTGGAGCCTGACAATGTGCATGTATCTGTTTTGGATACTGTGTGTTACATGTTGGTCGACGTATGCTGGGGAACATGTGTTGTGTCTTGTACGCGTGTGTGTGTGTGTGTGTGTGTGTGTGTGTGTCTGTTCGCGTGTTTTGTGCTCGGCATGCGATGTTTTTAGTTGCACTGTGTGCACTGCCATCTATCCACCATGGTCACTCACAAGCGTCAGGTTTGATTGGGTCCAGTACTAGCAGTGGACCTACTTCATCAGACTATGAAGTAGTGTGTGGAGAAGGCTTGTCCGTGTCCAGTTCACCGCACAGCAAGTGTGAAAGATCATCCGATGGAAACTCTGTTTACAAGAATGTACCAGAGTGCCTTGGTGAGTATATGTACATGATTAACTTGAATTGATAATCACTATCTAGAGGACAAGCTGTATCGGCATGTGGGTACTTTGTTGAAACAGTACCAACCGATGGAAACAATGAAACAGTAATGTCTCTCAGTGCTGTTATTAGTTGTTCCCTCTCTTTGGTTTTCTAAAAGAGTTCATTCATGTTGCATCGTCCATTTCAACAAAGAAGATTCGTTATGAGTGTTGCACAAAGACTTGCTCTATTCCTTCTTTATTTTATTTTGGCTCTTGTATCCTTTCTCCTCTTTCTTATTGCACGCTGTTTCCATGGATTAGCACTGTTTCAATAAGATAACCACAATATCGACACAGTTTGTCTTCTAGATTGTCATTCTAAGATTGCTGTATATCAATGTTGGTATTATCATTAGCCTCTAAGTACTCACAGACTCCACTGCGTGCATTTACACTAAAGGGTTCCTGAATTCAAACACTCACAATACTGGGTTTTTTTTTATGAACACAAAACTTGAAAATTAATGTTCACCAAATTTGGTGAACACAGACGCGTGCAGCAAAGAGAGTAGAGGGACCCAAATGGTATCAGATTGAGGGGTCGTCTGTGATTTTTGAAAATTAAAAAAATGATCCTCTTGCAAACAGGTAGACTGCATTATCAAGTTATATGACTGGTCTTGTCATAATCCTGGAACAGCTGAAATTTTTTGTTGACGTGCGACATAGCTTGTGGACATTTTTCCCTGGGCTCCCTTTCCCCTCATTGGTCGTACCATAACCTTGAACCTTCCAAACTGTAAGGCTGTTGATTTGCCAACGGGAGGTGTGTTGATATAAGTGTCAGGTCGTTGAATGTCACAGCACCCTGTCAATTTCGTGTGTCTATGTATATTTTTACGCTTACACTCCTACCTCGGTTAATCGGACCCCGAAGTGACGGGAACTTCCGTCTGCCGGGGATTCTTTGGGCGAGTTTCAGTGAAAATATTCCTACTCTGTTGTCAGTTTTTGTGGAATTAGCGACGTCATAATTATGCCAAATCTATGGCCTTTCCCTATTAAAATGTATGTAATTCGGCGGTAAAGGCATTTCAAAGTTATGGGCAATGCCCGGTCCCGTACAGCGCGGATAAACGAGGTTTGGGTGCATAACTAGCTCATTATCTGAGTTCAAAACTGTGAACTGTACAATTTGGCTGTTCTGTAATTAAACAATCTCTCCTCCTCTTCTCGATGCGCTCTCAGTCGACACTTTTCAACACTCGGTAGCCACTACACACAGCAACATTGCCAAACAACGAAGAGGTTAATGTACTTAATACTGATTCTTCTCTTGACATCTTGTTTCCCCTCTCAAGATTGTTTCAAAAAAGAAAGAAGAAAGCTTCCCCTCTGTTTGTAGGAGGCAGCTCTTTTTCTTGAGAGAGAGAGAGAGAGAGAGAGAGAGAGAGATAGAGGCAGAGGCAGAGGCAGAGGGAGATGGAGAGGGAGAGAGAAAGAGAGATTATCAGCTCTCTCTCTCTGTCTTTCTCTCTCTCTCTCTCTCCCTCTCCCTCTCCCTCTCCCTCTCTCAGGGTCATCGACGAGAATGCTGAGCTAGGCCTCTAGGAATAGTTACCTATTCTTGTTTTGTGTTGTTATCAGCTGGCCCTGTTCTTTCATCACCTATTGGAATCAATGGCCTGGTTGTGAGTGAGGATGATGACACAAAGTCAGCAGTTCTGTCCGTGTGTATCAACTCCACAATCAAACCAGCACCTCAGAAAGCCAATATTGTATGGAGTCGAGAACAGGGAAGTCCGATTGATATACCACATCAAGAGCAGACATCATTGAGTGCGGTTAATGGTTGTTTCTTGTCCAGTCTTACTTTCTGGTTCCATCTAATTGATGAGGCTACTGGAAATTACACCATTACCGTTACTACAACTGCCGGTTCTTCAAAACTGACAATTCCTCTTCGTTTCACCAGTAAGTATTAAGCGAAATCCTGCACACATCTTTGTATTTTAATGGATATCATACTGTATTAACCTATCCTAACAAGTGTTCCCACTTCATTGCTGATGATGGTTATTTTATGACCGAAACGTTAATTTTTTTCCTGAAACGAATTTGTGAAAAGCAGTGATTGAGTGTGAGTCAGTGTTGCTGACAATCGAATCTTTACTTATGAAGCTGCTTGATGCGTCCTACAATCTTGTAGGACGCATCACGCAGATTGTAGTGCTTGTAGGGCAAGTATCCCGTAACAACTCAGATGGTGAGCGAAGGAAAAAATTGTAACATGGAAATTGTGGGCACTTATGCGATCGAGTCCACCAACTAAACACAACTGACTGTTCAAAATCTAGTTTAGTTGGTGGACTCGATCGCATAACTTGTGCCCACAATTTCCATGTTACAAAGTGTATCCTAAAAATCAAATTTCACCAGTTGTAGTCTTCGGGGTGCTGAGTCGAATGGTATTGGTCCGAGGAAGCTGAGACGCTCCCTTCCTCCTTTATTCCGAAAAGTCTGCGGTGCAGTGTTCTGACCTCGTTCCCAATCGAACATGGTTGAGTAAGCAGTTATGTGCTGTTGCGTACACCAGTCGCCTGGTCACCGTGCCTGCAGGCTACAACTTTCAGACGAAGGTTCAAGTCAAAGGTTCAAAGCTTCAACTCGAGTGACAGGAACGCTGTAAAAGTTGTAGCCTGCAGGCACGGTGACCACTCAACTGGTGTACGCACCAGCACATAACTGCTTACTCAACCGTTTTCGATTGGGAACAAGGTCAGAACCCTGCATTGCAGACTTTTCGGACCAAAACCAGTCGACTTAGCGTCCAAAAAGACTACAACATATGAACCAATCGCGGTCATCCGTGCTTTTATAGGAACGGAATGGCGCTTTTAGTGACGCTTTGCATACAAATCCCCATCTAGTTGGGCACAGTCACCCAGTTTCGGTGGAAGTGCGCTAGTTCGACTGGGAATAAATTAGGAAGGGAGCGTCTCAGCTTCCTAGGACCAAAGCCATTCGACTCAGTACCCCAAAGACTACAACTGGTGAAATTTTGATTTTAGAGTATACTTCCCCTTTAAATAATCATACTTTCTATTTACTCAATCTGCGGACAGAACTGTTTCGTCCTTTGTGGACTCATCAGCGCAGCACAGAGGAAATGAGGCCGAACCTGGTAGCAGTGAAAATTTATTTTCCAAAGCCAGATTTAAACCAGGCCCAAACGTACCTTGCCAGAGTGCTCAAACTGACAAGTCAGTGAGCTCTGCATAACGCAAACAGCGAAGGCGCTACCCCATGCAAGAGTGTTCAACTGCTACAAGAGCAGGAGCGAAATATTCAATCTGCGCTATATATTTAATTAACAATGCGATAAATGGAACAAACGTGTATGAATCACACTTTATACATTTTGCATTTCATGATTGTTACGTTGTATTATGTTGGCACCGTTTGTTCTATTTCTCGCATTGCTAAACGCCTCTTTGTATACTGTATATGTTGTCCTTTTTTCAGGGGGAATTGTGAGTATTGTTTTACATGTTGAGTGTCTGGGGCAGGTGCATGCATTCATACGCATTTCTGTGTGCGTGTTCGTGTGCGTGTGTGTATATTTGTGTGTGTGTGTGTGTGTGTGTGTGTTGTGTGTGTGTGTGTGTGTGTGTGTGTGTGTGTTTGTGTGGACCATTTGATGTGTTTAGTTCCACTTTGTGAAGTACCAACAATCCACCATGGTCACGCATATGCAACAGGTGTTTTTGGAGACGTAACTGAAAAGACTTCTTCAGGCTATGGGGTAGAATGTCCTACTGGTTTTAAACTGTCCACTTTGTCCCATAGTAAATGTGAAAGATCACCTGATGGAAAAGCTATTTACAAGAATATACCCGAGTGTCATGGTGAGTATATCTACATAATCGTTAATTGTCTGTGCACATGCATGTCTCTGTGTGTGTGTATTTCGTATTTTTGTGTGTATGCGTGTTTGCATGTGTGTACATGTGTTTGCATGTGTGTATGTCTGTTTGCATGTGTATACGTGTATTTGCATGTGGGTACGTGTGTTTTCATGTGTGTACGTGTGTTTTCATGTGTGTACGTGTGTTTGCATGTGTGTATGTGTATTTGTATGTGTGTGTTTGTGTAACGATCGGTGTTCCTATTGCGATGGCCCAGTTCAGCAAGTCCCAAAATCATTCTTGCGATAAAGAATTTGTTTTAGTTGGTAAATATGGAGCCATTGACTCTGTTCATGGGGAAAACATGTATTACGACAGGGAAGTGTCATGGCTGGCTTGCCTTCTCTGTCTATAAAAATATTTAATGTTAATACCATTGTAATGAAACACTTGTCTGGAGAACGTCCTTGAATTCTTTGTGTAGACATTTCGCTTTGTGCACTTCCATTTCTAAAACATTGCATAACATCACCTCCCTCAGATTCTTAAAACATTGCATAACATCACCTCCCTCAGATTCTTAAAACATTGCATAACATCACCCCCCTCAGATTCTTAAAACATTGTATAACATCACCTCCCTCAGATTCTTAAAATATTGCATAACATCACCTCCCGCAGATTCTTAAAACATTGCATAACATCACCTCCCTCAGATTCTTAAAACATTGCATCAAATCACCTCCCTCAGATTCTTAAAACATTGCATAACATCACCTCCCTCAGATTCTTAAAACATTGCATAACATCACCTCCCTTTGATTCTTAAAACATTGCATAACATCACCTCCCTCAGATTCTTAAAACGTTGCATAACATCACCTCCCTCAGATTCTTAAAACATTGCATAACATCACCTCCCTCAGATTCTTAAAACATTGCGTAACATCACCTCCCTCAGATTCTTAAAACATTGCATAACATCACCTCCCTCAGATTCTTAAAACATTACATAACATTACCTCCCTCAGATTCTTAAAACATTGCATAACATCACCTCCCTCAGATTCTTAAAATATTGCATAACATCACCTCCCTCAGATTCTTAACCCTTTGTGGACGGACTGTACGAGTTTCGATCTAATAAGATCGAAACTTCAGACGCGAATTTTTCTGGGCGCACCACAAGTTTTCGGCGATATTTTTACACAAATCGAAAGACGAAATCCATATCTTTCCAATGGTGCTAAATTCGCCGGGGGTCCCTAGTCAAAATGTTGACCAAATCGGCCGCGCAAGAAAAAAAATTGAGAGCTTGCGCGAGCATGCAGAACTAAAGTTGTAGTACGAGTACTGTCATGGCACGACGCAGAAATGTCCTCCGCATGGATGCGGACGATGCCATTGGCATGATTCTGAACTGGAACTCTGACGAGGACAGTTCTGGCGACCCACTTGACGAGTCTGATGACGACGAGTTCGAAGTGGACAGCAATAGTGATGATGATATACCAGAAATTCAAGAAAACGAAAACAATTTATCTGATGGATTTGCTGATACTGCTAGCAGCGATAGTGGCGGCGAGGATGCTGTACGAGGACGCGGTCATGGTCGTGGTCGTGGCCGTGGTCGTGGTGGCAGAGGTCGCGCTGCAGGTCGTGCTGCAGCTGCTCAGCCACAAATTGCCAGAGGGCGTGGCAGAGGTCGTGGCAGAGGTCGTGGTCGTGGTCGTTGCATAGTTGCTGATGCAGGTGTAGCTGGTGCAATGCCAGCGTAAACAACTTGGGAGGATGCTGACGACCATGTCGTGCCAGAGTTGCCCTTTTCACCAGCAAGAGCTGCAGGCATTCATCTTCCTGAGAATTTTCAGCCTGAACAGGAGCTGGATTTCTTTCAGTTATTTTTCGACGACGACATCGTCGATGGCATTGTGAAACACACGAATGAGTACGCATGGATCCACATCCTACATCGACAGTACTATGCCTTACCTGATGGCAGCTGGGATGAGGTGGATGCCGCAGAAATGAAAAAACTGCTAGGATTCTTCATTTACATGGGACTTGTCCAAGTACCACGGTCCAAGGATTACTGGTCGACGTCCACACTGTACAACGGACTCTGGCGCAGAGCCTTCTTCCCACGGGATCGTTTCAAGGCCCTGATGAGCTTCCTGCATGTGGACTCTCCAGCCAACGACCCTGATGATCGACTCTGTAAAGTACGGTTCATCTGCGAGTCTCTCGTCGCATCCTTTCAGGCATTCTACCAGCCGACCGCTCACGTCTCCCTCGATGAGAGGATGATCAGATTCAAGGGTAGACACAAAATGAAAGTGTACATAAAGAACAAGCCCACCAAGTGGGGCATCAAATATTTTGCCCTATGCGACTCATCTTCCAAATACATTTGGAATTTTGAGATCTACACCGGCCAGAATGTGGATCCCAGCCCCAATGGTGTCACACATGATTTGGTGATGCGTCTGGTCGACCCTCTACTCGACCAAGGATACAGCTTGTACACCGATAATTACTACACAAGTCATGCATTGGCAATGTCCCTACAGCAGCTCAGCAGCCATCTAGTGGGAACTGTGCGTAGCAATCGCACTGGTTTCCCAGCTGCTCTCAAGAAACCAAAGGATCTCGAGAAGCACGGTCAGCGCGGTGACATACGCTATGTCCGTGATGATGCGCTGGTGTATGTCCAGTGGCTTGACAAGCGCGTCGTTACACTTCTGTCGACCAAGCATCAGGCCACCACCAGACAGGATGCACAGCGAACTGTGCGCGTTGATGGCACCTGGGTGCAGCAGGCAATCCGCCGTCCCATTGCTGTCGCGGATTACAACGAGTTTATGGGTGGAGTAGACTCGTTCGACCAACTGGCCTCTACCTACAGTCTTCTACGCCGCTCCAAGAAATCCTGGAGGTGCATTTTTTATGATTTGTTGCAATGTGCAGTGATCAATGCATTTTTGATCTTTGAGGAATACCGGTCCGTGCACCCTGATGCCTTCCCTCGTCCTGCCGGGTACTCGCAGGACGACTTCCGTGCGAACCTGGTGCGCCAACTCGCCGATATCAGCGTTGATGATGCACCACCTGTGTTTGCTGCAGGAAAGAAGCGCAAGCAGGAGCCCATAGTCACCCACATGCCAGTTGCCACCCAACAGCGAGGTAACTGCTTTCTTTGCTGGCAGAGGAACCGACGGGAAGTCAAGTCACACTTCTCGTGCTCGACATGTACCAATGTCCATGGCCGCCCCCTCTTCCTGTGTATCAGGGAGGATCGCCAATGCTTCCATGACCACCATCAGGCCATCTAGGCAGTTAGAAAGCACAGAACAGCCTGGAAACACAGAACATTTGTAAATACATTGTACATACCCCGAAAATGCAAATCAAATTCTGAATTCGCACCGCACATTACTTTCTGTATGCCAGAATGGCAACATTCCTTTACCCGATTTGGACAATTTTTTTTGTTGGACAGCTTATCCTATCTACTTTTCGAAAATGTATGGTGTTGTTATGGCTAATGTATACCGATTTCGAATTATTACTGATTTTCGCATGTCGCTTCTTTCCTGTACAAATTTGGCAGTCCATAAAGGGTTAAAACATTGCATAACATCACCTCCCTCTGATTCTTAAAACATTGCATAACATCACCTCCCTCTGATTCTTAAAACATTGCATAACATCACCTCCCTCAGATTCTTAAAACATTGCATAACATCACCTCCCTCAGATTCTTAAAACATTGCATAACATCACCTCCCTCAGATTCTTAAAACATTGCATAACATAACCTCCCTCAGATTCTTAAAACATTGCATAACATCACCTCCCTCTGATTCTTAAAACATTGCATAACATAACCTCCCTCAGATTCTTAAAACATTGCATAACATCACCTCCCTCTGATTCTTAAAACATTGCATAACATCACCTCCCTCAGATTCTTAAAACATTGCATAACATCACCTCCCTCAGATTCTTAAAACATTGCATAACATCACGTCCCTCAGATTCTTAAAACATTGCGTAACATCACCTCCCTCAGATTCTTAACCCTTTAAGAGCCGCCCCATACTTGAATGCGTCGTAAACGACGCATTCAAATGCAAAACTTCAAAAGATCGTAACTCAGTCCAATCTTGCTCAAATTCAGTGATCGAAATATCCAGGGCGAAGAGAAAACTCTCACCTGTCGGGGGAAACAATCCGCGAAGCGCTGCGAGCAACGGTTCCTGAGATAAATCACTCGTAAGTTGAGCCGCGATCGCGGCAATTTCAAAAGCGCGCAGTGCGACTTTAGTATTGAGAATTTTGAGACTTTTCGTCACGCTGGTTTACTCGAATTTGCACGGGTTTCACTGTTGATATTGTCAAGAGTACACAGCGAAAAAATGGGAACTCCACGATCGAGTAAAATGAAATATCTGGAGCGGGACGCAATTGGACGCATTTGGGGCATTTTTCGTACTGTCGCTGCGGTCTAGCGCTGGATAGACGGTGTGCTGGCTATCATGATCAACCTCATTCTCTTCCTCTCGCGGAGACCTTTCCAGGAAGCCCTAGATTGTGAGGATTGAGTGAGTAGAACTGAAGCTATGGTCCAAGGAACACGAAAAAATGCAGAATTTTGAAATTTTCCTGTGGCTCTTAAAGGGTTAAAACATTGCATAACATCACCTCCCTCAGATTCTTAAAACATTACATAACATTACCTCCCTCAGATTCTTAAAACATTGCATAACATCACCTCCCTCAGATTCTTAAAATATTGCATAACATCACCTCCCTCAGATTCTTAAAACATTGCATAACATCACCTCCCTCAGATTCTTAAAACATTGCATGACATCACCTCCCTCAGATTCTTAAAACATTGCATAACATCACCTCCCTCAGATTCTTAAAGGGGGGGAATGACCCTTCGCGCACGCCATACTGGACCGTACATGTCAGAACGACCACAACTTCCGTTTCCTTCAATATTTCTTGATGAAATTTTCACCATGTCTTGATGGAATAACATACAACAGATCAATGGCACTCTGAATGAAAATAAACTAAAGAAAGTTGGAAGATTTGACAACAAAAGGATAATTATCGCACAACGAACAAAAGCTAAACGGTGCGCCATTTTATCAGAATGTAGTTCATCAGAATCATCTCTTTCAGCCTTAGATATTTAGATTATAGGTACACGCAGTGCGTTTGCCTAATATCACACTGTCCTAAACATCAGTGGCAGTGGTACAGCTCTCACATGCTGCACTACCGCACATGCGCAGTTACCTCACGGATGGAATGGGCAGAATATGCACACAGGATTGAAGAAATCTCCTGCCCATAGGCAAACGCACAAGCTGACATCACACAGATTTCAAAAATGTATACTTTTGCATGTCCATTCTGTACAAGTGAGCCAGGAAACTGCGCGGAGTGTCAACAAACCACTAAAAATGGCAAAAATTCAGGGTATATTTAGGTCTATATTCAGGGTATGTTCAGCACTTTTCATACAGCACCATCACGATGCAGGCAGATAGCTGCACTAAAACTTGCCCCGTCCATAAGTATCTCCTTCCTCTTCAATAGTGGTCTCCTTCCAGCCCTTCTTTCGCCTTCTTCTCTTCTTTCTCTTCTCCTTCTCTTCTGCTGAACCTTTGCGATCGGCTTTGCTGATGCAAGTGAAATCCTCATCTTGGCATGCTTTGTGGGTCAGCACGCCAGGTACACAGTCTGCTTCCAGAAGCACACTCTCCACAGCCAGTGCACCATCATTGAAGTGGGCAACTGCAAGGCTGGCAGCGAACCGGACAACATCAGCGCCACAGAAGCTTTCCTTCTGGCACATACCCCAGATGACGCCGTTGAAGCTTTCATTTGCATTCTGCGTGGCTCCGAGGAGGCATCTCTCGAGAAGCTTGCGCTCTGTCAAGCGGAGATACAGTGGCTTGACGACGTCAAACACGGCCTTGGGGAGAATGTGGCGATGGGTGTACTCATCCCTGACTCCAGCCTGCACCAACTGCCACTTGCACCAACTGTCAGGACCGGTCGGGCAAAACTGGTGCTGGGGATTGTCGTCCGACGAACACCGGTGCATAAGGCCACTCCAGATAGCCCGGGCCATGCCTTGGATGTCTTGGCTGTGCTCCCTCACTGCCCATCCATAGTACGTCTGGAGAGTGTCAATGGCTTTGTCGGTGAGCCGGCCTTTCCCAGACAACGCCTTGCCGTCTGACAATTTCGTACCCTTCATCGTCTTCTTCAGCTCCCGCAAGCCCGTGCCGATGCGTTTCTGTACATGTCCAATGCACTCCTCCTTTTCAATGGCTTCACCATTGTACGGGTCAGCTTCAACAACAGAATTGAATGCCTTACTGTCGCCATCTCCGATGTACGTTGTATACCGGAGACCACGATCAGCAACAGAGCGACTCCATATAATGACAGCTGCCTCGCTCTCCATGGCTGGTGCGGATCGCGCTGTATTCACTCCACAGGTGTGGGTACCTTTCCAGGCAGTGAAATCAACTGCACTAATTCTCCCAGACTCCTTCCGGTCGTTCCGCACGACACATTCTTGGCAGTACTTGCTGCTAACGTGTATGTCCAGTACACGGCCTGTTCTCCACGATATACAGGCAAAGACACCGTAGAGAGACGTATAGCCGCGCCTCATCCTGGTGCCATCGCAAGTTACCGCCACGGTGTCGCAACCATTCAGCACCTTCACCTCGTCAGCAGCATTCACCATGCTCTTATGAGCCACAGTGGCTGCAGCGATCACGAGCGCTTCCTGGTGACGGGTGTAGGCATGTGTGTTCACAGGGCTGGGCATGTCCATGGCTCCGCAGAACTTATTCAGAGCGGCACGTCCCTTGCCAATTCTCCGCATGGCCAACATTGATCGCCGGTTGACGTCAAAGAACCGCTTCTCTTTCAGGCATAGGTTAAATCTCCAACTGTGACTGCATAAGACATTGTCGCACTGCACGTGCACCACCGATGCGAGGCCAACGGCGCAGCAGTCAACAATATTTATTTTTCCAGATTTGCACTCACTACACACAGTGGCCACGTCCAGAAGCTCCTGAAGACACTTTAGGTACACAATTCTGTTGCTCCGCAAGCAATCCTCTTCTATCTCTTCTCCAGATCCCTCAGACGCCTCAGTATCGTCGTCTTCAGAACTGTCTGGGTTCGAGTTCACATCTGAGCCGTCGCTGCTGTCAAAGCTTTCATCAGCTAAATAGGCCGGCTTCCTGCTCAACTTTCGCGTGGACGCGCTCTACTCAGTCACTTCAACATCACTGGCGACCTCAGGAACCTCAACGACATCGTCGACTTCAGCAGCAGCTGGCTTTGGACCAAAATATTTCCTTTTCTGTCGTCTAGAACGTCCACTCGAGCTCGTTCTTCGGTTCCCCATTGTTCAAATTATTTCAAATAATTATTTTGTTCTCAAGGCAGAAAGCTAGCTGTTCAGCGCTTCTCCTTGTACGCCATGGTATCCAGGAGCAACGATTTCAAGTGAAAAACTCGCTAGTAGTACGCGGTTTCAGTGAAAATCACCGACTGCATGGAGTGCAAAATTGTACAAATTTTCGTTCCGTGCGTACTCATTTTCATTTGAATTGTTGAATTTGAAACGGTCGTAACTTTGGAACCAGTAGTCCGTTTCACCAAAAATTTTGGTTCTACACCCTATAGGGTCCGCTGGCCTAGTTGGATACCCAAAACAGCCAGAATTGAAACTTTCAATTTTTGAGTATCTGAAGGGTCATTCCCCCCTTTTAACATTGCATGACATCACCTCCCTCTGATTCTTAAAGGGGAAGTTAAGGCAAAAATTAAAATTTCACCAGTTGTAGTCTTCGGGGTGCTGAGTCGAATGGTCTTGGTCCGAGAAAGCTGAGACGCTCCCTTCCTACTTGAATCCCAATCGAACTCGCGCACTTCCACCGAAACTGGGTGACTGCGCCCTACTAGATGGGGATTTGTATGCAAAATGTCACTAAAAGAGCCATTTCGTTCTTATAAAAGCACGGATGACCGCGATTGGCCCATATGTTGTAGTCTTTTGGACGCTGAGTCAACTGGTTTTGGTCCGAAAAGGCTGCGATGCAGCGTTCCTCCTTTATTCCCAATCGAACATGGTTGAACAAGCGGTCACGTGCTCCTGCGTACACCAGTCAGCTGGTCACCGTGCCTGCAGGGTACAACTTACTAGCCTGTTTGACCTTTTTTGGGTGCAGTCCTGTCACTCGAGTTGAACTCGAGTTGAACCTTGGTGTGAAAGTTCTCGCCTGCTGGCATGGTGACCAGGTGATTTGGGCACCCAGGAGCATGTGACCGCTTGTTCAACCATGTTCGATTGGGAATAAAGGAGGAACGCTGCATCGCAGCCTTTTCGGACCAAAACCAGTCGACTCAGCGTCCAAAAGACTACAACATATGGGCCAATCGCGGTCATCGGTGCTTTTATAAGAACGAAACGGCGCTTTTAGTGACATTTTGCATACAAATCCCCATCTAGTAGGGCGCAGTCACCCAGTTTCGGTGGAAGTGCGCGAGTTCGATTGGGATTCAAGTAGGAAGGGAGCGTCTCAGCTTTCTCGGACCAAGACCATTCGACTCAGCACCCCGAAGACTACGACTGGTGAAATTTTAATTTTTGCCTTAACTTCCCCTTTAAAACATTGCATGACATCACCTCCCTCAGATTCTTAAAACATTGCATGACATCACCTCCCTCAGATTCTTAAAACATTGCATAACATCACCTCCCTCAGATTCTTAAAACATTGCATGACATCACCTCCCTCAGATTCTTAAAACATTGCATAACATCGCCTCCCTCAGATTCTTAAAACATTGCATGACATCACCTCCCTCAGATTTTTTTCCACTGTGTATTATACTGTGTAAACTGTGGATGTGGTGTGGCATAGTTTTGTTTGTACGGACGTGTCTCAGCTGGCTCTATACAATTGGCTTGACCCAATTCTCACCCTGGCCAGCTGCCGTTGGCCTGTTGCATGCACTGTGTTTATGGGCCAGCTAGCTTAGTGGGTAAAGCTGTCTCATGGATCCTCCTGTTCCAATATTAGCACCTGCCAAATGGCTCGCGACCCAGGATGCGCTGCTTTCTGGTTGTATAGACGAGGATGCACAATTTTATTCTTGTGTTGTCGATAATATTCTGAGCAGGGGAATTGGTCGGTAGACATTCAGCCAGTCGTCTTCATGTAGAACCGTGTGCTGTTGCTCGTGCCGATGACATTCTCCAAGTTGTCTTCATGTAGAACGGTGCACTGTTGGTCATACCAATAACATTCTGCAAGTGAACTTCGACAGCTCAATGTTTGGCATATCGTCCGTAACATACGGTACTGGAAAGACAACAAGAGGTTGGATGTTCTCATTGAAACCTTATTGTTGTTTTTGTCATCGTTTTCGTTGTTTCCGTTGTTCTCCAGCTGGTCCCGTTCTGTCATCTCCTATTGGAAGCAGTGGACTGGTTGTGAGTGAGGATGATGGCACAAAGTCAGCAGTTCTGTCCGTGTGCATCAACTCTACCATCAAGCCAGCACCGTCATCAGCCAATGCGGTAGTTTGGAGTACTAAGGCCAGTGGAGGTATAGGCAGTGGGAAGGTGATCACCTCACTGAATGATAGCAATGGGTGTTTCTGGTCTAATCTGACAGTGGATATCAGTGTAGTTTCTGAAGCAGTGGGTGATTACACTATCGTTGTCACAACATCTGTTGGAAGTTCTACAAAGATAATTCCCCTACAGATCACGGGTAGGTACATAGTATTGTAGTTTCATGGAGAAGTAATATCCGCACTTTCTGATCTTGTAAAGTTGTACTTGTGTTGGCGCGGTTACTGAACTTTGCACAAGACCCATCTCAGGAATAATTGTTTCCCTGAGGTACGAGGTGAGTTGCTATTTCTGGACATTGTACATTTCTGGACATTTCGAGTAAAATAATTTTTCGTCGCGTGTAGAGTCAAGTCAGTCAGGTTGATGAAGTTTTTTCTTGTTGTAGTTGACAGCTGGGCTGTTGTAGTTTCTCCTCGTGTCGGTGCCTTGTTGATAGCCTTTTCTTGGGAGGCATTTCAACGAGTTTTGTGGTACTATGTGGCATGAGAATTTTGAATTTTGAGTAAAATAAGAAGTAATGGACGAATCGTTGGCTTCCCCATGTGCACTCCACTTCAGACGCTGTATAGTCTTGGACCTGTTGGCTGGAAGTGTGAAGAGGCCAACTGCAGCCCATCAATCGAAAAAATAACAAAAATGGTGCAGTATAGGATGCCTATTGACGCTATTTTACTTTCATGTCCAGAATTCCATACACTGAAATTTAGGCCAAAAAATTGGCCTGTCGAAAACATCCTGCTATAAAGTCTCTGGGATCACAGCATGAGCAATTGTCACATATTTGGAAAGATGAAGGATTAGGCCATACAATAGATACAAAAAGATATGAAAAATGTAAAACACACAGCCAGTGGGCCTCTATTTTATTTTCATGTCCAGAAATTGCTATTCACCTCGTAAAGACCCCACTCTCTCTCTCCCTCCCTTCTCTCCATCTGCACAAAAATTCCAGAGCACAGTGTGTAAACTGTACATCTGGTTCTCCACTAGAGAGAAATTTGCTCGGTTCATCTACACTTCATATTTAGTTCTCGGTTTCAGTCAGTGTTGTTTTGTTTGGTAGTATTCACAAAACCTTTTACTTCTCAATATGTCTCTTTTGGAAGCGGAGCAACTTGCCTCAGACAGAACGCACTGGCTCGACGTTGTAAACAGATGCATGACCCTCATTTGATATTTGAGCCGTCAGATGCGAAAACAGACCTTATGGGAAAAAAAATCATATTTGTGTTAGTGATACTATCCATCGCCAACAATTTTACGACACCAACATAACGAAATTGTGAAATTTTTTACGACGAAGCTATCCTAGAAATCAACAGGAGAGAGCTTCATCCCCACTGTCCTCTGTCCACGACTGGAATTATCCAAGTGTCGATGGAAATTCGGAATGACCAAACAAGACACTACAAAACAATACCAGACTCGAAACGAAAAACGACTTCCTCGATGCGACGATGTCCACTTCAATCACGAATTTTCACTCACACATAAATCGTTATTGAGGATCATACCTTATTGCATAAACAGGTGAAAAATACAAGAAATAGCCATCTTCGAGGCCAGTTCTTGAAACTTTCCTCCAATTGATCCCAGGTTGTCGTTGGTCAATCTCCAAGATCGAAATCCTCTCTATTTGGAACCACAAAAGGAATCTCCTGGAAACTCACAGTGAGTGCGATCCACATCCTCAAACTCCTAGAAAAACAGGGAATGAGTGATTGAAAAATCACCATTCTCTTTGATGAAAAGGATCAGTGTTTCACTTCTTCTTGCTCAAACAACAACTCCAATTTTTTCAGCACATCTGCGTCCGCATCAGTACACGTGGTACGTGGCTGGAGCAGGTAAAAACCCAAGGCGAGTACAGCTCACAATGCTGGATAGTGGCTCGTCTGAGCAAAGTATAAGTGCATCACTTCAAGTTATGTTCATGCTATTGAGAATTGGCTGAACATAAAGTTGGAAAAATTTCCATCATTGATCGTTTTGGCGGTTTTTTTGACTGACCACTTCGATGCTTCCTAGGATCCTGCGCATGCACGTGTGAAAAGTGACCCCTACAAACGATCACTTCCTTTCCCAGCAGAAGCTTCCTTTTCAGTGTCTTTCAATATCAGCACTCTCAGTCATCTGTTCAGAGACCTTTCCTAGTGTTTTTCAACACTCAGTGATCTCCAGAGAGACTTTTTTCTAGTGTTTTTCAACACTCAGCCATCTGTTGGGAGACCTTTTTCCAGTATTTTCAACACCGTATTCTGACCAACTCCAACATGGCATTTTTCCATGAAGTTGGCAGTCTCCTACCATTGCAACCGGTTGAAGTAACCAACGGTAAGTCACCAAATATTTGCTATCACCCAATGAAAATAGCAGTACAGCTGAACCAGATATGATCACATGGTTGTTTTTACAGAGCCGTGCACTGCGCAAGCCACACCATCGGCAACAACACACGCACCGCGGCCAAGAGAGGCAATAGGTAAGTAAGACGTTACACTCATTACCATTGCACTCAGTAAATAATGATAACATCTCAATTGCTACATGGTTATTTCCCATTGATGTGGTTGCAGAGGCATTATGGGCGCCAGCCACAGCATCCACAGCATCGACCACGGCTGCATCAAACACAGCCGACACGCAGCCACAATCACGTCAGCACTACGCATGCTGTGCTAATGGAAGCACAGTTACCATCAACATCCCATACAGCGACTTGGAGCGTTGGGGACCCCAATATGTGGACGAGCTCGAAAAGCACGTCAACATGCTAGCTGTAAGTGACCAACAAGAAACTATATCAAGTGGCTCAACATTTATGTTGCTTGTATGTGTCCAGCAAAAAGTTCTACCAGATCCAAATCAATATAATACAGTATTGGCCTGTGAAAGTCACCCACGAAAGATAAAGAAATAAAGTAGCTGTGTCCCATATTCATAGGGACACACTTCACTGACTCATCTAGGTAGAAAAAGAACAAACACATGGTGTTGTCATTTTCTGCTCGTGTACAGGTCAAGAAAGAGGCCAGAGCTCGCCTGAACACGCGGATGAGGTCAGCAGCGTGCACTTTCAAGAAAAAACGTAAAGCACACAAGAAAGGAAGAGATAAGTATCACCAGAGCAATGTGTATACGTGTTCAGTCGATCTGAAGGACATGGCAACTGCCATAGATCTCAGGAAAGAGGTCGAATTATTGAAAGAGGAACTTGTAGTAGTGCAGGAGGAGATGAAATCCATACATTACAAGCATGATGAGGTGGTAACGCTGTACAATGCCATGACAACCCTCACGGGAACGGTCGATGATGGTACTCTGCTTGACCAGCTGGGACGCGACAATCAGGAATTGCGCCAGTACATATCTGAAGAGAAAAGGCAAAACACACACAATGGCAAGCCACATCATATGGTTGGAGAACGTCAGCAACAGAGAAACATGAGGAAAATCCGATCAGCAGCGGAGGCTGCACTATGTTTCGTGGAGAGTTACGGTATGCAGCTGAAAACGGTAACTACTACGGACGCCCAAGGAAAGACACATGAACTTGCCTACGGACGAGGTAGTTTCCATACGGCGTATGAGAAAATGCAGGATGAGGACAAAGAAACTGTGGAGAAAGTGCTCTTCATCCTGGAAAAGTTCTGCGGGTCAGATCAGATGTACAATGATTTGGTCCAGGTGCTAAACACCAATGGCAATGGTATGCCAAAGCTCTACCAGGTGGTACAGTGCAGGAATCAATTGAATGAGCCCATACTTGAGGAAATTTCTGCAACCCCAGGCCCTCACCCTGGATCACAACGCTCTCTCACTAAGTGCCTGCAACGTGAAGCAGCAAATATCAAAGGAAACACGCTCAAAGTGAGAGTGAGCGTGGATGGAGCGAAGGTGAGCAGAAAGTCAAATTTCATCGTGATGTCCTATGCTACACTAGACGGAGAGGGCAGTGAGTTATCAGCAGCACACAATAAGGTGGTGGGTATCGTAAATGCACCCGAGGAATTCCTGAATCTGAAGGAGTGCTTCAAGGATTTGTTTACAGAAGTCTCGGACATCCAGGAGTCTGGTAGTGTCTCAACCTCCAATGGTAATGTCCCCACTGAGATTTTCCTCGGTGGGGACATGAAGTTCATTTCTATGGTGTTGGGCCTAAGTGCAGCTACGGCAAATCATGCATGCCCGTGGTGTAAGGTGCATAAGAACCACCGCCACGACACTACCAACTCACCAGCTTATTTCAACACCCCTCCGGTTGCAAGGACCATGGATGAGCTGCGAACACAAAATCCGACCCAAGTCAAAGACAACACTGTCACAGATGGGAAAACAGGAAAAAACAAATATGGGCAAAAGCATGAACCCCTCATCAATGTTGAACTAGACCACATCGTGATCGATGAATTACACATGATGCTGCGCATTACGGACATTCTTACCAATGCGTTAGTAAAGAATGCTATGCAGAAGGACAAACTGGAAGGGCACAAAAAGGTGCTGGAAGCGCCCAACCTATTAAATGTCATCAAGGCTGCCAATGCCTGCGGCGTTTCCTTTAACGTGTGGGAGGAAAAGAACGCCGATGGTGCAGCGAGTGGCCACTACACGTTCACTAGTCTTATGGGCACGGACAAAGTCAAGCTCCTGAGCGGCATCACTGCCCATCTGGACGGCTGCCTGATGACCGACACTCAGGCAGCCGTCCTAACAACATGGACAGAATTTTTCGAAATCTACCAAACGGTAAATGACAGGAGCCTGGAGGAAGACCAGATCACCCAGCTCGAAGACAAGGTCAAGGGCTGGGTGAAGGTCTTCTGTGACCTTGGCAACAGCGTGCCTGGGTACGGCAAAGCCAAGGTCACGCCGTACATTCACGTATTAATGATGCACGTCCCGTACCTACTGAGAAGGTACGGGAACCTGCAACAATTCAGTGGCCAAGGTGTGGAGAAACTTAATGATGTCGCTCGACGTGTCCACCACCGTAGGAGCAACAAACACAAAGCCACACAGGACGTGCTGCTGGCCACAGCACGGATTGACACGTTAGCAACGCGAGGCCGGGAACGGTCAAGGCGAGGATATAGCAGGAAGGAATAGTTTAAAGTAATAGTTTATAGCAGGAAGGAATAGTTTTCATTACAATACATGCACACAGAACTCGTTTACCCAATCTTTGATTTTGTCTTCCAGCTTGGTTTTCTGTTATGTGTGCAGGCTTGTCTCATTTATTGATTCGCTCGCCCCACCGTCTCTCTTTCTCTCCTCTCATTCGTTACATGTATTGCTAAGTTAGCTTTAGTGCTGCGCGCAGGGTGCATACGATTTTAATGTGCACTGAAAATGTGGTGCAGCTCCGTGTTCAGCCAAATGCAAGCTTCCTTTGTGCTGTGTGGTGAGCACATGATTAAACAAGGCCTCTTTGCTGGGCAAACTAGCCATGAATTCTGACTCGCTATTTCCTTCAGATGTAAGCCGTAAGTTACTTGCTAGCTACCAGCTAATTTAATTTTGCATATTCACCAAGTATGAGCTCTTGGTAGGACCATACAGTTGGAATCATTTGGTGCACTGCACAAGTGCATGCCTGGTACGAGCAGCTTGCTATTCTTTCTCTCTTCTGTAAAAATAGAAGACGGTTGTGTGATGGCAGGGATTGGTAACCCTTGTAAGCTAAGTGGAAAATACCCGAAAAAATAACCACATACTGCATTTGATGCAAACTTACGGCAGCATATGGCAGTTATCTGGGCATGGGGTGATGATGTTGCCTGGAAAATGGTATCACTGATGCAGCAATGAGCACAAGACAAGTGGAGACGTCCTCCTTCCTACAAGCAGACCGGATGAGTTTGCGAAGCAAGGACGAGCGCCACAATCGTTCCTAATGAGAACAGGAAGGAAATAAGCAAGAACCCTGAGCCATGGAAAAGATAGTCGGGCATTCTGTCATAATAAGTGATAAATGTTAGCATTACCACAATCAGATGGGGGATGTCAACCATATTTGCTGAGTGGATCCATCATCATTTTGCGAACCTTACTCAGACGTGTGACTGAACACTGACAAATTGTATAGAGACAAACTGCCTGGCAGCACGATGCCCTTCCGTCATAGATCCAGAGGTATCTTGCACGAACGTACAAGGACTACGGCGAACCGTAGGCTTGATGGTAACCGGGTAGTGAACCCGAGGGCCTTGTCCATGTACATTCATGCAAGTATCCCAACCTGGAGGAAAGAACTTCACAGGGAAATCCTTCTCTCCCAACTCTACAGCACCCCCTTTGTCCAGTTTCTGATTCGAAAACCAGAAATAAACAATTTCCCTTCTGCATAAAGTAGACTCAGGATTTGAACATCCACTACGTAGCTTTCGCTGCACAGCAGTGCGAATACCATCAGCAGCCTCAAACAATTCATCATCTGAGAAAGGGCCCAACATTCCCGTTCCTTCAAAAGCTCTACAGCACACAAAAGGCAGATTTTCAAATTCACGTAAGATTACATCCAATCATATCACCACCAAAATGAAAAGAAATCACCTGATGAGATCGTGGCTGATGTCTTCCTCTAGCTCCCACGTCGCATCGTATAGGCTGAAGTCTCTCCACTTCACCAGGTACTGCATGCTTCCGCCCTAAAGCACGGAAATTCAGTGCAATGAACAGCTTAACTGTGTGGACCTTGAGACCTACGACAAAATACACGTACACGTACCTTCTTCTTTCTCCTGTCGATTAGGTAAGAAGCAGCGAATACTTCAGGTCCAGTCTGCCTGAACTTCCTCCGCGAGGGACTACTGAAAATATCAGCTGAGGAACACTTGTTGAGCCTGGCGTAAAAGCCAGGCTCGTTTCGTCTGCGAGACATCGTAGTGAGGATTGAAGAACTTCTCCTCAACAACAACAAAAAAGCTTCTTCAAAAGAACGCTGTTTATGTGTACAAACAACAGGAGTTCAAAATCAAACATGCGAAAGAACGCAGCTGTAGCTCACGCGCATGGCCATTCGCGTATGCATGCATCGCAAATGCTCCTTTTTTAATCATGAAAATCAAAAAAAATCATACTCGCATGCGAGCGCGTCGCGACCCTGCAGTGACGTTTGGTCGGAAATGTTTTATACGGAAAATATTTTTTAGAGGCGATGTCGCCGATTGTTGGCGATGCTGAAAGCCAGGAGCATCAGGAGTCGTATGCAAAAACCTAGAGTTGATTTGGACCAAGGGAAGTAAAGTTATAGCCTCTACAATAGGAGACCGTTTCAAATTGCATCTCAATTTTGGGTGCAATACCAACAATTGTTTCACCTACTTTGTAGAATATTTCCTGTTTCCTTTGACCGATTTCCACAAACGTGGGCTTTCTGGAAAGCTCTGGCGACGAGGAACCCGTTGGGCCCAAATCCGATAGCAAATAAAGCACAGCTCCAGCGCAACAAGCAGCAGACATCGCTTCAGCGCTGGACTTGCGCCGTCACACGAAAATCGCTCGCCATTTCCATCTCCATTATCCCAGGACGCCCAATTTTTTTCGTGAAGATGCACTGAGAGCTTCCAAGACGTCTGAGCCTGTTGCCGAGATCGTAGGTCGCTTGAAAAGGGGGAAACCCCGGGTCTGGATCGTTTGATTTGCACGTAGAAGTGCAAAGTGCCGTGACGTATCTTGCAGGCTTCGCAGCTGGGGAACGCAGCATCGTGCCGCGATCGCGCTTGCTGCATTGGATTCCTTGGAGTTTTCTCTTCGATTTACATACTTGGATTGTCCCGAAAGACCGATATTTGACTGAAATACGAAGGTTTGTAGCTTGGTTGTCCATGCGCACCAGTGCGTAAACTCGCCAACTTTCAAGTGCATTTTTCTGCACTGTGCAGTGTTTCCCATAAGGTCGGTTTTCGCATCTGACGGCTCATTTCATATGAGGTATATGCGTGCTGTGTTACTATTATTATTCACAAAACATGTATCCGGCATGTGGCGCAGTAGGGTGTTTTATTTTTGTTTATTTTTTATTTTGTTTTTAACTCTATGTCCTTTCTATGTAGCAATGGTTTGCGGAATCCTTAAAAGGGGAACTGTCACCAAAAAATTTCTTTGTCTTATCTTGTAGTTCTTTGGCTCCTGATCCCGATAGTGTTATTCGTTTTTTTCTCTGCGATGACTGGAAGTGGGTGAGAACTTGAAAAGAAGGTCCCCCAAATTGTCCCGAAGTACCGAGTGACGTCACGCCGGACTTGACCTCCACGCATACACTTGTCGTCAAAAACGAAGTTCAGCCCGTGTGCATGCTGGTCGATCGAGCCAACTGTTTCGATATCACAATGTACGGTGCACGCTTGCCTTCTGAACTCGGACACTGATGTGTACGTTGTACACAATCAGAACGCCAAAAAGGGACAAAACAAACAAAAAGTCGATAGCAGCTTGTCGCATTGGTACTTCCTCCACGAAGCTCCAGCTCTTTGTTTTACCGGTATTTGTTATTACGAAGGATTGGAAGGATATTTGTTTGCTGTTAGTGTGACACACATACCTCGTACTTGTAAATTATTTCGTTGTATCGAAGGTGGCGGTGTTGCCGACCCGACTCTGAAATGAAAGACGTCGGATTTGTCATCTGCGTCTTCAGCAACATCGTCAGATGAATCGCCTTCACGTAGCTGCATTGCGTTCCTTTGGGGCTCGGGCTGGTGGTGTTATCGCCGGCCAGAGGAGGACTGTTTTCGGCACACACACTCATCATCGTCTTGTTCCTCACACGAAAAGTTCAAAACATTGACGTGCTTCCGTGCTCACAAAATAGAACTTAGTTCCTCGCGGAAGAAGTCAAAAAGGTGAAAGCTCAGCAGCTTTTTATTTTGATTTGGCTGTGTAGCTGCATGTGAGTCTCTGCCTCTTTGGCATTCTCCTTCGGTACGACGTACCCATCTGTGTTAGAGTTCAGTAGGCAAGCGTGCACCGCACATCGGAACAGCTAGCTCGATCGACCAGCACAAGGGCTGAACTTCGTTTTTGACGACGAATGTACGCGTGGAGGTCAAGGCCGGCGTGACGTCACTCGGTACTTCGAGACAATTTTGGGGACCTTCTTTTCAAGTTTTCACCCACTTCCAGCCCTTGCGGAGAGAAACGATTACCACCATCGTGATCAGGAGCCAAAGAACTACAAGATAAGACAACATTTTTTTTGGGACAACAATAAAAATACAAAATTACTAAATTTAGTTCCCTTGTTTCAATACATAAACGATAACCTTCCCTCGAAAAGAAATCTTCTGACCGGAAGTGTCCATAGGACACACTCCCTTGCCCCTAACCCATTTATAAGTAATTGTTTTTCTTGTTCTGTGCAAACCCTCTGAGTTGTCTGAGGAAAGTTCCAAGAATGCAGCTTTAGCTCTTTCAATTGTTTGCTAAATTGTGCTCATTTCGTGTGTGTGTGTGTATGTGTGTGTGTGTGTGTGTGTTTGTGTGTGTGTGTGTGTGTGTGTGTGTGTGTGTGTGTGTATGTGTGTGTGTATGTGTGTGTATGTGTGTGTATGTGTGTGTGTTTGTGTTGAACATCTGGTTTGTTTAGTTCCATTGTGTGAACTACCAACCATCCACCATGGTCAATCACGTGCAACAGGTTTGATTGGACAGAGCTCTAGAGATGGTCAGACACAGACCACCACCTCATCAGACTATGAAGTAGTGTGTGCTGATGGTTTGATCGTGTCTACTTCACAGCATAGTAAATGCGAAAAGGTGTCTGCTGGAAAAACCAGTTTTAGAAATATTCCAGATTGTCATGGTGAGTTGCTCTAATCAGTGTGTTTGGCTGATGGACATACACTTCTCTTTCTTTCATGGAAACTGTTGTAAGCCATTGTTGGGAGTGTTTCTTTTACTGAACTGTTACTGAATCGCCACTGCTCACGTCAATGTTATTCTGAAAGTTGTTTTCATGTAGAACTGTGCACTGTTGTTCATGCCGATGACATTCTGCAAGTTGCCTTCATGTAGAACTGTGCACTGTTGGTCATGCCGATGACATTCTGCAAGTTGCCTTCATGTAGAACTGTGCACTGTTGGTCATGCCGATGACATTCTGCCAGTCGTCTTTATGTAGAACTGTGCACTGTTGGTCATGCCGATGACATTCTGCAAGTTGCCTTCATGTAGAACTGTGCACTGTTGGTCATGCCGATGACATTCTGCCAGTCGTCTTTATGTAGAACTGTGCACTGTTGGTCATGCCGATGAGAATCTGCAAGTCGTCTTCATGTAGAACTGTGTGCTGTTGCTTGCGCCGATGAGAATCTGCAAGTCGACTTCATGTAGAACTGTGCACTGTTGGTCATGCCGATGACATTCTGCCAGTCGTCTTTATGTAGAACTGTGCACTGTTGGTCATGCCGATGAGAATCTGCAAGTCGTCTTCATGTAGAACTGTGTGCTGTTGCTTGTGCCGATGAGAATCTGCAAGTCGTCTTCATGTAGAACTGTGCACTGTTGGGCATGCCGATGAGAATCTGCAAGTCGTCTTCATGTAGAACTGTGCACTGTTGGTCATGCCGATGAGAATCTGCAAGTCGTCTTCATGTAGAACTGTGTGCTGTTGCTTGTGCCGTTAACATTCTGTAAAGGGCATTTTTACAGCTTAATGTGCGGCTTATTCTCCTTAAAATACGGCAATGAAGAGACTACAAGAGGTCGCATGTCTGCATTGATATATTGTAGCTGTTATTGTTGTTGTCATCATCATAGTTGTTTCCGTTGTTCTCCAGCTGGTCCTGTTCTGTCATCTCCTATTGGAAGCAGTGGACTGGTTGTGAGTGAGGATGATGGCACAAAGTCAGCAGTTCTGTCCGTGTGCATCAACTCTACCATCAAGCCAGCACCGTCGTCAGCCAATGCGGTAGTTTGGAGTACTAAGGCCAGTGAAGGTATAGGCAGTGTGAAGGTGATCACCTCACTGAATGATAACAATGGCTGTTTTTGGTCTAATCTGACAGTGGATATCAGTGTAGTTTCTGAAGCAGTGGGTGATTACACTATCGTTGTCACAACATCTGTTGGAAGTTCTACAAAGATAATTCCCCTACAAATCACCGGTAGGTACATAGTATTGTAGTTTCATGGAGAAGTAATATCAGCACTTTCTGATCTTGTAAAGTTGTACCTGTGTTGGTGCGGTTACTGCACATTGTACAAGACCCGTCAGGCGAAATTACTAGTGAGTCGGCGACACGCATTTTTCACAAAAAATTGCGTTTCACCTGCTGGGAGAGTATGCGTGTACTCGAGTCTCATCCTGAGCACGTTTTTTTCATTTTTTTCAGCTCCAGTACAGCTGTATTTTCATTGCATAGCCGTCCATGATTGTTGTGTTCGTTGTTCAAACGAAGTGGACATTCAATCATGAAGGCAGAGGACATAGGAGCCTGATTGGAGTTTCTCGTGGCATAGGACGGCCACACAGAGACACTTTGGGATTTTCTGAATATAAAATACTGTACGCACGCTGCTGAGATCAATTTGTGCTATATCAAATTGTTTGTGATCTACCACATCGAGCAGAAGGGGATCCAAACACAAGCTTACCGACGGTTAGGCTGCCGACCTGACTGGACAAATGATCCCTGGCTTCACCAGACGCCAGAAGTCGGACACCATGTCCTTTGCCGCGACGTCCATCTCCAAAAATAACTCCATCTTCGTCATGAAAAGGCTTGAAATACTCAATGTTCAACCGAGATTCGCGGTCTCACCCTTTCCCAGATGGAATCATTTTTTGTTGTAGCAGTTGCAGGGCAGATCCCCGCCACTACTTTAACAGGAGATAGCTCCAAAGCATGCCTGGAACAAGCCATATCGAGGTTGCAAGCCACCCCTCTCAGCAAAAAAATTCGAAGAAATTCGAAATTTCAATGGTGGAAGATATACTATGAAGAGAATTTCGAAAAGTATGTTTCGCGGAGCAATCGCTCAACCTACGTCATTCAAACTTTGCAGGATGGTTCAGACGTACATGCTAGGCATGGAACCACAGGGGATAATGTCATAGCGGACACACAGAGTCACACGCACACAGCAGATTCGTGTGCACAGATACTAAATTAGTGGACGTCGTCATCTTCTTCCCGCTGATCTCAAATGTACTATGACGTGCTATTTCGCCTGACGCCCATCTCAGGAATAATTGTTTTCCTGAGATAAATCCCCCCTCTCTTTACATCTGATCAAAATTCAAGAGAACAGTTCTCCACTAGAGTGAGAAGTGTTCGTCATCCATCTATATTTCATGTCCAGTACTCTGTTTCTGGCAGTGTTGTTTTGTTTGGTGATATTCATAACCGGCTTTTGTCAACGTCATTTCTGTCATTTCATTGTATTTTATTACTCTTCAGGCATCAATCTTGAATGGCATATGCGAAAGTAGCACCGCGCCACCTACGCGGACATGCTTTTAATAATAATAATAATAATAATAATTTGATAACTGATTGCGGTTATCAAATTGTTGTCTCCTCGCCGTTTGTTCAAATAATAATAATAATAAGGTTTTCGTAATCAGTATTTTCATTCAACGACGCAAATCCACACAATTCAGTAGACACTTCCTTTCTATCAAACGTTTTTTTCCCTTCTCTTCAGGATAGTACAGGGAATGTTTAATTTGAATTAATACATAACTATATAGAGAAATAAATAAAAATCAACACTTCAACATAGGCGATAAAATGGTTAAAAACTTTAAAACAACAGCTGCAAGTTGACAAACACGTTGAACACATCAGGGAACACTTGTCACACTGTCACGAGGTATGACACCAAACAACTGCAACGATAACACTTGTAAAGTTCAAAGTGATGTAAATCACTTTCCAACTGTTTAACCCACAATCTCACCTTCTCATAAATTTATCTCTTATTGGCGATGGTGCCATCGCGAGAATAAAGAATTCAAAAACACATTCTCCTTCTGTACACATAGTTCTGGATCTAGTTTACGAATATACAGAGCTTCTAACACAGCAAGATGTAACTTAGACCTTCCACGTGTCAAAATCGAAAAGATAAAGCGTTCCCTGATGTGTTCAAAGTGTTTGTCTACAACTTGCAGCTGTTTGTCTTTGAGTTTTTAACACTTTAATCATGTTATCGCCTATGTTGAAGTGTTGATTTTTCTTTCCTTCTCTATTATAGTTATGTGTTTTTTTCTTCAAATTGATAACATTCCCTGTATTATCCTGAAGAGAAGGGAAAGAAAACGTTTGATAGAAAGGAAGTGTCTACTGAGTTGTGTGGATTTGCATCGTTGCATGCGAATACTGATTACGAAACTGTTTTTTCACCGCCTCCAAACTACTGCTTGAATAATAATACTCATAAAGCATATGTCCAGTATGTGGCGGGGCAGGGTGTTTTTTTTAGCTCTATTCCTTTTCTATGTTGCAATGCTGTAGTTCCCTTGTTTAACACATAAACTATATCCTTCCCTGAAAAGAAATCTTTTGACGCGAATTTTCCGTATGACACCGTCCCCTGCCTTCCACCCATCAGGAACCATTTTAAATAGATCCATATTTTAATAGGGGTCAAACGGGTGTACCTTTAACTAACGAACGGGTAATTTTCTTAACGGGCGGGTTAACGGATACCCTTTAGCAGCCATATTATTTTTTTGCGCATTTCTCACATAAATCATGATTTTAATTTGTATATTCTCAGGTTGTATTTTGATACTACATTATGATTCGCAATTGATTCGTGTATCATAAAATTATTATGGCAATGAAGATTCCAAATGAATGTCATCCGTGCATTTTCCCATGTACATAACTTCACAGGCAGTTACCTGGTTACTTACAATCGTACATGTAGATGGTCCTACAAGCTACATGTATATTGATACATGTACGCAAATCAACTGCAGATCGATGTGATTCAAGCCATGCAAGGACGGAGTGGTTTAGCAAAACTTCCGTGATCTCGCGCAATCCTATTTGCTATGTTCGCAGAGAACTGGTACTCATTGCATTCAGAAGATGTTCGCGCCCATAGCTAGCTGGGGTGCCTGACACAGCTGATGTGCTGTTGGCCAGCTAGCTGCTAGTGCTAGCTTGTTGAACTCGTGAAATGAATCTTCACAAATCCGTAATCTTGTATGCAATATTTCGAACTACTTTTCAGCTCGTCGATTGAAGGAACAAACTACAACCATGAGTATCATACATGTAGCTACCACCTACGTACATCACCGATAGTGACACTCCGACTGGTCACTCAGCCTGGTGACACTAGTTCATCAAGTACTGTGGCAGGTTCGATGTCGGAGAACCATCGTAACTTTCTAGTTACTCAGCTGCCACCTCGAACGAGTTTCAAGTCTTGCATTTTCTCACATCACAATCAAAAACCTCCAGTACGAGGATTTTTACTTGCACTAGAGTGGAGAGAACAACTGTCAAGTCTGTCTTTCAGCCTGCTCCTGCCTGATAAAGTCGAAAGCGGGAATGCACAGGAAAAAGAAAAGAGTATCCGCACTCCTATCCCGAGGTGGAAATTGTGTTGCGAAATTGTGCTGTGTTTGTGTGTGTTTGTGTGTGTGTGTATATGTGTGTGTGTGTGTGCGTGTGTGTGTGTGTGTGTGTGTGTGTGTGTGTGTGTGTGTGTGTGTGCATGTGCGTGTGTGTGTGTGTGTGTGTGTGTGTGTGTGTGTGTGTGCATGTTTGTGTGTGCATGTGTGTGTGTGCGTGTGTGCGTCTGTGCATGTGTGTGTGTATGTGTGTGTGTTTGTGTTGAACATCTGGTTTGTTTAGTTCCATTGTGTGAACTACCAACCATCCACCATGGTCAATCACGTGCAACAGGTTTGATTGGACAGAGCTCTGGAGATAGTCAGACACAGACCACCACCTCATCAGACTATGAAGTAGTGTGTGCTGATGGTTTGACCGTGTCTACTTCAAAACATAGTAAATGCGAAAAGGTGTCTGCTGGAAAAACCAGTTTTAGAAATATTCCAGATTGTCATGGTGAGTTGCTTTAATCAGTGTGTTTGGTTGATGGACATTCACTTCTCTTTCTTTCATGGAAACTACATGCATGTTCTTCCCCATTGTTGAGATTGTGTCTTTTACTGAACTGTCCACCACTGCTCATGCCGATGACATCCTGCAAGTTGTCTTCATGTACAACTGTGCATTGTTGTTCACGCCGATAACATTCTGCAAGTGAATTTGGAGTGTTGAACGTGCGTCTTATCGTCGGCAAAAAACGGTACTGAGGAGACTACAAGAGGTCTGATGTTTGCATTTCTGATAGTGTTGCTGTTGTTGTTGTCATCATCATCGCTGTTTCTGTCGTTCTCCAGCTGGTCCTGTTTTGTCATCTCCTATTGGAAGCAGTGGACTGGTTGTGAGTGAAGATGATGGCACAAAGTCAGCAGTTCTGTCCGTGTGCATCAACTCTACCATCAAGCCAGCACCGTCGTCCACCAATGCGGTAGTTTGGAGGACAGAGGCCAGTGGAGGTATAGGCAGTGGGAAGGTGATCACCTCACTGAATGATAGCAATGGGTGTTTCTGGTCTAATCTGACAGTGGATATCAGTGTAGTTTCTGAAGCAGTGGGTGATTACACTATCGTTGTCACAACATCTGTTGGAAGTTCTACAAAGATAATTCCCCTACAAATCACCGGTAGGTACATAGTATTGTAGTTTCATGGAGAAGTAATATCAGCACTTTCTGATCTTGTAAAGTTGTACCTGTGTTGGTGCGGTTACTGCACATTGTACAAGACCCATCTCAGGAATAATTGTTTCCCTAAGATACCGCCCCCCCCCCCCCTCTCTCCCCCCATCTGCACAAATACTCCAGAGAATGTCTGTAAACTGTACACCTGATTCTCCACTGGAGTGAGAAGTGTTGGTCATACATCTATATTTCATGTCCAGTACTTTGTTTCTGGCAGTGATGTTTTGTTTGGTGATACAGTAAATAGTGGATATAACGTGCCCCTTTGATTTTCGATAATTTATCACTATATCCGGTGCATCACTATATCCGATTTGCATGTATGACTGACACATGGCACATGACTGTGCATGAAATGATGCGTACATGCTGGAAAAAGCATGAAAAGCAGCCATGTGTACATGTGGCTGCTTACAGCACACAGGGAAGAATTTTCTCTCAATCACGTCTGCTGCCAGATGCATCCAGGCAACACTGGATCAGTTTTGGAAGAAATGAACTAAATTTGAAGAAACTCGGATGTTGAGCCATAAATAAATGTAAAAGAGAAAAGGACATATGGATACGAGTTAAGAGTAACTCTCCATCACTGTAACATGATACTATATACAGTCAGAAAGTGCAATAACTAGGCACAAAACTGACAGAGTACTGAGACATTCGACGTCCTGACACCTAACTTCAACACATCTCCGTAGCGCTAACCGACAGCCTTCCAACTTGGAAGGTTCAAGGTTATGAAAAGACCAAAGAGGGGAAGGCAAGCGCAACGAAAACGAGCAAAAGCTACAGTCCCAACGGAACAAAGAATGTCGATCGTTACTGGACGATGACGAGACCAGTACGATATTTGACAAAGCGGTCTAACTACAATTCGAAGCAGCAAAGCAGCACACCACCCAACTTGGGTGGGTCATAAATATCAAAGATAAGTAAAGAAAGGGAAGCTTTGCGAAAACGAATTGTACAAGCCGAAAGCCAAACTCCTACAGTACTCCTCATGCATGACATTGTGATGGACTAGTTGACTACAAAACAAGTTGTTTCACACGACGTACGTTTCGCCGTATGGTTCGTGACGGCTCATCAGGTGTGCAATTTGAAACTCGGATGTTGAGCCATAAATAAATGTAAAAGAAGCTGATGAGCCGTCACGAACCATACGGCGAAACGTACGTCGTGTGAAACAACTTGTTTTGTAGTCAACAAGTCCATCACAATGTCATGCATGAGGAGTACTGTAGGAGTTTGGCTTTCGGCTTGTACAATTCGTTTTCGCAAAGCTTCCCTTTCTTTACTTATCTTTGATATTTATGACCCACCCAAGTTGGGTGGTGTGCTGCTTTGCTGCTTCGAATTGTAGTTAGACCGCTTTGTCAAATATCGTACTGGTCTCGTCATCGTCCAGTAACGATCGACATTCTTTGTTCCGTTGGGACTGTAGCTTTTGCTCGTTTTCGTTGCGCTTGCCTTCCCCTCTTTGGTCTTTTCATAACCTTGAACCTTCCAAGTTGGAAGGCTGTCGGTTAGCGCTACGGAGATGTGTTGAAGTTAGGTGTCAGGACGTCGAATGTCTCAGTACTCTGTCAGTTTTGTGCCTAGTTATTGCACTTTCTGACTGTATATAGTATCATGTTACAGTGATGGAGAGTTACTCTTAACTCGTATCCATATGTCCTTTTCTCTTTTATAAATTTGAAGAACAATTGTTTTGTGATCATCACTCTTGATCAGTATATACGATATTTTCCTGTGCATTTGATATGGTTTGCTTCCTAAAGCCCATCACAATAAGCGATATATCGGTATAGCCGATAATAGTGTGTATAGTGATATTTTAGCTGTATTTTTTGTGATTTGATTTTGATTTTGGCGAGTTCGATCATTATAGCCGGTATATCGTTACACCCGGTCACTTTATAAACGATACTCACTGTATTCATAAAGCATATGTACAGTATGTGGCTGGGCAGAGGGTGTGTTTTAGCTCTATTCCTTTTCTCTGCTGCAATGCTCTAGTTCCCTTGTTTAACACATAAACTATATCCTTCCCTCGAAACGAAATCTTTTGGCGAGAATTTTCCGTATGACACAGTCCCCTGCCTTTCACCCATCAGGAACCATTTTCAAATAGATCCTTATTTATGTGAGCATGTTGTGTGTGAAAACCTCTTACCTGTATGTAGATTCTTCCCATTTGGCTGGTCAGTGTGCCATGAGGCTATGTTGGATGGGTGAACTCTTCGGTTTAGAATGCCCTCAGGTGCATTTTTAAGTCATTGTTTTTCTTGTTCTGTGCAAACCCTCGGAGTTGTCTGAAGAAACTTCCAAGCATGGCCAGCAATCGAGGACATCTGAGCGTTGTAATTTTTGTACTCCTCCGAGGTGTGATTTTTGGCGTGCTGGGCCAAGCACAAGGAAGCCATCTGCAAAAAAACGGCAGAAAATGGTTGTTGTTTGATCCTTTGGTGTAATCTTTGTTTCTAGTCGAAGCTAGTTGCTGTTTGGAGCAGAAACGCTGAAATTGACTATTTTCTGCATGTACTCATACATGTACTCATGTACTCAGGCATGCAGTCTCACTCGTATTTTAGCTCTTTTTCTGGAATGGATGCTGCTCTGCGCCCCTTGGTGAACATTTCCTGCGCTCGTGGTGCAGCTGAAAAGGACCACTGGTATGTCTAGTTCCTGGTTTGAAAGTGGAGAGTCGACTTTTGTGCCTTGAAAAAGGAGTAGAGAGCGATAAAGGTACGTCTGTGGCGTATTTTTGAGTGCTCCTCGTACATTTTTGATCGTGATAGAAATTCTCAGACCAAAGTCAGACCGAAGATGGCCGTACAGTTTTCTTGTGGATTTTTTAGTTCTTTCATCTCGTATCTATGTCAGTATCGTGATGGTGAAGTGGAGAGGGTGATTTTCTTCCTCTAGGCTTCGTTCGGCCGACTTTGCTTCGTCCTTGTTGAAAAGTGATCCTGAAAAAAAGGTCGATTCGCAAAATTATGTTGATTTTGAATGTACGTGATGACATGCGATTGCTGGCTATGGATGCAGCTTGTACTCTTTGAATTTTTGTAATGGACACCATCCCCCCCCCCCCTCCTCCGCCGCCCCCAAGGTTGAAATTATTTTGCGATATTGTGCTGTGTTTGTGTGTGTCTGTGTGTATGTGTGTGTTTGTTTGTGTGTGTGTGCATGCGCCCACGTGTGTGTTTGTGTGGTTGCGCGCGCATGTGTTTGCTGAGAGCCTTCTGTTCCCATATTTCCATTCATCTGTGTCTTCTGCCGAGTTTCCCATACCTGGGTTACTTGGACTTCATTCGCTTCCTTGTCATTGGACATGTTCAGTCCGTCGGTTTGCGAATTCAAATAAACACAACCAACCAACCAACCATGTTTCTTTTTTACTCTCTTTCTCACTCCTGTGTGCAGCCAACACCATACGTGCCCCCACCCCTAACACACCTCAGTCGCATGCACACCCACATACACACGCACACAGCAACAACAAACAGCCTCTGCGGGGACAGCAGCAACAGCAAGAAATTAGTGCAGTCTGCAATCTGAGCACACCGCCAGCGGTGTGCTACGGAAATATCCAAACGACTCAACAAAATAACCATTCACTAGGGCGGGCGGGCATGGGCACTACACTTGCAAAGCAAGAAGAAAAAGAATGCCGCAGCCGGAGCGCATGCTCCTAATATCTCGCATTTGCGAGCAGCAAATGTTACGTCATGCAAAAGAAAGACAAAAAAGAATTACATTTCTCGTTTCTTTCCTACGTCAGCCAACGAGAAATGAGGCATTTCTTTTTTACACCTTTCTCACTCCTGTGTGCAGCCACACCATACGTGCCCCCACCCCTAACACACCTCAGTCACATGCACACCCACATACACACGCACACAGCAACAACAAACAGCCTCTGCGGGGACAGCAGCAACAGCAAGAGCAGCAAAGCATAGCTAATGGATGGCCAGTGCCCTTGACACTGAGAGCATTGCTGAGAGTGACTCCTTGAAGTACATCCGCATGGATGTTTCGCTTCTCCAGCCGCCCTGACGTTGGATCAGTCTATCCGGGACTCCTGCTGCCGCGGCCACCGATGCTCCCCCAGAACGCAGGCTATGCAGCCAAAATGCGCTTGGGTTGAAGTTCGCTTGGCACAGCGCGTCCTGGATCAGCTCTCGGGCACGGCTGTAAGACATCTGGTCCCGGACAACTTGACTAGCGTTTCCTCGCCGAATACGGCCGAACAACTTCTGGTGGCCTTCGTAGCCACCTCTAGACAGCAGTCGCTCTGTCAGAGCCACTGAGCATACTGCTCCATGCCATCTTGACAGCAGCACCCAGTTTCCTTGGCGCAGTTGATCATTTTTTCTCACTTCGAGAAATAGTGCCATGTAATCTTCCTTGATTTCGATCTCGTCGACGTATATGTTTGACAAGTCGTTCCACCGCAAGAGCCCTGCGAAACCAACCTTCATCAGAGTCGCTGTCTGCAAGTTCTGCAGTGATTCATTGCGCAAGAGCCTGGTAGCAACTTGGTTTAGCATCTGCTTCGTCATCGGCCTCTTCCGGTTCTTCGGCGCCGCCAGCAGTCGTTTGGCGGCCTGGACTAGGTTCCGAACCTGTGCGTTGTCTGTGGGGTCCGGTAGGCCTCGCACCTTGTGCGACCAGGCCAACGCGCAAATAGCGGATGTTATTGGTGACGCTGTCCGTGCCTCCTGGAGCAGCTTCACGACATACAAACATATGTGCCAAGACTCGGCTGGTACGCTCGGGATCTCTTGACTGATAGCCCACTCTTGCCAGCGCTGAAATGTCGACAAATACTTGGTCACTGTTCCCGGTGCCCTACTCGCCAACATGACTTCTGGAATCTTCCTGGATAGGTTCACGAGCTCCTGGGTTGGTTCCACTTGAACCGCCCTCAGCTCTAGGCATGAACACAAGATCATAACGTGAGGCGCCTGTCAACAGAGTCATCAGCATTAGCGTCGGCTTCAGCATCTGCAGCAGCTATCAGCATCACTTGAAGAGCATTATACAACGGCATCAGCAGCAGCGTCTGCCAGCCCTGTGGGCTACAACATCGTCATCGGCATCACCAGCAGCAGCATCCGTCCGCCCTGCGGATTATGACATTGTCAGCAGCATCTGCCTCCTGCCCTGCAGGCAATGGTGTTCCCTGAACACCAACATAGGACAATGCCTCGTGCACCGTGCACTCACATGTGCTCGCGCCACAAAACCACAGCAATCGTGTCAGTACGCAAATCAGCAACAGTTATTCTTCATGCACACTCTTAAAGCCAGCATTTCTGAATAATATTGCTTGCCCCCCAGCAAGTTGTAAGGGCAGGTACCTTCCAGAAATGTGTTTTCATCATGGGGTAGCACCAAAACTCCTTTTACAAATGGTTTCCAGCTTTGCCTCCCATGTAATTTTGGCCACCAATCCGCTGACACCCACTTAGGCACAACCAGTGTGCCATGGCCGTAGCACATTTTTAACATACTCAAAACCCTGGGTATTAGGTGGAACGGAGGTGTAAGCCACACCGTTTCCATTGACCAATCAACCGTAAAGGCATCGATCGCATAACATCCCGGATTCCACCACCTTGAACAGAAACGCTTTAACTGTTTCGTCCTCAGACTCGCAAAGCAATCTAGCGTATGGGGACCCCACAAACGCTCGATTTGTTCAAAAACAGCCGGGTTTAGCCGCCAATCATCTGTGTCGACTATTTTCGAATAGTAGTCTGCCAGTTCATTTTGTTCTCTGGGAACCCATTCGGCAATCAGGCGGATTCCGTGTTTCATGCACACCTGGAGGATTCGCATGGCCTCCCTTTGCAAATGCTCCCTTCTGCTGCCCACCTGGATAATGTGCACAGCTGCCTGGTTATCGCTTCTGTGAATGCAGATACCTCCTTCTAGTTTGTGTGCTAATGATTCAAGCACCAACGCGATTCCTCTCAATTCTCTCCACGTGGAGCTTCTTCGGTCATTCAAAATCTCATTGGACCACTCTCCTCTGGCTACCTCGATTGCACTGCCGTCTACTAAAAATCCGCCCCAGCCAGAGTCGCTCGCATCGGACCAGGTCAGGACCGTTGCCTTTGGGCAGTTTTTCCAAAATGGTTGGCCGTGCCAGTCTTCAAAAACCGTGCTCCAAAATTCCAAGTCGCACCTTGCCGCATCCGGCCATTTCACTGGGGCGTACCAAGAACTCCTAGACAATATCATGCTGTAGAATGCCCTGGTACGCAGACGGCAAATTGGCCCGAGCGCAAGCGACATAGACAACAGGAAGCCGGCTAGCCTCGCCACTTCCCTCGCGGGTGGCGCTGCTAGACCGCTCAGCCGTGCTAGGCACTCTTTAAGCCTCGCCACTCTGCGCTCTGTCGCAAAAATTCGACCCTCTTTGAGGTCAATGCGCATGCCTAGCATTTCGACCGTTTGTGATGGCTCCCACTGGGATTTTTGTTCATTGGGCACAAACCCAGCTCTCAAGAGGTCAGCTTTCATCTGTTTTGCCACCACCTTTGCCCCTTCGACAGTAGAGTGCCCACCAGACCCGTCGTCCATGTAGAGCTGACATCTTATGCCCAACTCCCTCCAACGCCGCAGTAAAACATGTGTCACTTTTGTGAAAACATAAGGAGCCGTGGAGAGGCCAAACGGTAACACGCAAAATACATAGGTTGTGATAGTTCCCTCCGCATTAAACCACTTAAACCCCAAGTACTTTTGATGCTCCTGTGCAATTTCAATGTGGTGGTACCCGCTTTTCAGGTCAAAAGTAATCACGTAGTCGCCCTTTTCGTAGACTCTTGCGATTGTTTTCAGGTCTTCCATTTTGAATTTAAATTTCGCCAGATAAGTATTGACGTACCTCGAATCCAAAATGAGTCTTAACTTTTTTCCATTATTTACCACGCCTAAAGGGCTGCAAATCACTGCCTCCTCACTCTTGACCTAATTTATGCACCCTCTTTCCATCAAGTCTCTAATTGAATCTGTGACAAAATCAAATTGGCACTGAGCGCTACTGTGATTTTTTACAGTTTTCGGCCTTGGTAGCTGCACGAACGGGAGTAGATACCCTTCACAAATGATCCTTAGCACAAATTCGGATGCCCCCATAGTTTCCCAAAATGGCTTGCACCTAGCTTAACTGCCCACCACCACCCCTTGCCCCTCTTGTTCCCCTTGATCGTCAGATTCACACAAGCCCGCCACGCACCCCTCGTCAACAACACTCAGCACCGAATACACTTCATCATCTATTGCATCAGGGGGGAGTCTGTCCGCACAGCCCTCAGAGCTATTTCTGAGCGGCTGGCTTCTGGCAGAAATTGATGAAGTGGCCTGGCTCGCCGCAACGGAAGCAGACTTTGGGGCCAGGCTGGATGGGGTTTCTCCCCGGTTGCGTCCTTGGTGCCTCGCTGGGCCCAGAAGGTGACTGCTGTTGTGGTGGTTGCTCAGCCCCTCGTGCGGCTGCTTTAGGGGTGACCACCCCGCCCCTGCCAAACCTGGATGGGATGCCCCCCGAAAGGGCCGCTGCATGGCCACGGACTGCACGGCCGCATTCAGTCTCTTGCTCTTTTCGGCAGAGGTCACAATGCTGAGGATTCCCCCTTCCTCCACAAATTTGTTCGCCACCTCTACCCCATGGGTATCGGCGACGGCGAGCCACTCTTGCCTGTCCTCTAGAATGTCCTCACCTTTCTTTAGGTTCTTCGTTGCGCTCCTCAGCCGGTCGGATTTTAGTGCCCTCCGCACTTTCTCCAGGCGCTCCTGGAGCCGGGCGTTGACTGCGTGCTGGTGTTCATACGCCACGTTCCTCCATTTACTGGGGCCCGTTGACGTAGCACTCGAGCGATGGCGATGACGGCGAGCCTTCCTGCCGGAACTTTTTGATTTTTTGAATTTTTTGGACCTGGATCTCCGGCCCCTGGGGCTGGGTGAAAGCGATGCACTGCTGGCACTCGACGATGATCTAGATGATGACGACGACGACGATGACGGAGAACGCCTCCGTCTGCGACCTCTGCCGCGTGGGGATTCCGGGGCCCTGGCCCTTTCGAGCTCGATTTGGGCCTCGAGCAGCCTGATGCGAGTTGCCTGCTCCTCCAGGCGTGCCGCCGCCGCATCGTTCTGCTGCGCGTCAGCCTGCAGTCGTGCGGGTTCAGCGCTTGCAGCACGACGGGTCCTTTTTCGGGGAGGCATGTTCCTAAAAGGATCCTGAAAGTACGTTGAAAACACGGGATGAGAAATACACTACACTTGCAAAGCAAGAAGAAAAAGAATGCCACAGCCGGAGCGCATGCTCCTAATATCTCGCATTTGCGAGCAGCAAATGTTACGTCATGCAAAAGAAAGACAAAAAAGAACTACATTTCTCGTTTCCTTCCTACGTCAGCCAACGAGAAATGAGGCATTTGTGTGTGTGTGTGTGTGTGTGTGTGTGTGTGTGTGTGTGTGTGCATGTGTGTGTGTGTGTGTGTGTGTGTGTGTGTGTGCATGTGTTTGTGTGTGTGTGTGGGTGTGGGTGTGTGTGTTTGTGTTGAACATCTGATTTGTTTAGTTCCATTGTGTGAACTACCAACCATCCACCATGGTCAATCACGTGCAACAGGTTTGATTGGACAGAGCTCTAGAGATGGTCAGACACAGACCACCACCTCATCAGACTATGAAGTAGTGTGTGCTGATGGTTTGACCGTGTCTACTTCAAAACATAGTAAATGCGAAAAGGTGTCTGCTGGAATAAACAGTTTTAGAAATATTCCAGATTGTCATGGTGAGTTGCTTTAATCAGTGTGTTTGTCTGATGGACATTCACTTCTCTTTCTTTCATGGAAACTACATGCATGTTCTTCCCCATTGTTGAGATTGTGTCTTTTACTGAACTGTTCACCACTGCTCATGCCGGTGACATCCTGCAGGTTGTCTTCATGTAGAACTGCGCATCGTTGTTCATGCCGATAATATTCTGCAAGTGAATTTGGATTGTTCAACGTGCGGCTTATCGTCGGTAAAATACGGTACTGAGGAGACTACAAGAGGTCTGATGTTTGCATTTCTGATAGTGTTGCTGTTGTTGTTGTCATCATCATCGTTGTTTCTGTTGTTCTCCAGCTGGTCCTGTTTTGTCATCTCCTATTGGAAGCAGTGGACTGGTTGTGAGTGAGGATGATGGCACAAAGTCAGCAGTTCTGTCCGTGTGCATCAACTCTACCATCAAGCCAGCACCGTCGTCCGCCAATGCGGTAGTTTGGAGGACAGAGGCCAGTGGAGGTATAGGCAGTGGGAAGGTGATCACCTCACTGAATGATAGCAATGGGTGTTTCTGGTCTAATCTGACAGTGGATATCAGTGTAGTTTCTGAAGCAGTGGGTGATTACACTATCGTTGTCACAACATCTGTTGGAAGTTCTACAAAGATAATTCCCCTACAAATCACCGGTAGGTACATAGTATTGTAGTTTCATGGAGAAGTAATATCAGCACTTTCTGATCTTGTAAAGTTGTACCTGTGTTGGTGCGGTTACTGCACATTGTACAAGACCCATCTCAGGAATAATTGTTTCCCTAAGATACCGCCCCCCCCCCCCCTCTCCCCCCATCTGCACAAATACTCCAGAGAATGTCTGTAAACTGTACACCTGATTCTCCACTGGAGTGAGAAGTGTTGGTCATACATCTATATTTCATGTCCAGTACTTTGTTTCTGGCAGTGATGTTTTGTTTGGTGATATTCATAAAGCATATGTGCAGTATGTGGCTGGGCAGAGTGTTTTTTTAGCTCCATTCCTTTTCTCTGTTGCAATGCTCTAGTTCCCTTGTTTAACACATAAACTATACCCTTCCCTCGAAAAGAAATCTTTTGGCGAGAATTTTCCGTATGACACAGTCCCCCTGCCTTCCACCCATCAGGAACCATTTTCAAATAGATCCATATTTATGTGAACATGTTGTGTGTGAAAACCTCTTACCTGTATGCAGATTCTTCCCATTTGGCTGGTCAGTGTGCCATGAGCCTATGTTAGATGGGTAAACTCTTCGGTTTAGAATGCCCTTAGGTGCATTTTTAAGTCATTGTTTTTCTTGTTCTGTGCAAACCCTCGGAGTTGTCTGAAGAATCTTCCAAGGATGCAGCTTGTACTCTTTGAATTTTTGTAATGGACACCACCCCCCCCCCCCTCCTCCGCCGCCCCCAAGGTTGAAATTATTTTGCGATATTGTGCTGTGTGTGTGTGTGTGTGTGTTTGTTTGTGTGTGTGTATGCGCCCACGTGTGTGTTTGTGTGGTTGCGCGCGCATGTGTTTACTGAGAGCCTTCTGTTCCCATATTTCCATTCATCTGTGTCTTCTGCCGAGTTTCCCATACCTGGGTTACTTGGACTTCATTCGCTTCCTTGTCATTAACATGTTCAGTCCGTCGGTTTGCGAATTCAAATAAACACAACCAAACCAACCAACTATGTTTGTGTGTGTGTGTGTGTGTGTGTGTGTGTGTGTGTGCGTGTGTGTGTGTGTGTGTGTTTGTGTGTGGGTGTATTTGTTTGTGTTGAACATCTGATTTGTTTAGTTCCATTGTGTGAACTACCAACCATCCACCATGGTCAATCACGTGCAACAGGTTTGATTGGACAGAGCTCTAGAGATGGTCAGACACAGACCACCACCTCATCAGACTATGAAGTAGTGTGTGCTGATGGTTTGACCGTGTCTACTTCAAAACATAGTAAATGCGAAAAGGTGTCTGCTGGAATAAACAGTTTTAGAAATATTCCAGATTGTCATGGTGAGTTGCTTTAATCAGTGTGTTTGTCTGATGGACATTCACTTCTCTTTCTTTCATGGAAACTACATGCATGTTCTTCCCCATTGTTGAGATTGTGTCTTTTACTGAACTGTCCACCACTGCTCATGCCGGTGACATCCTGCAGGTTGTCTTCATGTAGAACTGCGCATCGTTGTTCATGCCGATAATATTCTGCAAGTGAATTTGGATTGTTCAACGTGCGGCTTATCGTCGGTAAAATACGGTACTGAGGAGACTACAAGAGGTCTGATGTCTGCATTTCTGATAGTGTTGCTGTTGTTGTTGTCATCATCATCGCTGTTTCTGTCGTTCTCCAGCTGGTCCTGTTTCGTCATCTCCTATTGGAAGCAGTGGACTGGTTGTGAGTGAGGATGATGGCACAAAGTCAGCAGTTCTGTCCGTGTGCATCAACTCTACCATCAAGCCAGCACCGTCGTCCGCCAATGCGGTAGTTTGGAGGACAGAGGCCAGTGGAGGTATAGGCAGTGGGAAGGTGATCACCTCACTGAATGATAGCAATGGGTGTTTCTGGTCTAATCTGACAGTGGATATCAGTGTAGTTTCTGAAGCAGTGGGTGATTACACTATCGTTGTCACAACATCTGTTGGAAGTTCTACAAAGATAATTCCCCTACAAATCACCGGTAGGTACATAGTATTGTAGTTTCATGGAGAAGTAATATCAGCACTTTCTGATCTTGTAAAGTTGTACCTGTGTTGGTGCGGTTACTGCACATTGTACAAGACCCATCTCAGGAATAATTGTTTCCCTAAGATACCGCCCCCCCCCCCTCTCCCCCCATCTGCACAAATACTCCAGAGAATGTCTGTAAACTGTACACCTGATTCTCCACTGGAGTGAGAAGTGTTGGTCATACATCTATATTTCATGTCCAGTACTTTGTTTCTGGCAGTGATGTTTTGTTTGGTGATATTCATAAAGCATATGTGCAGTATGTGGCTGGGCAGAGTGTTTTTTTAGCTCTATTCCTTTTCTCTGTTGCAATGCTCTAGTTCCCTTGTTTAACACATAAACTATACCCTTCCCTCGAAAAGAAATCTTTTGGCGAGAATTTTCCGTATGACACAGTCCCCCTGCCTTCCAACCATCAGGAACCATTATCAAATAGATCCATATTTATGTGAGCATGTTGTGTGTGAAAACCTCTTACCTGTATGTAGATTCTTCCCATTTGGCTGGTCAGTGTGCCATGAGCCTATGTTGGATGGGTGAATTCTTCGGTTTAGAATGCCCTTAGGTGCATTTTTAAGTCATTGTTTTTCTTGTTCTGTGCAAACCCTCGGAGTTGTCTGAAGAAACTTCCAAGGACGCAGCTTGTACTCTTTGAATTTTTGTAATGGACACCACCCCCCCCCCCTCCTCCTCCGCCCCCAAGGTTGAAATTATTTTGCGATATTGTGCTGTGTGTGTGTGTGTGTGTTTGTTTGTGTGTGTGTATGCGCCCACGTGTGTGTTTGTGTGGTTGCGCGCGCATGTGTTTGCTGAGAGCCTTCTGTTCCCATATTTCCATTCATCTGTGTCTTCTGCCGAGTTTCCCATACCTGGGTTACTTGGACTTCATTCGCTTCCTTGTCATTGGACATGTTCAGTCCGTCGGTTTGCGAATTCAAATAAACACAACCAATCCAACCAACCATGTTTGTGCGTGTTTGTGTGTGTGTGTGCGTGTGTGTGTGTGTGTGTGTGTGTGCGTGTGTGTGTGTGTGTGTGTGTGTGTTTGTGTGTTTGTGTGTGTGTGTGTGTGTGTGTGTGTGTGTGTGTGTGTGTGTGTGGGGGTGTGGGTGTGTGTGTTTGTGTTGAACATCTGATTTGTTTAGTTCCATTGTGTGAACTACCAACCATCCACCATGGTCAATCACGTGCAACAGGTTTGATTGGACAGAGCTCTAGAGATGGTCAGACACAGACCACCACCTCATCAGACTATGAAGTAGTGTGTGCTGATGGTTTGACCGTGTCTACTTCAAAACATAGTAAATGCGAAAAGGTGTCTGCTGGAATAAACAGTTTTAGAAATATTCCAGATTGTCATGGTGAGTTGCTTTAATCAGTGTGTTTGTCTGATGGACATTCACTTCTCTTTCTTTCATGGAAACTACATGCATGTTCTTCCCCATTGTTGAGATTGTGTCTTTTACTGAACTGTCCACCACTGCTCATGCCGGTGACATCCTGCAGGTTGTCTTCATGTAGAACTGCGCATCGTTGTTCATGCCGATAATATTCTGCAAGTGAATTTGGATTGTTCAACGTGCGGCTTATCGTCGGTAAAATACGGTACTGAGGAGACTACAAGAGGTCTGATGTCTGCATTTCTGATAGTGT